ATCAGCCGCGGCGGCTCAAGAAGGTGCCTAGCCCGATCAAACACCTCCTGCAGGCGGATGCGAAGGAAACGGATGAGCTCCCGAAGCCGACCTGGGGTGCTGCAAACGCACCGCCCATCATTGGTGCCGTGCATCGGCGTCCTCGAGAATCAAACGTGAGTTGTGATGTGATTTATTTTGTTTTCCCTGCTGTTGTCTCTTTCGTTTGGTCTGTCATCTTGACCTGGGTCGGCTTGTCATTACGGGCGTGTCTCTTGCACGAATACGTGCTGGAACACCTGCATGAATACCACACAGCCTTACCGTGCCGCCTCCTGGATGAAGGAGGTGGATGGGATAATTGGCAACCCTCCAACAGCACCACCACACCCTCTCGTCGTCCCTTTCGGTTATGCAGTGCAGGTAGATAAAGGGAGCGTCGCGTATGGGATAACAACACCCTGCAGCCCGTATCAAACATGCTTTGCAGCAGAATTTTGTGCCCTCACATCTCACTCTTGCTCTTACTCTCACTCCCACCCTCATCCTCATTCTCCCCCTCACCTTCATTCACCCTTCAATTGCACTTTCGATTTTCACATTCACTCTCACTCGTTGCTGCGCGTTAGTTTTTTCTTCTGCTCTCACAGCCTACCTTTTGGGACTCACTTCACCTTCATTTGGTTCTTCATTACTGACAAAATTCACTTTGTTTGTACAGGAATCTCCTCCACCTGAGCCCACGCCTTCTCCACCACCCATGAGCCAAGAGCCTGCGAGACGGCCTTCAGTCCTTCAGGCGATGCGCCAGACGCCTAGCGACATGTCGATGGGTAATCCTCCCACGCCTTATGGGCACGGAATGGGAGCTGCACCGTCTCCCTCGCCAGCAATGTATGCTCAGCAGTACACGCCTCAGCATGCTTCGGCATCGCCAGTCGCGGTGAACCATCAAACGCCGGTGCCTCTACCCCAACTTCCTCACCAGGCATCTCACTCTCCGCAGCAGCCCATCCGCCCCATGTACCAGCAGCAGGGATTCGCGCCAAGCCCGTTCCAGCACCAGCAGCACCCTCTCCAGCACTCGCAACACCAACAACAGCACCCACAGCACCATCAGCAACACCCGCAACAGCACCATCCCCACCACGCACCACAGCACGTGCACCCCCAACAGCAGCAGCAGCAACAACACCACCACCAAGGCCCTCCTCCTCCAGCGCCTCAGTTCCAGCAGCAGCAGCACCACCACCTTCCGCCGCACCAGCAGCACCATCAGGCCCAAGCGCCGGTCCCACAGCACCACCAACACCAGCAGCACGGCCACCACCAAATGCATCCACAAATGATGCCAGCAAATCCCATGGGCGGCCCGACCTACAACCATCATCAAATGCAGCCTCATCCCGCTGCAGCCCGCACACCCATGGCCAGCACGCCCAATGCCATGCAGCCCGCCAATGCCTATAACCCTCCCAGGCCGCCAGAGGTTTTTACCCTGGCCGACCCCCTCAACGACCAGATCCCCGAAGAGGTGCGCAGCCAGTACAACAGGGACGAGAACGGCAGAATCTTTTTCTACTCCACACCGCCCATTGCTCGCCCCGACCACGGCCTCGCCCCGGACAATGCCAACTCGGGCCACAGCCTCGCCTACCTTGCTAAGAGCAACCCGCAATGGCTGGCCGAACGCACCTCCCGCGCGAAGCCCTTTGCCGTCGCCAAGCAGAAGGAGCTCAAGGTCAAGATGGCCCTTGACAAGGTCACCGAGCCCGCCAAGGGCAAGACGGGAGATGAGCTGCGCGACTGGGCCGCTGATTCCCTCGTCCGCTATGTCGAAGCGCACGCCCAGGAGACCACGCGCATGCGCGACGAGGGTGACCTGGACGAGCATGACCGTCTCATGAGGGAGCAGCGCGCCGCTCGCCGCAAGAAGACCAGAAAGCAGTTGGAAGAGGAGGAGGAGCGAGCCGACGAGGCCAAGCGTGCCAATTACCTGGAAGACATTTATTTTGTCCATTCCAGTCTGCGTACGCCCAAGACTGCTCACTGATGGGGAAGTAAACGGATTGAGCAACATCAACGTGTATTCTAATCGACATCCTCCCTGCTTCCTGATCCTTCGACTGTAAGGGCCTTGAGTAGGGAGGACTGATCGTTCTCCTGGGTAGAAAGGGAGCGGAGTTTTCGGCGGGTCGGACTGCTGTGATACCTATTGGCTTTTTTGGAGTTTTGAAGGGGGAAACAAACGGCTCATTGTATCATAAGAAAAGATTATCATCGTCAGGGCATCATGATGCCCGTTTAAGTACCTAATTCGCACAATTGAGACGGAACAGTATTCAGAGCTCCCGTTGTTTGCAGACATGACCACGAGTCTGACTCTATCTGAAGAGAACGCCTGCAAAGGACACCTCTTGAATTGTTAATCAGCGTCTCATTCTATGATGACTTTGGTGTTTATCTAGATGTGCTGATCCGAGTGTGTTGAGCCACGATTCAATTTCAACAGCTGGGATCATGAGCTCGCCAACCCGTTCACCCAGTCCTCCGAGACCTCGCCCTTCGAGGCCTCTGCGCGAGTGAGACATGTAGAAACTAACAAGACAAAGGCTGAACCAGGAGACCAGGCTCTGTGAGTGGCTGGCTGGCTGGCTGGCTGGCTGTCGGCTGTCCCTGCGCCGTCGAGGGAGCGGCCCGGCCGAGTTCCTCCGGCTTTGGGCGCAAAACCTTCTATGCTTCCTTCGTGGTTTTTTGACATTTTTGCCTCAGGACCCTTGCCCCGTATTAACCACATCTCTCACCAATAAGACGCAAGCTTCAGTGCAGCGCCAGTGCAGCGAACCCGACAGGCCAGAGCCAGGCCCAACCAGGGGCACTAGCGTAGATCTGATTCGCCCCCCAAAGTCATGTGCCGGCTTATGTGACTCTACCACTTCAATCTTGGCCAATGTGCCTACCATTCAGAAATACTACTTCTGACGAGATTTCAACCTAGATATTCATAGAACAGACCAAATGAACGCTATCCATCTCTATATGGCTGCTGTAGCCCAGGAGGTGCCTCGAATCCCATAAAGCTCACGAAACGAAGACTCTACCCATCTATATACAGGTCCTAAATGTTAGTGCATCAAATAGAGTATCTGCCCTCCCCGCCGTCCGACCCGAGCGGACGTTTGTGCCCGTGCCGCCCACTTTCACCAGAGATCGGACCCTTTCCTTTGGGCGAACCGATTCGCGTGGGTGAGGGGGGCAAATGCAGCGCAGCACGCTAATTGAGCCTCTCTCCCAAAGGCGGCTAAGACTGATTCGCTGACGTTCTCGACTTCAGTTCCGACTTCACCTCTCACCTCTTCTTCTCTCATAACCACTTCACTACGCCTTTCGCCTTCTTACGTTCGACTTCATCTCTCATCTTACACCTCTCTCTCTAAATCCGCGAGTAAACATATTCTTCACCCTCTGCCACACCGAGGAAACCGACTCACACACATCCGATCCGTCAACCGCTCATTCGCCCTCAACTTAGTTCTCATTTGCGTCTGTTCTCATTGAAGCATTCCGTTTCGTGGCGTTCTTCAACCAAGTCGGAATTCGTCCTTCTTGTCATCGGATCAGGACTTGAAGTTCAAAGTCTTTGCTTTTTTCTACCTTGCTGTTCCTGGCTTGTCTCTCTTGGGTTGAGCCCATCCACAGTTCTCCAGGGGTTCTCTCTCTTGCATAGTCATCCTTAGTATCTTGGGTGGCGTCGGCGTTTACGTTCGGGATATCAGGAAGGACTTCACGACTGCTTCGCCCCGGTACGACTTCCGATACACATCCACGGCTCGTTCTTCCTTGGCTCTTTCCGTCACCTTGCGGGTTGAGATATCTGGTCACTTCGGATTCTCAGTTGTCAATTTGAGGAAACCAGGTCAAGCCAGGACGGAATCAAGACTATCGACGACTGAGCCCTCGCCGCTCCCACTGTCTACGATCGAAGCTATCATCTCTCTGTCTCTCTCTTAGCAGAAGGTCTCGTTGAGAACCTGCCAGCGTTGGGCCATCATCTGCCAAACATCAACTTGGGGACACCAAACTCAAGGTTGTAGACAACTACGCCTCATCGCCATCTGACACACTGTCCGACACAACGCTCGGAATCTCCCCCCGGACCTTTTCAGCAACCCAGTCGTTCAAGACTTACGGCCCACTTGCAAACCCTAGAAGTGAGAGTGTACTTGGGCCATCCAGGCCAGTATCAAAAACTACATCGACAACCGGGCCTCGCCAAAGCCCTAATATCGGATCGAACCCCTTCTCTGCCCCTCTGCCCTCGATCCGGTTGGTAAAGAGACACGGCATCTTGAAAACTTTGAGAGTCACGAGAACAAGCCAGAACCAACCTTTCATCGTGAACCTTGGCTAGTGAGACCTCGGTCCGGTTCTCAATCGACATCTGCGGCCAGCTTCAAGGTGGTCGTCCACGGCAGAGGTTACTATCTCCGACGAGTTTCATGGTCGATACCACACTCTTGCCAAACTCAATCACCTTCCCGCCACGGCTCAAAGGCGCTAGGAAGGAGACAATTACAACATCCGACCCTTTGACCGGGATTCCAAAAGAGTCCCCGGTACCTTGACTATCACCAAAGGACATTTCGTGTCCTCAGCCGAAGCAACTTGCTCTCGTATCAAAAGGGTTCCTCTAACTTTCCACACCAATATATTATAAAATGGACTTCTCAATCCTTTCTCTGCAGTCTTCGGACCTAGCAGAAACATCTCACTCATCTTCATCTTCGTCTCCTATCAAACAACCATCCAACACGTTGGGCGACTTTACGAAGTTATTTGAGAGTCTGCAAGTTAGCCAAACTTCCTCTTCAACTACACCTCCTCTCCCTCTATCAGACAGAGTTTACTCTTCTTCATTACACTGTTTTGAGCCTCTCTGCGACAGCAAGAGCAAGAGCACATCAAGCAAACAGTCTCAGCCCCTTCTTCTCCTCCCCCCGCTCTTATTCATCAAAGAAGAAATGGCCAGAACGGGCACCAAGCGCAACTACCAGTCCTTGGACTTGACCGAGATCAAAAGATCAAAGGTCGAGTCCAAGGATGTGGGCAAGAAGATTGCTGCCGCCGCCGCTGGCGGAAAGGTAGCTCGAGCCTCTTCAGACTCGGGCTACCATTCCGACTCCTCCAACGCCGCCGCAGCAGCAGCAGCAGTCGTCGCCGTCCCCAACCCAGACAACGCGGGAGAAAGGCTTTTCAACAAGCAGACGGCAAAGAGACCCCTTCCCACCTCCCAACTGCCCCTTCCCATCCGCCTCCAGCAGCGCTTCGGCGCTCGCGACGAGGCCCAGGTAAAGACGTATCCGGAGCAATCCGCCCGCGGTCTCTACGTCTACGCCGACGGCTCCAACATCAGCGTCTCCTTCTTCAACCACCTCAAGAAGCGCATGGGCATGTCTAGGGACCAGCGCCTCTCTACCTCCGCCTTCTCCTTCTACGCATTCAGGGGAATACTCGAACGCGGTAGAGAGGTCAAGGAGGGCGTCGTCGTCGGTTCCCGCAGCAAGGCCAGCAACACCAACAACAACAACAACAACAACAGGCATATGTCCTCGTCTATCCCCCTATACCTGCAGGAGGCCGAAGCGTGTGATTACACCGTCAAGGTCTTCCAGCGGGTTCCCGCAGACCCCTCCTCCCACGCGGGCTCCTTCGCGATGAAGGAGCAGGGGGTAGACGAGACGGTCCAGCACCACATGCGCAAGACCGTCCTCGACAACCTCGGCGCGCCGGGCACCATGATCCTCGCCACGGGAGACGGCAACCTCGACGGCGACATGGAGGGAGGGTTCCCCGCCGCGGTGCAATCCGCCCTCGCAAACGGCTGGGTCGTCGAGGTCTACCACTTCGCTGAGTCCGCCCACTCCACCTGGCGCGACCCGCGGTTCCTCCACAACCCGGCATGGGACGGCCGCCTCACCTGCCATGCTCTGGACGACTTTGTCTTCGATATGGACGCGAAGCAACAGCAGCAGCAGCCGCTCACCCCGCTCGGCACAGAGGCCCCTCGCTCTGCAAAGAGGACTCGCCGCGAGGGCAGGCCCTACGTTCCCTCTTGGACCTTGCCAGCCTCCTCCTCCGTTGCTCTCCCCCCGGCAGCAGCAGCAGTCACCCCTCCGCCAAGTCCTCCACCAGAGACGTCGGCACCAGTGACCCCAGAGGAGCAAGCAGACGCAGAGCAGATCGGCACCCTGGTAGGAAAGCTCAACCCGGCGCTGTTGCCCGTCATCGCCCAAGCTATCCTCCGCAGCGCCTCGGCCAGTCCTCCTCCCGCCAACCCTGCGTCTGCTCCTATTCGCGCCGTAGTACACGGAGACGCCAATAGCTTCGCCGGCAGCGCAATGGGTCATTTCGGCGCCCAGATCCCCACGCCGCCTGCTCTCTCTGCCGCCGCCGCCGCACCCGCCTACCGCCCTCAATTCCCTCAGGCCTCGTCCTACACTGCAGCCTTGGGCCAGTACCAATACAACGGAGTCTGGGGGAATCAGGTGGGCAACTACGGGCACACCCGCTGAGTCATTCGTGACCAGCCTTTTTAAATTCTCTCCAACCCCTTGCTTGTAGTCTTTTCTGCGTTCGCTCAGCCGAAAGGCAGCAACCAGATTTTTCTATAGCTTCATTGTCGAGGAGAACCGGTACATAGGAGGGGTACGCAGGCCTGAAAGACGGCTCTGGCCCCGTGGGTTTTATTCGGGATGGTATACGGGAGGGGTACGCAGGATCTGAAAGACGGCCTGGCCCCGGGGGTATTATGGGAATCGGTATACGAGAGGGGTAGCAGACCTGAAAGACGGTTCTGGCCCCGTGGATCTTGGGGAGGGAGAAGTGGGCGATGGGGGAGTTTTTTGAACGCGATCACCTCGGTATGACCGTTTTTCTCCCAGTGCTGGTGAGCATAAAATGCGCCGGCGGGGCATAAAATGCCTTTTCTTTGATATTTTTTCGCAAATACATTTCTGTTCATTGAAATGACTGCTTTCCTGTGACGAATGCCTCTGACTGGTCGCATGCCCCATGGATCAGATGATCTGATTGATGAAGCAGAACATTGATATGCCTCATTTGTCCAATGGTCGGACCAAGACACGCTTCGTGGACTTGAGATATACTCTCTCTTTTGACGTCATGTCTATTATAGTCTATATGTCTTTTGACTCGTCAGTACAAAAAGGTCATCGTGCCATCTTATCGAGGACTTTCAAATTAAATCAGCACAACGCCAAGTGAGAGATCTCTCAACTGTCATTCTACGCCGACGACAACACCGTGATACAGACGATCTTATGTTTGAAAGTTCCACCTCCTCTGGCTCCTCCTCGCCGATGCCACATCCCAGTTCACCATGTACCTGCACCCAAGACGACCCAATGATCGCCTCAGAAGTTCATCAAAGATCAATGATGTATAAGCTCAAGACAGACACACGTAGCCAAGACGATAGATACACCTCTTGAGCCCAAAAAAAGCCAAGGCTGACAAGGCTACTGCTCCCAAGGCACATGGCCGAGGCTGACGAGGCTGCAGCTCTCGAGACTCTTTGGCCCAGACTGACTTCTAAACATGTGTCTTCAGAGTAGAGAACCCAAAACTTGCCATAATGCAGTAAAATGTTCACAGCAAATCCAAGGCATCGTCACCGCATGAATGCGTGGGCAGAACCCAGGCACAACAAGGCTAAACTAGAGCAACACCGTCACAACCCTATCTATATACATGACATGGCACTCGCCACAGGCATCACGTCCACAGCACTCATTCAAACGATCTTCATACAAAATCCATGGGGTATGTCTCATTCAGCTAGACTTCGTTTTATATAAATGGCTAACACCCAGGCCAAATGGCCGCGTGATTCGCATCCCCTCGCCCATCTCCCATCTGCCTCAATCACCCCCCATTCCCACAGCTGATCCGCCATGTAGCCAAGCAGGTCTATCCCGACGAGAATCCAGTGGAAAGCGTGATAGGGTGTGGAAAAAAGTAGACGAAGAAAGGAAAACACCGCTTCCAACCAATCCGGCCTTTCATAAATGCTTCATCGCTTCTTTTCTAAGCCCAATTCAATTCCGCTCCGCAAAATTTCATCCTTTGCCAGCACCTCCTACAACAGAAAGATCCCAGACCAGATAAAAACCAACCACTGGAGTAACAGGGAGGGCTGCTTTTTGTTTTGGCTGTCCTTTCCCCCAACCCCAGGAGGTAAGCAGAAAATTCATGATGCCAATCTACCCAAGATAATGTCGGTGTGGTATCGCAAGCTGGTCAGTTCCGGCCGTAACAGCGAGTGACTGATAAATCACAAAGAAAGATCTGCGTTCTGACCCCCGCCCGTCCCAGGACGCCTCGTGCACCTTGTGTAGAGAAAATGTCAAAAGTCCTAGAAATGTTCAAGAAAAATCGCCGGGGGGAAATCAACCTTCTTGTTGGCGCCGCTTCTAGGCACTAGATATTACTAGGCCATCGCCACAAGACCTTAAGAAACGAAATTATGCTGGTATCTCGACAGAAAGGACGTGCGTTCGGAACGATAGTATCTGAGTTCTGAGTGAGAGATGTGGGCGAGTGTGCATCGTCGTCGCTCTCTGCTTATTCCCGTATAGATGTCATTCCGACGCCACTACCGCCTTCGAGAAGAGGTTGGCTCGGAGGGGGCATGCCTTGGTAACTTTTAGAGACGGAAACGGAAGTGGCAGGTGTACCATTCCCTGATGAACCGTCGCTGGGTCTCGCTGGCGTACTATTGTTTGCCTTGACTTCGTTTTGGAGCTGAGACGAGTGTATTGGCGAGTTCGACTTCTTACTGAGCGCGTCTGCGTTGGTGTTTGCGCCTCCTCGAGACGAATTGCGCGGCGAAACCCGTCCAACCTAATCCTGATTAACATCGTCGTCCTCCACTCGGCTTACGACAGAGGGCTCGGCGCTTCTCACCTGCTTTGCCCAGCGTAAACCGCAGCTGTTGCAGAGGTCTCTTTGACCACTGGGACCTCGTCGCCACTCAGGCGTATTGCGCGTATGGCAGTTGGCGCAGTCGCGGACGACGTTGCCTACTCCCTTTCTCCTCTTTCTCTTCTTCTTGTTTGATAATAGACCGCCCAGTTCTTCGGCGAGAATTCTGTTGACCTTCTCCATCTGGCGTAGCTCGAATTGCCAGCTGGAGCACTTGGTCGTCCTCAGCTCGTCAAAAATGTTGTCGTCCGAGGCGAGAGCAGCATCCTGCGAGCCCGGCATCGCTTGACCTCCCGGTAATGACAGGGGCCCGGTCTTTGTGAGATCGGTATTCGGTGCTGTGAGTTGTAGGTTTTGGTTGATCTGGGAAGTCGATTTGACGCTTCCAGGGGGTGTAGCCGCCGGCGCGATGGTCCTCGATGATGCTTTGAGGAGCTTGGTCTGTGCTAATAAGAACGTGGGTTTCTGACCATCTGAGGCATCTCCAGGGTACAAAATCGTTTGTGCCTGAAGTACCTGTCCTCTCCTGTTATGAACCTCGTGTTTGCATGTTACTATTTTGCCTCTCCTTGCCTTTTCGATTGCTCGGCCAAATTCGGCACGACTCTCCCTGCGCATGAGCTCTTGCATGCTAGTGCCTATCAGGGTGTCTGGCTGTAAGTCGAGCAAAGACCGGATGTTGGAAGACACGAAGAGGAACATTCCGGATACCGAGATTTTGGTCCATAACTCGCTGTCGCCGATGCCTCCGTGTGCTTCTAGGTCTCGCCGGCTCAATGCGAAAACGGGTCGTTTTCTCCCTACCAAAATGATACATTTTCTACCCTTTCCATGTTCGAAGAATAATGAGCCGTGGCTTTCGAACCACGTGTAGCCGCTTTGCTTCCGCCTTATACGGAAGACGATGTTGACCGAATTACCCGCCGTGGCGTCTTTGAGTTCACGGGTAACAGGCACAATATCGGAGGGGTGGCATACGGTCGAGAGGGAGTTCCCTACCAGCTCTGTCGCGTCGTACTCCAGGACTTTCTTGCAGGAGGGTGAAAGGTAGAGGAACAGCCCCTTGAGTGAAAGGACATGGACAACGTCGTCGGTATTTTCGAGAAGCATCTTATCCCAGGACTGCTTGTGCCAGTCAGACACCACACCCTTGGGGTTGAACTGCTGCAGCAGGGTAGACACATCGTCAACACCCAATGTCTGTCCGTTTTCGGCTTCGACGGTATTTTGGTTCGGAGGCGTCCAAATATACTGGCCAATGTCGCTATGTTTGTAGTTGACCTTGACCCCTCCTGCATCCTGGCCTTGAGAAATGGCATCCGGGCACTCGACTAGATCGATTTGAAAGCCAACAAAGAACCGGACCTCATTGGGGTCGTCCCAAGGAATTGGAATCATTGTCAAAAGGTTGAGGAAAGGCTTGCCGCCCTTGCGATAGTTGATCAAACTTTGCTGAACCTCACGGCCTTCTGCAATCTTCTTCTTGAGATTGTAGACCGACGCGTCGTCCACAAATTCACGCTTGGAGCCAGCTTCAACCTTGGCGTCGGGAGCTTGTAAGAATCGACAATTTTGGCCAACGATTTCATGGCGGCTGTACCCCGTCAAGTTCTGAAAATTATCAGAGACGTAAATGATAGGGCAATCGTTGAGTGACACGTCGCAGACCACGAATGCGCAAGACATGTCTACAGCGCCTAGATGGATCTCGGGATCCTTTCTTGTAGCGACATACCATAACGCCCGCATCATGTCGAAGCCGCTCTTTGAGTAGACATTCTTCTCCTTGGACTCTGCACGAGGGGTTTGAGGTCCCATAGCTGGAGTAGTCTCTGCAGTTGCGGTAGGTGCAGCAGAGGCTGCTGTCTGGCTCGTTGCCATGGACGATGATCGGTTGTTGGGGGACTGCGAAGAAGTCTGCCCAGAGTTGGTTGACACATCGCGGGATAATGTTGACGGCGTTGTCTGAGGACCGCTTGAAACAGAGCCGAATTTGGGAACTTGCGAGATGGCCCTATTCGAGTTGCTTTCTGTCGGCGTCTGATATTGTTGCTGACCCATACTCATAGTCTCGTTGTCTGCGTTGTTGATATCTAGCGGCGTAGGGAGAGCAGACTGTGGTGCTGTTCCGGGTGTTTCATCGGCCCCTAGGTCCATGGTCATGTCGTTGGCAGCGGTGTTCAATGGGCTCGGGAAAGCGTTGGCCATGGATGTTTGGCCGTACATATTCATACTCGATGTCGTCGGCATAGCAATGTTTGCGTACGCCGGGGGCATCATCGAGCTCATCATATCGGGAGAAAAGGTGGTGAATGCATTTGTCGGCGACATCTGCAGCCCGTCTTGGGTAGAGTACGCATCCATGCCTCCAGGTATGGAAATGTTTCCGGGAACACTATTGCCCATCCCTCCGTTGTCCGTCATATTGCCGTCCATGCCGCTATTCATGCCGTTGCCCATCTGGCCGGCCATATTAGAGAACTCGCCATTCATGGCGGGGTTCTGGAAAGGATAGTTGAGCATCTGATTATCATCAGCGCCGAACTCCATCATGGACATTCTCCTGTCGGCGCCGGCGTTTTGCGTATTCTGGTTTGAAGGCATGTATGGTTGGTGTATGCTGCGGCGCCGTTGTAGTTCATGGTTGTTACTGTTGATAATATCGTCGAGCGAGTCGCCGTTGCCACCCATCATTGGCATGCCATGACCTTGATTCATTTGATGATAGGCGTGGCCGCGTCCTTGGCCTTGGCCCTGCATCTGGCGTTGCTGAGACTGTTGCGACATCTGTCGCTGCAGCTCTTGGGGAGTGAGCTGTGGGTAAAAGGCTTCCATGGCGATCGCATCGGTGTCCCAAGGACCTTGTCGTCGATAGTGGGCCAGTCGTCGTGTCGTGTCGTTGTAGCAGTCGGTGGTGGTGGTGGTGGTGGTGGGGTGCAAGAAGTCGTCGTCGAGTGGTGTCGAGTCGCAACCAGGTGGTTCAGCCGTCCAACTTGTACTTTTCTCTCCCAAGGCGCCGGCTTAAGTAGTGCCACCGGTGCATACGGTCGGGGGTGCGATATCGCGTCACAATCCTCGGCCTCTTGTCTCGGACCAGCGCATGTATTGCAGAAGTTGTGAGAAGGGGGGTGGCCGCCGTGGACTGCGGGAAAAGCAGGTAGGGAACCGGCAATTGAACGTCGGCCAGATGCGTATCGGTCGTCGGGTTTTCGGGGTTGGTGAAGAGCGGAACGGAGCAGAGGGCGGTCGTCGCTTGGGGACGGCGAGGTAGAAAAGTGATGTACCGGGCGGCGGCAGCAGTTGTCGTCGTGAGTTGTTGATGTCGGATCGTGTCGAAGAATTGGGCGTCGGTGGATTCGCAGCCCGGAGGTGGTGGGAGCAGACGTGAGAAACAGTCGTGGGAAAGGACCCAGATTGGCTTTGTTGCGGGGAGGGAAGATGGAGTTTGATGGACGTTCTCGGTGGTTGATTCCAGTGTGCCAGTGTAGGTACGTAGCAGTGTACCTTACGTAGTGGTGGACACTGGACGGACAGGCGAGGGGAGGAGAGAGAGACGTGATTGGGGGCGGCATGGCAGCAAGGCCTACGGGCCGGCGGATATGTATCGCAATGTTCCTTTTGCAATTCCTCGAGGCTAGGAGGTACTTAATTACATCGCAAAGGTACTTGGCTTACCTGGCTTCCGCTAACCTTACCTTGATCATGGACGGGCAGCATTAAGGGCGAAAGAGCGGACAGTCACGGCCACTGCCATCATGGAAGAGCCCGGTGCCCTGGAGTGGACCGGGGATGCTAGGTACCAATGTCCAGGTTGGGTTTACATTGGAAGACTCGGCGCGTTTGGGTAGCGACGGACGGCGGGAGGAAAGGAGACGAGGTCCCTGGACTTCTGGAGTCGCCTACCCACCTTGCCTTTCCTTGCCCGTGCTGATCCGGTATGTTTTGGCGACGGGAGGTTGCCTACCCTATTTTCCTCTGTGAGTCGTCGCCGGAGGAAGAGCACCGAGACAGGGCATGCCGGCCTTGGGATCTCCGGCATGGAACATCTCTGCTAAGGTTGTACGACACCAGTGGCCAAGGCCCCGTTCTCTGTCCTTCTCCTCGGTTCTTGGCCTTCACCGTATCCGTAAAGTACAGCTGGTTTGGGTTCACCGGGCACGTGATGGCGACGGGGCTTGATAGTCCAGATAGGGTCCCAGATGTCTCTCTATTATTGCAATCGCTGAGATGTAGGTAAGAAATCATCACGGCATGGCTGTTCTAGATAACTGCCCTAACGGGAAGTTCGGATCCGCCAGAAGTAAGAAAAGACCCAGATAGTCCCAGATGGTTGGAATGATGGGCCGAGAGCGCTGCGCCTTATGTGACTACGAAGTAGGTAGGTATGTACATACGGATCAGAGCCGGTGGGCGAGATGTAACACTGCAATACCTAGTGCGCATGGCAGCACCAGGGTGACTGGAGAGACTGTCTGAAGATTGCGGCTAGCTGAGGCGGAACGAGAATAAGTTTATGGGAATAGGACGGTCAAGAGGCTGCCATCCGTCTTGGATCTGTGGTGTTCCGATTCTTCGGCCGTGGCAGAGATGGGTGGAATGTTGAAGATGCCCATGCTGCAGTGTCCAAGGTATCCGCATCGTGGTTCCGTGGCTGACGGGACTTGAGAGGTATCCGTACCTTACCTTGTGTGCATGGCATGCCGCATCTCGTGGGAGCGTGGCAGGCTCAACTCAAACCCCCCACTACTATTGTAAGCACGTAAGGTAAGTTGACGGCCTTGTTCTTGCCTACGAGAATGCGCCGACAGCAAGCCGCAAGCCTTGTGGCCCCCAATACTCTCCAGAGTGTGCATCTGAAGAATGCCAGTAGGAAATGGTATGCGCCCGCCATGCCACAAGAAAACGCCAATGGTGCTCGAGAGAAACCTCTTTCGTCATCATATGGGACGTTGGGTCCGAGTACATCATCAATACTTCTTGGTATGACTAGGGCTCTCTTAATTGTCAGGTTCTTCAAATGTACTGCGTGAGTGGAGAGTGTACTCCACCCCTACATCCAAAGCGGACGCTGAATGGAGGGAGATGGTACAGCTTCAGGATACGTACCTGCTTCCATCCAACCAATAAACGGGCCGCCACAGTTTCCCATGATTGCGCCTGATGAGAATTGCTTGTCCCATCTAACCTTGCCTCTATATCGACTTGTAGATATTGCACCATCATGCCCATATTCCCAGGGTGTTACCTACTGTTTGATCAGTGCCCTAATTTTATCCGGCCTTCCTTATTAAGCAGAATCATCTGTACGGAGATTGAAACCGGTGCTAATTGCTAACACGACGCCAGGCAGGGATGGGCATGCGAGCGGGACAAGCACGGACAGAAGTTGACTTTGACCCAGCAGAAATCCATTTCGTCATTTCTCCTGGGGGCCTTGGACAGCCTTAAATTTGCCCCGACACTGAGTCCTGAGTCCCGTCCCCCTTGACATGACTCCCGGAGGTCTTGACGTGCTCACCACCTACCGGTACACTACGGCTACAAACAAGTCAACCGCACCCAAGCTCGAGCTGCAAAACAAACCGTTGGTCCCATCCCATCTTTGCTGCCCACCAACTACGGCACCACTTGCTATAGAGTACAGACCGTATTTAGTGAGGAGGAAACTTGACCAAGGTGCATTCCCCATTTCATCTCCCCTAGCGTACGCCGAGAGACCACACACCTAGGGTTTCTCCCAATTCTCCATTGCTAAAAATGCATCGAACACGATCTCCCATCCTCCACCCCGATTCCCATCTTGTCATCGGCGATCGAGCCTCTCTGGCACTCTGCCACGCGCCCACGATGTCTTCCTTTGATCCTTTCGCGGAGACTTAGCAGTTCTGGCAAAGCCTGGGCAGCAGCCCGAACCTGGGTAACCACCAAAACATGTAGACATGCAAACATGCAGACATGCCACCACCCGTCGTCTCACACGAAAACCTTCATGATGCTTATTCCACGATCTACCCGTCGTTCCCTCCGCCGTATAGATCGCTAACAATGGCCCCTGACTCGGCGCCAGCCCACTGACCAGCCCCCTCGGCAGCCTCGCTCTTAACTTCACTACCTACTCCAAGCTCAATGAGGTGCTCCAAGCTCTTCTTTCCCCCCTCCAGGCTGTTTGCTGTGTCCTACGTCTCGGCGCCACATGAGACCTTTCAGCCGACCGCCACTACGAAGTCTACGAAGCACTCAACAGCGCACACCTGTGGTCTGCCATGTGACGCCCGCCCGCCCACCATGTACCCCTAAAACAGTAAAGATCAGCAAAAGAACGAGCATACCTCAACAATATGTATTGCAAGCTCTGCTAGACACCACATTTGCAAGTTGATAATAACGCCTCTAATCATCGAAATGTGCCTTCTAAAACCTTTCCATAGGTTAAGTCTCATTACCAAGTCATGTGTAGGCGAACTCTACCCCTCTTGGGTAATGGAAGAATATATACCTACAGAGACTCATTATCTCCTAGTACAGGCGCGATAACGCAACGCTTGTAGGTCAACTACTTCTCCCTGCAGCAAAGCTGAAGCTGCACCACACACGCGTAGTTAAAGAGACCATAAACGGGCATGCATTACTAGCACCCACCACCGCCACTACCATTACCATTACCATAACCCAACCGTGAACCCACTCTCTCTAGACCACGGTTGGATTTCAGTGCGCTTTCCGACGGGGCAACCAAAGCTCGGAGATCACAAATGCAAGAGAACCGTTGATGAGCAACACGACAGCATCTCTCGTACAACCCGGAAACGAACCGAAGGCAGTGTTTGATCTGAGTATACCATGTCATCTTTACAAATCGAACGGACGTGTCTCTATGTCTCTGTACGAGGGACAAGCAATCAATCTCCCGAGTAACAGTAACACACAGATACCCATGCCCAGCATGGCATTCTGACAATCGATGCAGAAAGAGAATGCGGTAACACCAAGAACTCACGCTTCTCCCTCCGCCTCCCCGCCATCTCCAACGACACGACGGGAGTTGGGAAGGCCGAAAAAAGGAAGGACCTCATTCGGCTCCCCCCCCCCTTTCCCCTCCCCGGTCCGGTTTGAGCTTGGCTTGAACGTGAACTCGACTTCCGAAATGGCAAGACCTGTCAAACACAGATGAACCGAGCCAACCGATCCGGTATGTGACTACCTTGAGAAGAGGAATCTCATCAGATGTCGGCTGGTGGCTTTAATCACCTAGGTATTTCAGGTAGTTAAGTGAGGTCGGGGTGTAAGTCTGAACCACCACCCCACCATATCCGATTTCCACACCTTTCGGAAAGGTAGGTACGGATAGGTGGTAGGGAAAGAGGGGTGGCGAAGGCGCGGGAACATGGCAATTCCTATTTGCCCATCTGATTCTCCATGACCTGACTTTTCTTTTTCTTCTTCTTCTTCTTCCTTCTCGCTGAAGAATTTCATCTGGTCAACCAATTAGATCTCATAATACAGTCTCGCCAATAGCCCAGGCTCTCAACGACTTCCCTCTCTTTCACCCGAATCTCCCAAACTCCCAAAACGATGACAAAACCTCTTGCTTACACCAAGAGACCAAGGGAAGATAGCGCCACATTCCGATTTCTGAACTGGGTAGGCGCGCAGCTACGCCGTAAATAGCGTCATGCACCAACCTCTTTGCCCGATCCCAAGAGGGAAAAAAACCAAAAACATACAACACCAGGTATTCGCTGATCGTCACCGACTCAACTACTAATCTGGCCCTCATCGGCTTGTCTATGGGAGAGCGGACGGGATCCCGAATTCTCCGATGGGTGTGGTCGTATGTACTTGTGTAGGAGACCAAATTCTCTTATATCGTGTGTGTGTGTGTGTGAGAGAGAGAGAGAGAGAGGCGTCCCAGAGTGCGAAACAAGATACTGGCCAGAACGCCGAGAAAGAGTCAGAGAGATGTTTGACGACTACCTCCAAAGACCAATAGTGACTCACCCTCGTCCGTAATCCCCCTCCCCGAGTTCAGCCTCAATCAAGACCTCAAAAACATGGTCCGATGCACCCATCTCAGCTACACCAAGCTGCAGCGCCATCATTCCATAGCCTCCGCATGTCCAGTCCACATCGAGCTTCAAGCTTCCAGCTTCCAGCTCCAGCTCCGGCCATAAGAGGATATGGCCGAGATGCTAGCAAGGCACCCAGTATCGTACATAAAACCAGGTCTAGAAAGCTGAGACCCATACGCCACCACTCAAGGCGTTTGGGCGTACAGGCGTTGCCGCTACGAAGAATCTTTCTTTCGTGATTGTCATTTCCGGTGCTCAGCTCGTTCAGCTCTGCTTCAAAGTTTGAAAAACGCCAGTATCCTGAATGCTGAAAAAGGCGTGATTGGGCGAAAACACGATGGCACGGGCAACATCATATTCTTCCTTCAGCCCTCTGGTCTCTTCGTCTCTTCGTCTCTTGTGCTGCTCCGTCGTTCCTTCAAGCCGCTCCCCGGTTGGAGGCTATGCTGTATCCTAATGTCAGGTTTGATAGCTTCCCATGATGGGGTTTGGAAATCACCAACACTTCCTTGTTCAAGTCAATATATCTTCTTCATATTTTGAATGACATTCTGTGTCATCGGGCATATCTCATCTGCGTGAATTTCTATTTGTAAAACAACCACTCCTCTATATCATCATATCGGCATCACTAATGGCGCCATGGAGGAGGGGACTGGTTAATGATAAAAACGAGGGGTCAGCCGAACTGAGCCCTCTTACAACAATGTCCATCCCTCACTCTTTCCTCTGCTTTTGCCACCGAAATCGGCCTCGGCCGGACCTTGGCTCCGAGTCTGCTCCAGCAGCTATCCAAGTCCAGCACTATTCTCGTGCCTCATAGGACCCCTCCCTACCCCTTCGGTGCTTGTGGTATCATCGACTGCTCCTCTTCTAGTACAGCGGTCCGCGGCGTCCTCGGCGCTTCTTCTTCGTTGCGGGTGTGTGCAACACGTCACCCTAGTTTTTCATGCGCATACTCATCTCCTAAGAGAAGTACGAAGTGATCGCTCGTTGAGATTCGGGCGAGAACTGCTGGAGCAGCGGTGTGGGGTCAACGCCTGCCTGGGACAGAAGAGTCTTGATGGCGAGTACTACGCGGCTTGCAGTCTGTCCTGCCAGAGAGTCTGCCTCCAGAGCCTGTGCAGTGAGCACAAAGATCTTGCCAGCCTGGCCAACGACAGCCGGATGTTGCCTGAAATCACGAATTAGTATCAGTCATATTCAACTTCCCACGTCTTGGAAATGTGCTCACTTGTCAATCAATTCTGCCAGGTAGGCGTAGGCGTAAGGTGCGGCCTCCTCGTCATTTGTGACGGGAAGGGTCTCGATCCACTGAGCCACGACATTGTTGGGATCCTGAACTGAGCCGGCGTTGAAGTGAAGAATCTTGGCAATGGCAGCACAAGCATTCTCCGTTGCGTAGACATTGTCCTCGCTCCGCGCCTCGGGAACCTGCGTCACTTGGAAGAGGAAAGGCAGGGCACCTCCCAAGAACTGGGCCCAAGGATGACCGCCGCGGTGGGCAGCCACACCAATGCCGTAGGCCGCAGCCTGGCGGATGGCGGGCGATGAGTCCCTGCAGCCATCAACCAGGGGCTGGGTGATGAGGTTGGCGTACTTTTGGCTTTCGGTGCCGCAGTACTCCAGCACATCGTCCATGATGCAGAGACCCCATTGACGCTGGGTAGGGTCTTCCGACTTGAGGAAGCCCTCGTAAGTGGGGAGCAGGCGTTCCCATGACGGTAGGAAGGCAGCGCCGTGGTTCTTGAAAATGGCGTGGAAGGCCTTGTTCATGTCAGACAGGAGCGTCTGATCGTCCTCGATAGCCAACAAAACGTCCTCGGCTTCGTCTTCCACATCCTCGGCCCCGAGTGCCTCCTTATCCTCGAGACGCTGGGCAACACGGTCCTTGTAGTCTTCAATGGCAGAGTGGACTGAGTCGATGAAGCGAGAGAGGTGATCGGCGGTGAGGCACTCCTTGCCAATGACTTCAACGGACTCGTAGAAGCACTGGTACATCTCGGCAAGAGTATCAATCGCAGGTTCCGCGGTCAACACCTCGAGAAGCTTGTCCACAGTCGCAGCCCAGAGCCCGGCGAGCTCATTTGATGGGCTGCCGTACGTCTTCTTGTAGGAGCTCAGAAGCTGAGGTACCAACTTGGCCGAGATGAATCTGACGGGGTCGTGGAAGAAGAAGGCCAGACCAGGGAGGGCAATCTTCTCCATAATCTCGGCCACGTAAGGGGCGAAGCTTCCCTCGAGCACCTGGGCGTACACGACAAGTAGCTCAATGGCCATGTTCTTGTCCTCCATGGTGCTCGTCCGAATTCCAATCATCTTACCCTTGAGAGGGACGAGTTCCCAACCATCCTCCTGCTGGATCTGCTCGACCTGATCCTCGTCATCCAGGAGCTGAATGTCGGCCTTGGCGCTAGCGAGCTCGAGAAGAGGTGGCATGACGTTGGGCAGGAAGGGAAGGAACTCCTGGCCGAGGACTCTGCACATACGGCCCCAGCAGTGCATCAGATATTGCGCCTGAGGGTCATCAGGATCGGTAATGTTTTGCTGAATGGAAGCAAGGAGCTGGACAAGAGTCATGGCATCTTGGCCAAGTCTTTCCTTGCCAACAGCCAGGGCGATCAGCGTAGCGCACTCCATAGCCTTGGCGCGGAGAAGGCGGAACTCCTTGTCGTTTTCTCTCTGCAAAACACTGACCAACAGAGGCATGAGAGTATCGTAGTACTTGGAGAAGGCAGCCTCGGCAGCGTCGGCGATGGTCGCGATGGTCGACAAAGCCTGCTCCTGGACGTAGCGCTTCTCATTCTGGAGCAACTGGAAGAGGTGAGACAGGAGCTCATCGAGGTAGGGCTCCAGGATGGACTTCTCGGCCTCCTCGCAGAAGTTGACGAGGGCAGCGGCCGCGTGCGACTTGACACGAGCCTCGGGAGAGTCAAGGACCGGGATGATGGCCTTGAGAACACGGTCGTAGTAGTCGGTCTGCATCTTGGGCGCGAAATCGGTGCTCATCTGGCCAAGAGCATTACATCCAGCCCAGCGCACACGGGGGTGCGGGTCCTTCAACGCAGGAACAACGAGGTCGAGAACCTGGCTGAGCTCGCCGATCATCAACTCCCGGCAGCCTTCAGAGATGGCAGAAATGGCCATAAGAGCCGCATGCCTGTCTCTCCAAGCCATGGAGGTCATCATGCGGGGAAGCCAGTTGAAGGTCGGTGCCAGGATGGTCTGGCCGCCAAGCTTGTTGGCGAGTCTGTCCATGCACTGCTCTCCGGCGACGTGGTTCTGGTCGCTTTCCTCTTGGTCCAGCTAGAGAAGTGTTAGTATTTCAATGACGTGAATTCAAGACAAGCCAAAGGTGCTACTCACATCGTCAGATGACAGCCACTCAGCAGCATCGTCGTCGTCCTCCCCAAGGTCGGTCATGAGGCTGAGGCACTGTGTAATCATATCGTTTGTGTAGGTCTCGTCCTTGCGGCACAGAGACGGCGCGTAGTCGGCAAAAGTGGCCATCAACTCGAGAGCGTTTTGGCGGCAAAGATTGTCGAGCTCCTTGTCCTGGATGACGGAAATGCTGAACTTGACTAAGTTGCCGAAAAGAGGCTTGAACATCTTGGGCGCGGTCTCGGCCATGTCAATCAGGGCGACAAGGGCGCTGCTAAGGTCCTCGGAGTCGTGGCTTTCCTTGATAGGCGGCATGATGTTGAGAACATCGGTAATAAGAGGGTAGTACTTGGGCTGCGCCTTCTTTCCCAAGCTCCTGAAGAAGGCCGCAAACGCCTCCATAGCGGCCAGACGCACCTTATTGAGAGTCAGTCGGTTTGACACCGGTAGCGACTGGATCGGGGTTCTCCTACCTGAACGGAATCGTCCTTGAAGCCTTTCTGGAAGGCCTGGATGACGGTGTCCTCGTGCTGCTTCTCGATAATACCCGGGGTCGTGGCAAAGACACGGAATGCCGTCTCTCTCTTCTCGGCGTCGGGCGCTATGCTAAGCTGGAAGAGACCGCCCAGCAGCTCGGGCCAGGAATCATCTGCCATGATGTTAGGCTCGGAACGTCCTCAAGCATGAAGGAGCAGGATCTGGGTGTCAACGTACTGTTTTCGGTGTATTGCCTCGCGACTTCAGCGACAGCGTCACTGATCTTGTTTCTCACGGCACGCTGGAAGTCACCGCCGAGGCTCTCGAGAAGCTTCTGGCGGATGACGGCGGCCTGGTCCTGGGACAAGGACAAAAACATATCAACCAGCTCGCCGCGGTCATTCTTGCGGCTCTTGGAGGCGATTCTTCGGAAAATAACGGCGGCGAAGGAGCGTATCTGGTGAGCAAGATGGCGCGGTTAGCTGAAGGTCAGAAGAGCGTGTGTGTGTACACGCGCAAGAAAGGCGAGGGAAGATAGAGGCGAAGGCATAAGGTGCAGGGTGGACGAGCGTACCGAAGCATCAGAACCGACTTGGACCTGCTCTGCGAGGCCCATCAACAACACCTCGGGTCGGGTGGCGGTCCAGTTATTTTGAAGGTGGTCTTCGGCTTGCGATCGAACCGAGTTGTCTGGGGATTGGAGAGCTTGCAGCAGCTGCGAGAGCTCTGCGTGGACGTCTGGGGGAAGAACAGACATGTTTGCGACTGAGACGGGAGAGGATGAGGGTGGGTTGTTGTCTTGTCGAGTCGTCGTCTGCTTTTTTGCAGATTAATTAAAATGACCAGCCCCAAGACAGCGCAGCCGGGGCGGTGTGAGGTTGTCGAGGGCGCAAAGCTTGTCGAAAAAAGAGGTAGGGTGTACGCGGGGGAAGAGGCGGATAAGAGTCGGCGTCGGGTTATGTTTTGTTCTGAGGGGTACTTTTTTACCCTTTTCGGTAGCCCAATGTCTCTGGACCTTATTTTTTTTCCCCCAGTTCTTGGTGCGCCAAAGTAAGCGAACCCGTGTCGGACGAGGATAGGGAGGAAGGCGGGTATATGCAGTGGTCTACTGGAAAGAAGAGACTGATCGCAATGAGCAATATGTGCTTCAAGAGGCACGGTTCGGGTGGTGGAGGGAGGTTTATTTTTTTTGGTCGAGGGGGAAGAAAAAAAAAAACAAAGGAACATGCAGGAGTCAAAAAAGTGAGGCAGCAAGCCCGCGATGGTGAGGGACCAGGACTGGGGGGTTCTTCTTCGGGTCTTCTTGGTCGTGGAGGGGAAACCTGCAAAAAATGACAATAATTTGGGTAGGTTTTTGGCGGGGCTGTTGCTGCTGAAGGTGGGCTCCACTTGTACGTCCCTCATGTCCCTCCCGTCAAGCCGTCCATGGCCTTCTGGTAACTTTACTCATACTGAGATGGTGTGGCTGCTTCGTACCTGTGGTGCGGCGGCATTATTAGCACCCAAGGCACGAAAACGCGCTGTCCTGGGCTGTCGGTGGTCTGTCTGCCCTGGCCCCCCGGCTTGAGGAGGGGTAGGGGGACGGATGGGAGGGGTTCTGCTGTGTAAGTGCCCGTCTACGGTAGGTACAAAGTACATCGTCACTTTGTGTGTACGGGTAAAATAATTTGTTAGTGATTTGGGGTTTTAACTGGCTGTGGTTGCATGTGAAGATTGGTCTCCACCAACGGGTCAACGTTTGATCAAGGTTCCCTCCTCCAATGCACAGGCACGCAGACGCGCATAGCAGAGCAGAGCAGAGCAGAGCAACGGCGACTTCTCTACACCTTGTTACCAAGTAAACCGTTGGCTGGTATGCTCCGAAATGCCAAACTCTACCCAGCAGACGTACCTTAGTGACGATGCCAGAATGAAGAGGTCTTACATTAGTCACATGACAAGTGTCGCCACGATGATCAGACTGATTGGTAGTCAACTCCGTGGTTATTTGTAAAAACCCACCAGCCAAATACCCAGCACACTCGGTATCATCAAAGCATCTACCTTGAGCCAAACAGTAAGATGAAATCTGGTCATAGGAATAGAACACAATCGAGACCCCAGAATAAAAGTGCAAGAAATTTCTGAGCGGAAAGGAAATAACACAAAGAAGGGAGAGCCCGCTGGCAAGCTCCACCATGTAAACATGCGTCGCATGAAGCCGAGAAGCTCACCCACAAGCAAGGAGCTCCCTATCTCAAGGCACTCGTGTTTTCGTCCAAGCTTCCGGCTGCCCTGACACTAATAAAGACGAGTGGAAAATGGCCATGAAGACCATTCAACAGACAATGCCCTTTGTTTCCACCGCCGTGCCTGCCCACCTGTGTCCCTGCGGCGGGCTTCGACGCGTCTTTCTAGGCATGGATGAGGCGAATGCATCAAGGGACAGCCCGCTAGCTGAAAGAAAAGATGGTACGGCGAGATATCCGGCCACATACAATATACAAAGCCCATCTGAATGCCAGGACCCGAGCACACACTACCTTATACAATCAGTGGTGGAGTTACACAAGGTAGCTGCAGGTGGCTCCTGACAGTCAATAGACGAAATGGCGAATGGATCTAACATATGATTGATCCAACGCGGAATTCATTCTTCATCTGAGGTGCATTGTAAACCTCATCTCGGAAGGTGCTTCAGTCCAGAGTCCGATTCGCCCTATTTTCCTGTACTTGATTTATGCACCAGTCCTGCATTATTGGAATACATATGAGTATGTATATGAGCGAGGTAGGTATGCCTAAGATGAGGTTACCAGTAATTTGTGTCTCCAAAGAAGACGTAGCCAATGGAAACCCGGTCTGCCAACCTACCTGTTGAAGGAGGGGTAACGGGGTTCCTTACACTAAATTTGAAGACAGCCTCAGTCGATGCCAGGTTCCAATTCCCACCACCAAAACTTCCCGTCGGCGCTGGTCATGACCCCGGGCTTGCGTCTCCGGGGTACGCGACCCCGCCGTGTAGTGGCTAACTTCTCCCACCGTAGCGCCTGCCATGATGCTTCACTTACCTCCAGGTCCCTTAGGCTACGGTAATTAGCGAGGTACCTAGCTACCTACGGTCCAATAGCTGCAACCCCTCATCTTGCTTCTTTTCTTTTTTCTTTCCCCGCCTCATTCTGGTCGTCGTCGATGTTGGTCGTTGCCGGAACTCTCTTCAGACCCTTTACACATAGTTCAAACTACACTGCCATCTCGCTGTCCCATCATCCCAGCATCGCGACGTTCAAAGACTTCGACTTCTTCTACACGAGTCAAAAGACGTTTCAACCAATAAAACACAATCTTCCAGAGAGTCGTGGAACACCCCCCGTTGAAAGCGCATGTCAAGTTCGCCTCCCCTGTCATCTTCGGATCCGTCAGATCACCGGAGCCCCTCAATTGCGATCCATAGCTCTACGTAAGGCGGTGCAGCTTCTCCAGCCCAGGCTGGGCAACTGTCGCTCTCGGGCGCAATCAGCCGACCGTTTGACTTCTTCGTCTCTCGGCGCCTCGTCAATAATCCCCTCAGCCACCACAGAAGAAGCGGCGTGCAGAAGTTAAAGTGCATTATTGAGAGAGCCTTCAGCCAACATCACGAGCTTCTACGCAGCAAGTCGCCAAGCACCATCGAAACCCCGCCCACAATCACTCTGCCCGTCTTGCTACAGCACCCCGAGTAGATTAGCCCAACCCAGATTGCACCAAGGGCTCCCCGATCGAATCAAGCCATGGACGCAACACCAACGTCCGGGGCGCACAATGACGAAGCCATCATAACCTCACCTCCTGCTGTCCCTCAGCGAACTCCCTCCCAGACGAGCCTGCACAAGACCACCCACGTCCACGCCCATCGCCAGAGCTTTGCTGAGAACCTGAGAAATGCGCCTGGCTCTCCTCGCGCCCAGCGACACCCTTCCTTTACCCAAGCTGCTGTACAGGATCTTCTGAATCACCCACCTGCCGCCAACAAGCACTCGAACCCGCGCTTTGCAGGCCGCGACTGGCGCGATATCTCGGTCAACGAGCTCGTTGCCCAAGATGACTTCCGATGGGCCACTCTAGACACCAGTGTCGAGGAGGCCTCTATGGTACGTCTTCTTCATCTTGTCCAAGTGCTTTGCATCGTTTACTAACGCTGCGGTAGACTCTAGTCAAGCACAGCCCATCCAACGTCGTTCTGATCCGAGAAGATGCATCGGCCAAGACTGCCGTCTCTACCTTTGACTACAATGACCTAAACACATACCTCCTCGTAGTTGTAGGACTCGCCAGGCCCGACGAGGAGCAGGTGCCTCTGTACGACGAAATCGTGAATAAGGCCCAGACGGGAGCCCGGATAGCCCTTCGAGATATCCAGCCGCTTTGCCGCAAGGAGTCGCTCATCACCTTGCCCTTTGACGAGACACTGGAACGGGCCATCGAAGTGTTTGGCAGCGGCATCCACCGCGTTTTAGTCACGAACCCCACAGGCGACGTAGTCGGCATCCTCAGTCAGCTCAAGGTCATTGAGTTCTTCTGGAACGAAGGTATCAATTTCCCCGCCATTGACAGATTATACCCTATACTCTTGCGCGATATCGGCATCGGTACCCAGCAAATTGTTTCCGTCAAGTGAGTCCACCCGCTTATCGCCATCTTGTGACATGGACTGATGCTTTGCAGCTCCGACAGCATACTGGGAGACGCCCTGGCGCTTATGAACGCAGAGGGCCTAACGAGTGTGGCTGTCATTGACAATGGTCACAACGTTGTTGGAAACATCTCGACCGTAGATGTCAAGCATCTGACGAATGCCGCCGACGCTCCTTTACTCAAGCAGTCTTGCATGCACTTCATCTCTGTCATCCTGGGTGAGCGCGGCGTCGAGCACGGTCGCGACTCCTTCCCGGTCTTCTACGTCAACCCGTACTCGACACTGGCGCACACTGTAGCAAAGCTGGTGGCTACTCAGTCTCATCGCATGTGGGTTGTCGAATCGGCGTCTCCATCTCCATCCGCACCGGCTACACCCTTGCTGGCACCCACGACGTCGTCGGTGCTGGTACCGGGCATTGGTTCCGCGCCTCAGTCGCCTCTCCCGACCCAGGTTTCGCACGCTGTACCTGCTGCAGCCATGCCGGGCGCCCATCTCTCCGGGCGTCTGACCGGTGTCATCTCGCTGACCGACATCTTGAACATGTTTGCAAAGTCGTCGGGGCTGCGGCCGTCGGATCCGGGCGAGCAGCGCGCGCGCCGTCGCAGGAGCTCTAGCAGCTCCATGCGGCCGAGTCTCGATTCGTCGAGACCGAGCCTTGACTCACGTCGATGAGAAAGAATTTGGGTGCCAGCGAAGGGGAGAAATAACAAGGAAGTCTTAGAGAGCTTTAATGATTGGCGTTTATGAGTTCGTCGCATGGGGCTTTTGCTTTTTGACTGGAGCATGATTGTGCTCAGGTTTTATGCTTTTCTTCTGTTTCCATTAGACGGCCGAAGCTTCAGACGAGATGCTCTAGATCACTTTCGATAACAGGCGGATCCCGCAATATATGTGATCTAAATATGGTGTCACCCAATGCCGCTCGTCCGTGACACATGGGATGAGCTTTAAGTGCCTCACAGCATCCATGTTTGTGGGTGACTACCTACCTGTTTTATGTCTGCCATCCTGTAGGCAAGTCTAACAGCCTGATTAACGATGTGATGGCGAGTGCAACTGGCCACGGACTTAGTATACGCCGAGTCGTTTCTTGGGCACTCGTTGCTATTGAACGTAACTTGTATATGATTGACCAGAGTAGACTACACAGCCCCTTGGCTGTGATCTGAGACTCCTTTTGCATGCTATGAGTGCCTCGCGGCCGCGGGACCTCTCTAGGCATCTTGTATTCCCTTGGTCAAGACGCGTTGGGAGATGAAATGTGCGCGCAAAGTGTGTTGTCATCAACATGTCGGCCTCCGGAGTCCAGATCCCAAGCATGGTCATATGTCCCCTCACCTTGGACCTAGTGAGCTAGCAAAGGTTACTACAGTCGATCGTGGATGAACGTAGTGCTGAGCCATCTCAAGTATCCTGCTTGGTGTTCATCACAGTGAATACACGGCAGAATACGTAGGGGAAAAGGACACCAAAAAAACAAGCGATCCATGGCATTATGTAGGACCGTGAGCCGACATACAACCCCTTGCTAATGAATGCTAGAATCATACCGCTCGGCTGTCGAATACAACGGACGCTGCTTGTTGAAAAAGAAGTCGTACTCTGTGTGGCTATGAGGCAGCCCACCCCCTTCTCTGCCACCACCACCACCACCAATAAACGCACCTGCCATACAGACCTAGTCTCTCACGGTGAACATTGAGTGAAACGAAATTGCTAGCAATCGTTTTCCATTTTGCATCGTATATATAGTTGGAGCTGTTGTCCACAGATTGAATATGTACACTCCACGCCAAAAACTTCTCCCTCACTCCTCTCCTTTTCCAAAGTCAGACTGAAATCATGAATTGAATCCAGAGCAGAGAGTCAATTTTGACCCAGTTCCACGCTTTAGATGGGAACACCAGCAGCGGCGCAGGTATTCTGGGACCAGGTGAGAGCGGCGAGACTAGGAAACGTAAGAGTCAGTTCTTGTGCAATCTTACATCCCCATTCGGGGGACCATTCGGGGAGAAGAGATAAAGTGTCACTTACGCGTCGGAAATCTCGCAGGCGCCGAGAACGCAGTTGGTCACGGCGGTGTTGTACGCGGAGGAACTAGATGAATTAACAGCCACGTATTAGTCAATGAATTCTCGGAAGGCACTTTGGACGTGTATATATCCATGTTCCTGAGCAGAGGGGGACAAGAAAACTCACGCGCAGATGCAGGCAAAGTCGGTCTGGTCAGCGCAGCCTGAGACGGGGAAGTTGTCGACGAAGCATGGGCGCTAAAACATCAAAGATTCTCATCAGCCCATGATTCGAATTGGGAAACACCAAGTGTCGTCTGCCTCAAGATAGACAGGCGGGAGGGCTGGGGGATGTGCTGTGTTTCATACCGCGCAGTCGGGGAGGAGAGAAAGGTCCTGGGCAGCGACGAGGCTGGCGAAGAAGGCGACGGCGACGGTGGTGAACTGCATGTTGACTGGTTGGTCGTGTAAGACGGTGTGAAAGTGGGCTTAGTTGTTGGTTTATCTTGGTATTGATCTGAGAGTTGGTGATGTTGTGCAATTGGAAGGGTTAATCACGACATCTGGGGATGATGGGTTTATATAGATCGTTTTCTGATCCTCCTCCTAGTCTGATGTCCTTTACTCTTTCTCAACATGACATCGATACTTGCCAAACGTCAGGAACCCATCATGGATGGTCCTCTACCCCGCAAACTACTACCCACATTCTTCCCTTTTCCCATCTTTCAATCGTTTCTTCCCTTGCTTACAGCTACAAAGCGCTTAGGTTAGGGAGTAAGAATGAATCATTTCCCAATTTCACATGATGCCGAAAAAAACACTGGACGCGGGGTTGAGGGAAGAGAGGAGGCGTGAGCAGGCCGCCAAGATGGTTCATCGCGGCATTGGAAAGCAACCCTAGACGGATGTGACGTGCCCCAATGGACCTGGCCAACATCGGCGACTTTGCCGGATGGAGAACCACGAGGGAAGAAAAAGAAGCTTGGAGGTTGAATAACCTTGATTTAGATGATGTGGCTGTACGTATGCTTGTTTACCTCAGCAGGGGGGTTGAGGAGGAGGAGGAGGAGGAGGAGGAGGAGCAGGAGGAGGAGGAGGAGGAGAAGCAGTAGGAGGGCATCATGCTGACTTGAATCAGATCAACTTAACAAGGACCGCCCCTTGACCTAGACTTCAAGACGATGAACTACAACAGTCTTCCCAGCGCCAAAGTACGAGATGAACCTCTAGGTGGTAACGGGGCAGCTTCTTCTCTCTCCTCTCCGTTAACATCTCTTTGAACCATTGACCGGCTCCGAGATACGCTTGAACCCGCCTACCTAGGTAGTCGCTCGCAAACGGCGGAGACGTGAGTATAACACGCTAAGAGCCTGGTCGATTAACACGAGCGCATATAACGCCAGCACCTTCCTCCGTTCTGGCCCGCACAATTTCGGCCGATCACAAGGCCAACTCGGACATGGAGGCATCTCAACCGATGTGACACTGGCTTAAAGTTGCGGGGAAGCTTGATGTAGGTAAACCCCAGTGGTGACTAGCAGTTCTATCCATAATCCAAGAGAGGAGCGGTTCATCTCAGGTCAACCGTTTTATGACAAGGGAACGCGCCTACATGAGATACAACCTCGTCACATCCTCCCTCCTTAACCTTCATGAGATCATGACATTCGAGGCCCCACACCCCTTTCAAGAATTTTGCCAGGCACGGCACGGCACAACGGTTGCTGGGTGATCGGCTCTGCTGGGAACCTGGATAGGGAGGTGGTTCCTTCCCAAACCCTACTTGTGGACTTGCTGCAAATCCGGGGATTGCGGGGAAGGAAGGGTATATTACGATGTAGAGGATGGAGTGGTACTCCGCAGTGTGTGAGGTTGCATTCGGAGGGCCAGGGTGTGGCCAAGGACGAAGTTCCTGCATCGGGGGAAGCATCGGGGTCAGTCGAGCCAAGCCGCTCCGCCTGCGGGAAAGGCCTTTGAGTGAGAGTGGCTTGCCGAGGCGAGGCGAGGCGTTATGGGAGAAGGTAAAAATGGCTTCTGATAATGTGACTCCTGGAAAAGACTTGCTTTTTTTTCCTTATCCTCTTCTTCTTCTTCTAAGAGTGGTTTTGTATGGATGAAGAGTAGCTTGTTTTGACGGAGACGTGGGCGCGGAGAGTTGTTCAGAGCTCGGGGGCGTTATCAAATTCGTCACTAGTCGGACAAGGCTTCCCCGCGCCGGCACTTCAATGCCGTATTTGAATATTTAGGATTGCAAGTGCAGGGGTGGCTTAAAATGAAGACTTAAGATGTTGACAAGTTACGAATGACATCTTGTTCTCTGGTCAGGTTGGTAAACTGTAAGCTGACGGTGACTGGCGCTCACAGAATGCCCAAATCCTCCCAGAGAAAACGATACTTTGAAGCAAAAACGATTTCCCTTACGGTTCGAGTTACACAACAACAATACATAGGTGCCAGACAATTTGAGCAACGAGAAATAAACGAATCTAGGCTGCTCAACAGACAGATGCATAATAGGAGGATTAAGCCCACTTCAAAAGAGTGGGCAACGGCAAAAGTTCCGAAACCGAGAATCGAACTCGGGGCTATGCCTAACCTCTCACGCAGATGAGAGGGCATCATGTTGGCCACTACACCATATCGGATGTGGATATTTCTTCGGCTCCCTAATCCAACTACACACCAATCCCACCAGTGGACGGATAGAGTAGAGCTGATACTCCAAACCAGATTGTGCTGTCATGAACTGATTGATTGTCCGTGATCCTATGTCAATCATGCAAACTCACTGAAACCTAAGAGGCAATGAAAATTGGAGACAAAACTTTCTTTGCACTCAAACTAAAGTGCAATTCGAATTGACTTTCGTCTTGCGTAAAGACTGGGTTAGTGTCATCTCGATCGCACACTGTGTCTCAGCACTGTCCCTCAAAACTTTCAAACCTACCTCCAACAACTCATATCTCGGTTCATCTCATCTACCAAAAAATATCACCCCCAAAATCTCACTTACAGCAACGCCTCACTATTGTCAGTTCTCACAATAGTTGCCCTCGAATACGCCTCACAATAATTAATCCCAGACAGAACTTCAATCAGAAAGAGAGACTGTCCCATCTCACATAATCCGCAACCATGGCAACCACAACAACCCAAGACTTCACAACTTACTACCTCCAACGCACCACCCAAGAATTCGCAGAGGATCTAGACAAAGTCCGTGCGGCCGACGACTTCAAGGCCGAGTCGCTGCCCTTCCTGATTCATGCTCTGCAGCAAGGCACCGCGCTCTACTCTGAGCGGGACCAGGAGCGCGTCGTCAAGCCTACTACCGTTGCTGCTGCTGCTGCTGCTGCTGCTGCTGTCGTGGATGATGATGATGTAGACATGGCGGATGCAGCCGCTACACTAGCCGACGCAGAGGAGCAGCAGAAGGAGGACGCCGGTAAAAAGGATGAAAAGAAGGAGAAAAAGGACAAGAAGGAAAAGTCCAAAAAGAGGAAGTCGACTTCTGGTTGAGGGTGGTCCCTGTGTTAGGTCCTTGATATGCGGGGAATTGGGAGGGAAAGCTCGAAGACTTGGGCGCAAAGGATTCTTCGCATCGCAACGTTTGAGAAACTTGGACTGGACGAAGCTTCCGGGCCGCGGAAAAGCCCTCATTCCAGCAAGGTGTCTACGGGACACCGTGACTGGCCTCCTCGAAGAATACGCCAATGTCGCTGGCGTAGAAGCCCGACGTCGAGAGTAAGGGAAGAAGAAGGCATGAGGCAGGAATGCAAGCAAAACAAGAGGTTTCGGGGGCAATGGAAAGACAAGGTGGTCCGATTCAGATCAGCTCTTATTGGAAGAGTTGAAAGCTATAATCAGCAGCTAGAATCTCGTCACGCCGGTTTACTTGATGAGATTTCCTGTGCCAAAGACCGGGCAAAGCGTAGGCGGGATAGAGAAGGGCACCGCGACGAAACCCAAGGCCAAACAGAATACCTTGCAATATGCTAGGAGAAGCCTAGTGCCGGCATAGAAGACGGAAAACGGAAACCGGCTACGAAGTCGCAATAACATCAATGCAAATCAATCTCGCACCATGTATTCCACGATGCCTTGTGTCTACTCACAAACCGTTTGGGAAGCCCTTTACATGATCATGATGATAATTCAATTCTGCGAGGTGTCATGAGGGTATCTCTAGGATTAAGCATTACAGAAAAAGAAGAAAACGCCCTTCAGCCATGCTTCACACATACACGCCATCGCTGTCTAATGCCGTCGTCGACCGCGAACTCATTACTGCGTCGTTGCCGTGTCATTCCAAGCCACTCATCTCATAGTCAATTATTCCTAAACGGCTCAAGACAGCCGATACGACCGGCGGCCGATCTCCTTGCGCACAGCCCAGCCCTTGATGGCCAACACGATGATAACCCAGGCCATCAAGACACCCACAAGGCCCATGGTCACGGTGTACATGAACATGGCATCTAGGCCGTAGTGCTCCATGCCCTCAACGGTATCGCTAGCCTAGTCCATTGTAAGCTGTTGTTCGTTCGAATTATAGTAGGCAAAAGGAAACTTACGCTCGCCATGAAGATGATTCCGCCAGAAGTTAGACCAAACGCAGCGAGGAGCTCCGTGGGAGGTCGAGACGGAAGAATGGACTTGGGAGGCTTCAGATACATGATGACGTATGAAAAACCGCGAGCGAAAGAGGCGCCGGTGAGGAGGTTACCCCACTGCTTGTGAATCATGCTCGAAACCATGGAGTGCTGGGTGTGCGAGCTCATCATGATGCCTAGGAGAAGGATGACGAGCGCCGGGATGGGGTTGATGGAAAACTCATATTGCTTCGGCGGCTGGACATCCTTCTTCTGCTCTTCCTCGTCGTGGTATTGCTCAGAAGCAGCATCGAGAACCGATGTGTTCAAGAGCTCTCGAACGCGACTCGATTCGATAAGCATGCCGACCTGGTTTTAGGTGTTAGTCCACTCTGCGATCCATATTGCCCTTGATGAGAGGCTTACCAGTCCACCACCAATGAAGAGAACGGTGATTGAAATGTGCTCCAGATCCTGCGCGCTGTACTCTCCTCCCCAATTTCCAAGATGCTCGAGGAAGATGTTGGTCGATCCGTAGATAAAAATGAGGGCGCTCTCGACAAACTCGGCCGAAGGCCGCCACTTGCCGTCGGCGCGCTTGGGCCGAACATTCCACGCCTGCCGGAGCAAAGTCAGTAAAACGGTTCCGGACACGGCCGGCAATGGACCGCAGACTTACCCATCCGAGTTCACCAAAACTACCGGTCCATCGACCAAGGGTCAATAAACCAAGCCAGAAGAAAATGCCGCCCTTGACCCAATGCGCCAAACCGCTGAAGATGCCGTTGCCCTCCTGTGATATTTTGTTAGCGTTACGACTCTAGTAAGCTTGTTCATGTATCACTTACAAAGAACCGCCCATAGGCCACAATTCCTAGACACAAGGTGGCAAAACCCAGCGGCAGGATAGTCCTGTCGATCAAGTTGTAGAAAAACAAAAGACCCTTCAACACGCGTGAAGGCATCTTTCCCGCGATCCTGCCAATAGCCGACCTGGGGTTGGCATTGTTGTTTTCGTTCCCGTTGCTCGGCATGGGCATGGGAAGCCTATCCTCCAGATCGTCCTCTTCCTCGGCGTACTCTTTGAGGTAGGCATTGGAGCTGCGCGGGGACACCTCATTAGACGATGAAGAGCGGGAGTGGCTCCGGAGCGATTCGGTACAAGGCTCAGTGCCCTGCCCGCTGTCGTTTGAGAGGCGGTACTCGCTGGCATATCGAGAGCTGTTGATGCGGTGGTGCTCAGCCATGGCAGCCGTAGAAACTGGGATGAATGATTGGCATTCGTTATGGTCGGAGGTTTCGCGACTGTCATGCCTCAGAGCGCCAGCAACTCTTCCTACAAGGCCGACCAGAACCTGCGCCAAGAGGACCCAGGTTACCAGCCAACCCAGTTTGTGGTGCGCATTGTTGGGGTAGAGATCAGGTGTGCTGGCGTTGTAAATTGTTCCCAGGAGAACTCCAAGCGCATTGATAGCCATAAAAATGAATTGTAGCGCAAGTGTATATCTAGAGCGGGCAATGGAAAGCATCACAGCTGCGAATCGCGTGTAAGTTAAGTCGGCATATGCCTTTCGGCAGGAGCTCGTCAAACGTACCAACTGGCAGAACGAATATCCACGCGAGTACCATAGCTCCAATGTGCGCGTACATTAGTCCAGCATGGTCGGCGAGTGCAAAGTATGTGGGCGGATAGCTTTTGGAGTCGGTTTTCGGCTCGTCTGCGCCGGGAGCTATACCCATCTCCATCTCCATGGCGTCGGCGCCAGCTTCGTGAGCGCCGTGGGCAACGACTAAGGGCACAATACCCAGCGCCACTACCGTGGTGATTTGGCTACTTAACGATCTCATCAAGGGCCTTTTTGCGACTAAAATGTTCGTCGTCGCAAGATGAGGAGAGAGGTGATATCAGGTTTGCCGATGTCGCAAGGATGATGTTGAAATTGTCCCGGATCTATTCAGACAAGTAATGGTACGGTCGGTGAGAGGTCCGATTGGCACTTCTTCGCAGATGCGTACGCAAAGAGATAGGGCAGAAGGGTAAGCTTCACGATAATCGAAAGAATGCCATGAGCGAGAAGGAGGTCAGGTCACCTTTATTAAACAGCAAATAGAGTGGGGTCTAGCGAAGAGAGAAGTAGAGGAGTCGCGCCAGCGCCAGCACCGCACCGGAGACCGAGAGCAGTCCTTTTGCGATAAGATTCTTGTGTAGACTTGTAAGTGAGGTACAAAGCCACGGTGTAAGGGTAGGCCAACGATAGCTTCTTGGAGCCGGCGTCGGTACACGGCGATGACATGGCCGGGCTTTGGGTACCTTGGGTCTGGGCAGCCAGAAGTCAGGTCATACCCATGTGCGTCCCCCGTCTCCATTGTACTTTATGGGATGGTGCAAGACGGGAAGGTACCGGTGGTGTATTGCACATGCCGTTGAGGTGACTTCCTGGAAGTCATCCTACCCACCCCGTGTAAGGTAAGGCGGCCGCCGCGAGAAAGAAGTCACCGACCAAGGTAGACGCGAGGCGAGTGGCAGCAGTACTGCATATGTTCGGCAGCGGGTGTGTAAGTGGTGACAAGGTCAAGAAAAAGTGCAAAGGCCGACTCCGAAGGTTCCGAAGGCATCCACGAGCGAGGGTCCGGCCAAGTCCAGTATCGTCCAGTGACCACATAGAAGAATTAGGCCAAGAGCTGCGCGGGATGGAAACGGTAGTAACTTGTCCAACCCACCTCGCCCTGGCGGAGGTACTCGAAAGATGCACCCGCCCACCGACCCGAAGCTACGGGAGCTGGCCGGCACGGGCACGTTGTAGTTTGGATGGAGGTGGGTGAAAGTAGCTTGGAGGAGTGACATGTGGACGATGGGCATGGAAGACGCGAGAGCTTCATTCCCTGAGATTCTTCCTTCTCTCCTCCACGCCGTTATTACTGATGCAGGTGGGGCAGACACTACGCTGTAGGTACACATCCTGGGAATCTAGTGGGGGTGCGGGGAGCTTACCTGCACCAGCTTACCAGACTAGCTGCCTTATGCCAGCGGATTTCGCGGCAGTGACGCCATGAGACCCTGCCAGAAATTTTCATCACCATCCCACCTTATTGGAGAGAAGAAGGTTGCGACGAGTGCAGTAGCGTAGACGGGCAGGTAAGGTAAGTATTCACCTTACCTGTCTTTGAAAGAGGAGGGTATCATTCCCGGGAACAATTGCGACCAAGTAGCAGTTTGTACATACATACTCTCACTCATCCGATGGCTCACTAACACTTACACGCTTAGTCAATCAAGCTCATCCACCAAACGTCCCTGATCATGATATCAAAGTGAGAACCTCGTTCTCGGTAAGTGAGTGGCTAAAACTCACAAATGCTCATAATGCGCCACTCATTTCGTATGTTAGCCTCATGAAGAAGAGAAGAGAGGACGATCTTCAGCATTCAGATGTACTCCCTTGAACATGGAATCCGTGACCATGCAGCTATGTGTGACTCTCCCGGGATCAACGGGGACTAGGGACGCCAGGTAGTCGAGTGGGTAAGATAGCGACTACAGAGTAATAGACCAACCCCAAACAAAACAACCTCATCGCCAAGATCACGGCAGCCGAGTGCCGTTCTCCGTCGTTCGATCTTCGATGACCTGCCCTCTCTCTACTTACATGCGGCCTCAAGCACCCCGAGAGACGATTTCTGACCACCAAAGAGTCGAGGACACACGCGTTCGATTCGTGATGCTCGCCGCAGCCACTTGAGCGTCGTCGTCCGAGATGTAAAGCTGGCAGAAGGCTCAGTGGATTTGTAAGACACATTTCCCAACGGACCAACAATACCAGTGATGTGTGTCCCACCATGTCAGATTCTTACATGAACGTGGCTTCTGAATACCTCCGTCTAGGCATGGCGGCATAGCAGTTGAGTCACACGGGTACGCGCGAGCTAGCAATCGCCATCTCATAACTCTGTGCCCATCCCTGCCTTGCATCGATCTGTAGTGTAACTTCATGGAGGTAGTGTGGTGGTGTCCACGGTGTGGTGTGCGTCGTTCCCACTCCACCGATGGGTGCGGTAAGCAGAGACTCAAAGAGGGCCGGCCGCGAGCTAAAATATCATAGGGCAGAAAACAAAATGTTTGTTAATAAGCAGAAACAAGATGTGCAAGGCCCCCAGTGCCGGGAGATGCGGGAAGCGCGAAGTACCGACAGGAACGTCTAATCTAGAACGTAAGAACAAAAGAATGGAACAAGAAAAGTGTTGGCCGCGCTTCTGAAGCTCCGTCCGTTCAGGCAAGCCGCGTCAACTTTTCTGACGCCCCAGCCCTGCTCTTCAACTATTGCAACATCATCATTTGCGACTTGGGCTTCCCACCGTACATGTCGGTATCCCGAGATGGGAAGTTGAACGACGTCCCAGCGGGCGGCCGAGCCTTCTGCCGACGCGGCGCCAAGAGAGAGCAATTAAACGGACACGGAGGATATTCCAAAGCTCCGTTCAACGAAGCGATATACGGAGTTCTTTACAGCGTGTCTCTCATCCCGTAGTCCCCGTAGACCGTCCGACCATGTGGTTGCGAAACCTCTGAACTTCTGATTTCCTATATTGATGATGATGAACTTGTGTCCATGTCACTTATACCTATTGTGCTGCCTGCCTGCCATCTGCAATGGAACTTTGCTCTGCTTCTTCCAATGGTCTGACTTGAAGGGAGCCAATGACTTCACCTACTTCTCTCTGCGCCGTGCCCTTGGCCTGAGTATCTTATGTCCAATGTGAGCGGTTGACCGAAACCTGCGCTGAACCATGCCCGCATCAACAGATGCCAGTACTGATGATTCACGTTGAATCATCACGTACATAATCGCAAGAGAACCAGCCCCACGGTACGGCTTACAGCGACCGCATTACAAATGGAGAAGAGATCTATCCACTCCGCTCCATCATGAAGGGCACAAGCCAACAAGCTGAACATCAGTCAGCAAGAAGAAAAATTAAGGTAACCTTATGAACAACAATCCCGCAACTCCACCAAGTGAAGAAAAAACCACATGGATGCAAACAGAAAACCCCACAACACCACACCCAGAAAATCCACAGAGAGGATCAGTACGTGCGCATCCTTGCCTCCGATCCGCCCGTCAAACCCGCGATCCCGCCCTCCTTCTTGGCTCCACATGACAAAAGGCCGGTTAAGGTACATTTGATGTACCCTACCTGACGGGAGGTACTTCTGTCCCTCTCTCTCTCCTCTATGACCGACCGGGCTTGAAAATCCAAGACACAACAGTGAAGGCCCCTCTTTTCCCGCGGCCTGCGGTCGGTGGGCCCGGGAATCAAGTCGGAGTCCGACCCGCATCGATCACGGGGCGTCGCAAAAAAGTCACAGAAAACGAAATTTTACTTTACATGGCGCTGATTCTGAAGAACATAAAATACCATTCACTTCGGTGCCACTACCGAATATCTTGAAAATTTTCACTTGTAACCGAAGAGCAAATATCGTTGAGAAACTTCCAACCTTCACACTCAGAATAGCAAGGTGATTACCTACAATTACCTAGGTACATGGTCAACAAATGTAAGCTGTACATAGAAAACAAGGCACCCCGCCGATTTGCATGGACGTTCTCATGATAGCGGCCAACTAGAGGGTGAGACTATGACATATCACCCAAAGTCCTAGTTTACACCAATCGCTACACTACACCGCCTTCAACCTCCACTATGTAGCTTGCGTCACAAGATATCGGAACAACGCATCCGTGTTGATGCTACCAAGAAGAAGAAAGTCCTTGGTAAGATGCAGACCGCAGACGCTGTTCTAGCCTTCCAGGTGGCGCCCCACTATCATCGTATATCCCGCCCCGTCACGAGGCTCGACTTGTCCGAACCTTCCGGCGCTTTTGTTGCCCTGTGTAAGCTCGCCGCAGAGCCATCGCGATGCACTGGGCCCAGCTTACGCAGACTTTTTTTTTTTTGAGTCACCGCCCCCAAGCTTCTGGCCCTGACTGAGTTGACAGAAAGCTATTGTATCGTATTGTACGCTCAAAACACTCCGGCCTAGAGCGGATTCGTCTGGCTTCTATGATATGTCCAGCCCTCAGAATCGTGCGGTGCATCTCCACTTCCTTACTGCCCTACCTTACACGGTAGCATGCTGAATCACGGCGTCAATCTACCGTCTTCGGATCCGAAGCTCCGGCCAAGGTCCGCTGGACCCCGCCGTTTTTCATCTACGACGGACTACAACGCCGATCGATCTTTCAACTTCCATCTCTCGCCGCTCTGGACAACCTTGTTTTCCTTTTCGAGCTTTTCCAAGATTTGTATGATCCCACCGCTCGCCGGGATATGCAGCTCCTCAGGAACGTCGGCATAGATGACCTTGACAATCTCCATGAGTGTCCAGGCATAAGGGTCGCCCTCGATATCAGAGCCTTGCCTCGCCGTCTTCAGCGTACGAATGACCTGCTCCTCTCGGGCCTTCCTGTGGTTGATGTACTCTTGAATTTTGGACGGGCCGTTGTCAATCAAGGGCCCGTGACCTGGATACGCCCTCCCCTTGAACAGGCGCTGCATTCTCTCGAGGCTGTTGAGGTAGACGATCAAGTCCTCGAATACGGCGGTGCCCTGGCCCAAGACGTTATCCGCCGTGAACATGGCGTCCTCCTCCTCCAAGACAAAGGCCATGTGGTCGACTGTATGCCCTGGGGTGAAGACAGCGGTAAGGCTGGCCCCGTCGACGGAAAACTTTTGGCCGTCCGAGATGTCTGACTGGCCTTCCTCGGGCTGGTTCTTGAAGACCTCGGAGCTTGGGGATAGCTCTAGCAGCTGTTGGATGCCGCCTGTGTGATCATGGTGCCAGTGGGTGATCAAGAGTTTCTCAACCGCTGCCTCCTCCTCTTCCAGAATCTTCTTGACAGCTGCGATCCACGAGGGTTTGCCCTCGCCTGTATCGATGAGTATACGGCGGCTGCCTGTGCCGACGAGATATGTATTGGTGCCTTGCAGCGTAAACTTTCCCGGGTTGCCTCCCAGAATGCGGATGCATGCTGGGCTGAGGCGCTCGACTTCGGGCAGTGATACTAGTTGTGAAGACATGATGTTGGTGTTCTTGGTGCGATTCAGATGGGCGATATGTCTTATCCCGGAGGTGGTTGAGTTAATTGGCCGTCTTAGTCACAAGGCAGCGTTGCGATTGCATGGGGAAAGCACGCTGAAAACAAGACCCCGCATGTTCCTTGAAGTAAGGTATGCGACAGAGAAATAGCCGCGACGTGATGCTGGGCATTCAATTTAGCGAATAGAACAAGCTGGTGCTACATGTACTTGAAGACGCAATGGAGGGGCAACTGAAGATGCCGAGGTTGAACAGAATGCGCCTTCCGTTAGGTAGGTGGGTAGGTACTTTGAGGCTCGAGACGGCTCCCGTCAGCGGCTTACATCAGCAATACGATGCAATTGAGAAGACGGAAAGTACACTGAATCCCATCAGTGGCAGTGACAGTGACCTCACTGATTTCCAATAATGCGCCAGAGAGGGTCCTGCTACAGCTCCACTTAAAAGTGCTCCGAGGTCCTGTGGGAATTCAGGGGCATAGGAAACTATCGGTAGGCGGATAAGCAAAAGTTGTTATCGATAAGATGCAGACCCCGATCAGGTGCCGATAAGATTGTATTTACTGCCTGTTGGCCACTGGCGCCACGGAATCTACCCGTCTGTGCACCCAGCGCCAGCTCCAACATTTGCAACTTCCAGGGATTGTTTGTAAGGGCTTTGGAACTGTGCCTTCCCGACGATCCTGAATCACTTTGCTCTTTGCGCATGATATTGTCGCAGTCTGGAGTCTCTGATTCTTCTTTTGCTTCTGCGCAACCAACTTTGGACTCTTCCAAGACTGCGACTTGGGAAGCGACAACCCGCGCGGACCTTCTCGATCTTCGGCTTGCGCCATCCACCAAAGCTCACCCACCCTTCCACTCTCTGGGGAGCTTCAACACCGGCGCGAAATCGCTCCTTCCGACAATCCAAACACCCTCTACTTTTCTCAGCATCACTGGCCCGGCTTTTCTGACTGGTAAAATCGACTCTTACTTTGCTTTCCCACCTCTTATATTCTAATTGACCCAGTCATTGCGACGAACTCGCGGCTAATGGTGGGTTACTAGTAGTATTGTTGCGCTGGGACCGACTCCGGCCGTTGCCGATCGAGATACCTTCCTTCCCATCGTCGATATCACGAAACTACCTTCTCGTTTTGGATCACTTTTTGCCTCGGCTCTTTTCCCCATAATAGGAACATTGCCAGTTTTTGCTTCTCGGGTACTCCAAGGCAAGAGCAAATAGGCAAAAGAGCAGGACGACCGATCGCTTAATTAAACAACAGCATCCACAGCACACAAGATGTCTGCACGACCAACGACGCCGATGTCGCCAAAGACCGCCAAGGTCAAATCACCTCTTCCTGGCACACCGGTCTTTGGCTGTGGTCAGTATACCCCAATTGTTACTTGCTGCGACGGCAGAAATGGCCCAAAGTCGGGCTGACAGGATACAAACAGAACACATACAGCAGTTGTTCACTCGGTCCACGGAGAGCATAACCCAGTGTGTCCACCACTACAAGATGATCCTTAAGAACATCTTTGAACAGACGCCCGTTGTTCCGCAAACATTCAAGAACTCTGACGGTCAGGTCATGACATCTCTCATATCCAACTACCTTTGTCTACAATGCTCCGCCATTGTCAATGAGGACGATCGTCTCAAGCACGGCACAAAGAAGCAGCATCGCTTCTGTATGTAGCCCATTACCGAAAAAACGTGAATCTCCTAACAAATTTTAGATGTCGACTCAAGGAGTGGTGCCCTCTACTGCCAGATATGTGATGACCTAGTCTGGGACCCCACTCTCGAGGAGCTTCGAGTTCGTAAGATGGGAACCGGGACTTTTTCTAGTAAGTTGTCTTCACTCATCACCTCGAAGCTCAAACCATGACTTTTGCGGCACCTCCTTTCTTTGACTTCCAGCTACCTGACCATATGCTGATGAACATTCCAGACCGCAAAAGAAAGCACGATGAGATGTTCTCAGATGGTGTAAAGGATAGCACTGCAAGCAACCCAGGCTATATCTCCAACAACACGACCACTGCCTCATGCAAGGCTAATGGGTTGCGCGGAATCTACAACGCCGGAGCAACATGTTATCAGAACGTAGTGCTGCAGAGCTTCCTCCATAACCCCCTCCTGCGCAACTTCTACCTGAGCGACGGTCATCAGAGCACTGATTGCCAGCTGACAAACTGTCTCAGCTGTGCCATGGACGACATGTTCCAGGACTTCTATGCTGTTGAGAATACTAATGGATTCACGGCGGCTAGTATTCTGTCTGGATTCTGGATCTCAGAGAAGAAGGCGTTTGAGAACCTGGTCACTACTAAGGAGCAGGACGCTCACGAGTTCTTCCAATTCCTCGCTGAGGAGTTGCACGAGCGAAACGGAGATGGCAAGCGTCCCGAGACTGGAAGCGAGCACACATGCAACTGCATCATCCACCAAACATTCTACGGCAAGCTCCAGACTGGCACTACTTGCCAGAACTGCGGAGGCGTCACTAATGCGGTCCAGTCATTCCTGGATCTCAGTCTCGGACTGGAGAATCTCTCCCACAAGAGAAAGAAGGGTGGCCAGAAGGTGCCCAGTCTGACTCTGCAGGAATGCTTGGACGAAGAGTATGTCAAGTCAGACAAGTGCGAGTACAGGTGCCACAACTGCAGCTCAATGCAGCAGGCGAAGAGAGCAACCAGCATTAAGCGTCTGCCAAATGTTCTCGCGATACAACTCAAGGTATGTCTACTGGCATGATTTGAGTAGACTTGCCGCCGACTAACAACTATGACCAGCGATTCGAGTATAAGCAGGGCCGCCATGACCGCGCATCAAAGATCGAGACGGTGGTTAATTTCCCCCTTCAGCTCAACATGCTGCCATATACTACCAGAGGTAGGGGCGCAGACCCCAAGGATGCCTTTGAGCTCGGAAGATCTTGCACGTACGACCTCCTTAGCGTGGTGGTCCACGTCGGCGAGATTGACACGGGTGAGCTGACATATGACGAACCAATTTGAATACCCATACTAATCGAGCACCCAGGCCACTACGTATCATACTGCCGCGTAGGCGACCAATGGTTTAAATTCAACGACCACAAGGTCGAGATGGCGACAAAATCTGACGTGATGAGCGCTCAACCCTATCTGCTCTTCTACATTATCCGTTCACTCTCGTAACCTCGTACCTCGAGAGGGAACAAGACATCTCATGCCAAGCAGTGTAAGATATTAATGCCACCAGGTCAAAGAGGATGTACGCGGTGGCGCTGCCGAAAGTATGTCAAACGGGATGGGGCCAAGGGGCGCTTTGGAATGGCGAAGGAGGGGGCGACGGAGGATCAAGCATCTTGTCGGCGTTGGAAATAAACGTGGGTAATGCATCATCTTGGGCCCTTTGGCAAGGCAAAACACAAAATCCGCATTTTGGATGGCAATCCAAGTAAGGGGCCATCATTGTATAGAACAGCGATCAAGCGTATGTACTTTCTATTGAAATCTCGGAAAACCAAAAAAAAAAAAACACTTTCCCAATTCGGTTCCCATCAGGGCCAGTCTTGCCATCGTGAAGCTAGCCAAGGTGAATGGGAGGCTGCATCGCCAGGGTATTTCTATCCGAGGTATCCCCCCTTTAACTCGCATCCGTCTCCTTCCACGTCCAGTCTTCGCACTCATAGTTTGCATTACAGCAAAACTCGTTGCTGAGCCCTCGCGAGTGCGTCGGCTCGTACGTGACCATCCTGACACCAAAGGACTTGTACACCTTGCGCACGATTTCTGCCATGCGCTCGCCGGTACTCACGATGACGCGGCTCTTCTCCGCGGCGTCCGGCTTCATCATCCACCGAACAGACATGGCAGCTGAAAAATTTAAATACAATCAGCATGGAGAGCGTTCTTCTAGTTTGCGTGACTGGGAGGGGCTACTTACTCTTGGTCTGGCAGTCCTCGCTGAGGAACGGGGGGTCGACGATGATGCGGTCTACGGCACCCTTGAGCTCGCCCGGGAGCTTAAAGGGCTGTGCAAAGTCGTACCAGACGAATTCGGGAAAGACGTTGAAGCGGTCGTCGTGCTCCAGCAGGTAGATCTTTGGCCGGGCCTCGCTCTCGTCCCGTGCAGTCTGCACAGCAGGTTAGTTAAAAAATCATTCAACGTTAAGGCGAAGATCGCCCGCCGTGTTGAGCCAAAAACTTACTAGGATATTATGCAGAGCAACAAACACACTGGGCGCGGACACAATCGCAATGGTGGTGTTCTCATCAGCGCCCTCGAGGAGTCGCCTCGCGTAGAAATCCATCGTCTCATCGGAGTACTGAATGCCAATCCCAGTTAGACTTTTGCAATCTCAGAAACTCTGCCAAAAGAAAAAAAAAACAAAGAAAGGAAAGGCAACATGAAGAGTTACCGCCGTACCCAGAATTGCGACTTGTTCCAGTCCTCCATGAACGCCGCCATGGAAATCGGCGCCTTCTTGGCCGCATTGGCCTCCGCTTGCTCCTGGAGCTTCTCAAACTCCTTTTGGCGGGCATCCTCCTCGGCCTTGAACTCGGCCAGCGCCGCCAATGCGTGCGAGGAGAGAGTACTTGTGGAGCAAAGTGTTAGTATCTAGTGATATTCGACTGGTGGAGACGGGCTCGAATTTTTCTTGGGCTCATGAGGGGTGATTTATGGCTTACATAGGTTCGTCGTCGCTGTCTGAGATGCTCATCTTTGCGGTCTTTTTTGAGATCGGCAATTTATGGGAGGCTTTTTTTGACAAGGAAAATTTGAAAGTTTTGTAAGATAACGACTGCAGTGAACAAGAGGTTCAGATGAAAGAGGAAGTATGAGTCGCAACGTGAGGTGAGAGGGAGGACCGCTAAGTCTGGGTCAAGGACCCAGTTTGAACTGTAAGAAACTACACTGTTTCAACGAATCAGCTTTGGCATTGCAGACATCCCGACTAACGCCAACACGACAGAATATAAGCCACTAATGAAGAACATCGCACGTTTTAGAGATGATATCGAAACTGTACATGGATTCCTCGACTTTTGCAACTCTGTCTAGCTGGCTACTTATATACACTCTAAACGACTTGCTTGCCCAGAATCAATCCCCTCCAACAAATGAAACCCAGGCTTACTGGTCGTCAAGAACATGCAGGTACTTGCGCTCCTCCTTCTTCTCCTTCTCTGTTGCAGGGGGCAAGTCGTAGAAGTTGGCACTGCGGAAACCTTGCTATAAGGAAGTTAGTACAAGTTGCTGTAGTAGAGATAATTGCGAGCATCCTTACCAGGTAGTGATATGTGAACTTGCTAATATCACCGGGCTCGATGCCGAGGTCCTTGAATGTCTTGGCCGTTTCGTCAATCTCTTGGTCGATGAATTCACGTTCAACCTCATCGGCGGACATGGTATGCCACCAGAGGTACTTGTTCAGAAGACCGGCGATAGGCTTGAGGACAGCCTTGGGGAGGTTGATGTGACGGCGCTTCTTGAAGATTTCACGGTCGGCGAACTCAGCAATCTCGGCCATCGAGTACTCGTTGGGACCGTACAGCTCGTACGTTTGACCTGCTGTGCTATCGTCGTAAAGCATGACCTCGAGAGCCTGGCCAACATCGATGGACTGCAACTGTTAGGCCTCGTGTAAGGTAGATGTCATCACGGATAGCTTACGTGGACAGGTCTGAATCTCTCCTGCATGTTGTTGGCAGTGAAGAGGTTCATGACGTTGGCGAGCTTTAAGAGAAGGTTGTCTTCGAAACCGAAGACGGGAGCCGGCCTCACGATGGTGGTCTCGGGGTAGATGCTGCGAGCGACCTGCTCACCACGGGCCTTGGTGCGGAAGAACTCGGATGTCGACTCCAGGTTGGCGTTGTAACTGGAGACGTGGATAAAACGATCGACATCGTACTTGGCGACAGCCTCAGCTATCCGCTCAGTTCCCTCAACATGGACATCCTCGAGGGAATAGTTCCTAGGCGATTTCTTAGCCATCGATCTTGAAGTGCCCCTCGCTTCGTAAACCTACTTGGTGGGGTAGTCGCGGCCGACCAGGTTATAGACAACATCGGAATGTCTGACGCTCTCCTCGATCGATTGAGTGTTGTAAAGGTCGTACTCCTATAGCCATCTCATTAGTCCCTGCTGGACTACAATTCACCGCATCGGAAGGGAGACCATACAAGGAAGACAACTCGGCCAAGGTCACCAGAGACCTTCAAGTGGCGCTTGGCCATCTCCTCGCGGAAAGGGATGACAACAGTGCATCCTTGGCGAGCTATTGTAATCGGTCAGAATTGCAGTAGCGATTCGTGGAGTGTATGTTCGTACCGAGCCTGTTCACGATGTACCGTCCAACCTGTCCCGTTGCACCGAAAACCGTTGCAGTGTGTCCTATACTTCGATCTTAGACAAAAGTTCCGTAGTCAACTGTTCGATCGATGCATACCACCAAGAGAGTGTCTATATTCAGAACAGAGTCAGATACGGCCCATAGTAATGAAATTGATTGGTATGCCTACCTTCCGCCCTGGGTTCGCAGGATGGGCTTGCCGGTACGGGTGATGGCAACATCGGAGATGGGCCTGCTTCTCAAGGCATTGTGCGCGACCTTCTGGGTCGACCGCACGGCGGTTTGAAAGGAGGCCATTTTCGGATATCGAGGCTGCAACAAATAAGTGCGGTGGCCTCTCAATTGACTCGCGACTGAACACTTCTTGACCTGCCGCAAGCTCCAAAGTCGCGAGCTTCATCCAGAATCCCGGACGGAAGGTGAGCGGGTCACGTGGAAAGCAAGTGCACGGCCCATTCCCTGGTCATAGGATCGGAAAAACAACCATTGGTTATCGTGTCTGAGAGCGGGTCTTATCCAAAAGCATCCGAATCGGTGCTGCGCTACGTACCTCTCTACCTTAGCTGACTGACCAGGCTGCTAGCTAGCCGCGTTATGTGCATCGCCCCTCCGGAGCTGCTACTGTTGCTGCTTGCATTCATCAACACATTCACACAACCACTAGACGAACTCCCCGGCATTTTCCACGACGAAAGCCCGCTCCCGAGCCTCAATCCCTCTGACTCTGAAGCTGCTATCTGAGGAAAGAACTACCACTTGGTCTTTCTTTCACGATTTTGTCGTCATCCTCAACCCCTCCGAAGCTCACACCCACCGACCGAGCCCCAAACTCGACCTCCCACCAAGATGAGCGCCGACGCAATTCCCGACTTCCTGGCGGAGCAGCGCGACGAGGCCCCCGAGGAACTTCAGCACCTTGTTCTGGAGTTTGAGAACTACTGGGAGAGGAAACTCTGGCACCAGCTTACCGATGCTCTCGGCCAGTTCTTCAGTCACCCGGGCAGCAAGCCCCAGCGGCTTTCCTTCTACAAGGTCTTCATCCTTAAGTTTGCGGATAAGATCAACCAGCTTAAGCTTGTCGACCTGGCCTTGAAGGCTGCTACGGAATGCTCTGGTAAGGCATAGTTATACAAGCGTGTGGAGCAGTCTGGGAACTGACGAGGTCTTGATAGATGACGAGGAGCGCCTTACATTCCTCCAAGGAGTCGCAAAGAAGGTGGACAACGAGAACTCACAGGATGCCCTTGTATACGCTTCCGTTGCGGTGGCCAGAGTAAAGTTGGATCTAGAGGATATGGATGGTGCCCGCAAGGACCTCGACACAGCCGAGAGAATACTAGACAGCTTCGACTCTGTTGAGACGATTGTCCACGCAGCGTTCTACGATGCGAACGCCAACTACTACCAGGTAAGCTCCTAGCCCACCCTCCTCGAGGAGGTATAGGACAATTGCTGATACGGTTTCCAAATCTAGCGTAAGATGGAGTTCGCAGCCTACTACCGCAACGCCCTTCTCTACCTCGCCTGCATCGACATCAACTCCCTCACACCCCAGGAGCGACACAGGAGAGCGCTGCACCTTAGCATCGCCGCATTAGTCTCCGACACCATCTACAACTTTGGTGAGCTGCTGCTGCACCCCGTCCTCGACGCCCTCAAGGGCACACAGGACGAGTGGTTCCGCGACCTCCTCTTCGCCTTCAACCGCGGCGACCTCCAGGGCTTCGAGGCTCTCTCGGCTCGCATGCGGGCCAAGCCCTTGCTCGCCGAGAACGCCGGCCACCTCCGCCAGAAGATCTACCTCGCATCCCTCACCGAGGCCGTCTTCCGCCGGCCGCCCCACGACCGCGCCATGTCCTTCGCCGATATCGCTCAGGAGACTAAGGTTCGCCCCAACGAGATCGAGCACCTCATCATGAAGGCTCTGAGCCTGGGTCTGCTGCGCGGCAACATTGATCAGGTCGACGAGGTGGCGCACATCACCTGGGTCCAGCCCAAGGTGCTCGATATGAAGCAGATTGGCAACATGCGCCAGCGGCTGCTCGACTGGGACTCGCAAGTCAACCAGCTCGGTAACTGGATCGAGACTGCCGGCGGCGACGTGTGGGCGGCTTAGTGGACAAGCAGAGGATACCAGGTTTATGGGCGGAAAGGGAAAAGTATGCCTGTAATAAAGGTCTACTGTGGCTAGGGGGAGACCAATGTACACCACTAGACTTAGAAGAGGAATGGAAATCGGCCTCAAAAAAAGGGCCGTTATGATTTTGATGACAATGCTACTGCCCTCTTTTCCGATGCGCTAATTCCAAAGCTCAAGACGTTTCTTTTTACGCTTGTCGGTCCCTAGACTACTCCAGGAATGATGCTTTCATACAGACTACATGACAAAACTCTCTTGGTATATCATGCACTTTTTGACTTGGCCGTAGGCTGTCCAAGCACGATGACGGACCCCATGAGCCACGCAGGCCACCACACACCCCAGATGATGACAGGCGTATACATGCCCCAGACATCCCACCCGAAAGCCGCTTCCTTTAGGACCTCGCCAATGCTGATGTTAAAGTACGACGAGACAGAGTACAGCGCCGCGGTCGGGGAGGCGAGCTGGAGAAAGGCGGCGCAGGCCCAGCGGACGGCAGCGTGGTTCGGCCACGGCTGCATGAAGGACAGCGGGCTAGCCATGACGCCGACGAGGAAGGCGAGAGAGAAGTTGAGGGTCGCCAGAGCCGAGAGGAACATGCCGAGCAAGAGGAGGGAGAAGGACTTGACCAGCTGGTATTGCTGGACTGTGGGGTTGTAGGTGGAGGTGAGGAGCGAGGAGATGAAAAAGGGGAGGGCGCAGTTGGTGAGGGCGAAGGCTGTGTATACCACGGTGAGCATCTGTAGGGTAGGAGTGTAAGCATTTGTATCTGTTTAAGCTGGGGTGAGTGGGAAAGAGCTTACGTTTGCAGGCATGTGATTGAAGATGTACAATGGCACGACGCCAAGAAACTGGCAAACGGCTACGAGACCCAGAGGAAGAAACAAGTCGCGTTCTACGGCGGGAACGGAAGGTGATGGTGTATTTGTGCCCTTTGCTGTTTCAAGTACCTCCTGAGACGCAGTGCCCTCATTCTCTGATTTCACTGTCGTGTTGGCCGAAGCTGACGGCTGGCCCTGATGACCACTCTTCACCCAGAGGGAGATTGCGGTGATGGTGAAGCTGGCAGCCAGAATCATGGCACTCGGTAGGTACGTGCCGATGCTCACAAACCTCTCTTTGTGCATGAGAAGGTAGAAGAAAAAGCTCTGATGGAGGTGCTCGAGGAGGTTGTTCAGACTGCGGAACGTTCCTTCAACAAGGCGACCCATCCCCATCTCATCGTGCCACCCTTCGCCAAATGGTTGCAGAGTGACGGCGTCGACGTGATAGGGGATAAAGCTGCTATGGGGACCAGAAGCGTGGCCGAGCCCCTGGTTCAACATGCCGCGGAGCATCGTGAGGAGTCGGTCCCGGTACTTGTCAGAGTGTGACCACATCTCCTGAATGGCGGTGCCCATGCCCATCTGGCCACCCGCGATATTGACGACGGAGTTGATGAGGTCCAGATTGGGGAGCTGTCCGTTGATACCATCATAGATGATGTGAATAGACTCGAAGCGGTGTTCCTGGGGGTAGTCGATTGCGATGGCACCCTGTAAAGCGCCAGATTTGAGCGGGAGCGAGTTTACGCGGGAGGAGTCGTGCGAGTCGTGATATGCGTCGACCCAAGCCTGTGTGCCCGTCCTGCTGTCCGGAGGAATGACAAGGATGATATCCTTGGACCACAGTGACCACCGCTTGAAATACCTCGCCAGTGTCAGCGCCAGCGGAAGGCCGTTCTGGTTGAACTTGTCGTCGACCGTCTTCCAGGCCGCGATGAGCACAATTGCCTCCGTGGCATCGCCACGAGGAGCTTGAAGAATGGCGTAGATGTTTTCTCCAGTGTATACATCGCCGGCGGATTCGTACGTGTAGTTTTGGCGGCCGACCTTCAAGCCAACGCTCTTGAGGATGCCCTCGAGTTTGTCGTTGATTCTGTGATACCCCATTGGTTAGTCCAAGATACAATATCGCCGCGAAGGCATCATTGTGGTGTCCTACTCGTAGTTGGACTTGTCCCTGACCGAGTTGACCTCATGCTTATACGCCCGCAACACATGTTGGTCGCTTCCACCGAAGTACGTGTGGACTTGGCCCGGAAGCAGCGCATTCTCGGAAATATAGGTTCGTCGAGAATAGTCGCTAAGAGGCAAGAGAAACAGCCATGCGATTCCACCTAGGATGCATGCTAATGATATGTAGGGCGGGAGCTTGAGGATGCGCGGATCACGACGCAACGACAATGCTGAAGCTAGATAGATGCGATGCCAGGTTAGCTACAATATAGCCAAGAGCAGGGGGGGATCAAGGGGTTCCTTGTGTATTCTCACATATTAGTCGCGACATGACGGAGACTGTTCTGCTGCAGCTCCCGGAAGCTGCCCAATTGCACAATTAAGTTGTCTTTGCTGTGCGGTGACTTCCGTAAGGACAACCGTCATCTTCAAAGATGGGTTGTAAGGGCGTCCTGGGCGTGGAGGCATTGATCGAGGTACGGAGTAGGTACGGAGTACAAGTGACAGGAGTGCCCATATATTCAATTATCCGGGCGCGTCCCCTCGCGTTCCATTCCCGACTTTGGCTCAAGCTTCGGGCGATTCTATCCGCCAGGTACCTAGACTTCTTAGTGGGCCCGGGAGCACGGAGGCACTAATCCCCGTCACCTGTGAGCGGTGAAGCAACTTTTCTGTGGCTCACCACCAGAATTCTGCCCCGCCATCGCCATCCCGAGTATCAATTTTGGGATTCTGCCACCCTCCCCAATCGTTCACCGACGCAACTACGACAACTCATAGACCATAAGCATTTTCTCTCGTCGGACTCGACGAACCGGCAAAATGGGTGTCACCAATAAGAAAACCTTGACCAAGACACGCAGAAAGACAAGGTAAGGGATTTTGCAGGAGCGAACTACGGTCAAAAATTCGAATCCGTCTCTTGGTTCCTAACAAAGCATACTACAGGGATGTCGATCAGATCAAGGCCGACTTGCGCTCGCCGCGCCACCTCCAACGTTTCACGGGATCAAAAGCGAAGGAGGATCTTCCGGGATTGGGTCAACATTATTGCGTCGAATGCGCCAAATGGTTTGAGACCGAGGTCAGCCTCGTGGGCCACCGTAAAGCAAAGCCTCACAAGCGCAGGTTCGTCTTCTCCTACACCGCTACGTCTTCAACTGGCCGATCCATGCTCTTGTCCGTTGCGGCCCCGCTAACCTATACATTTCCAGGGTCAAGCAGCTGAAGGAGGAACCGTATACCCAGAAAGAAGCAGAGGCCGTCGTTGGCATTCGTACAGACGACAAAGGTCCCAACAAGGATGGCCCCGAGAAGGCCCTCGACCAGGAGATCGAGATGGAGACCTGAGAGGTGCCCGCCTCTTGCCAATAAGTCTACCGTGGCTCCAGAGTAGACGCTAGATGATACCCTTTCACGACATAATGTACTGGACTTTCCATCACCCCTTTCTCGTTACAGCACCATGAAGGGCCGTGGTCGGGAAGTTGAGACCCAGCTTCCGAGGGCTCGGAGCGTGGGACAAGTAAGCGGCGGCGATGTTGCTAGTAGTAAAGTTCCACAGAGGGCGTTTGTTGAAGAACTTTCATCGGACGCCACGACCGCGTGGTCTGACGATACCAGTACCCCGACCTCTCGTTGTCTCGGAGCCTCCGCGGCCTCCCGCGCGACCGCGCGTTGTGCCTCCACGTGTAGCAGGTGCCGGCACGCGGGAACCTCTAGTAGCCGTGCTGGGGGTCTTGTATTTCGGGGTTGGTTTGGAGGATGCGGGTGGGTTCTCGACGAACGAAACGTCGGTGGTCCTGTGAGTGGTTAGCAGGATGCTTGCGAAGCTCCCAACGAGGAAGCTTTGGGTATGGATAAGTACATGAAAGTCGTCTCGCCGTCAAAATCATTGCTAGGCTTTTCAAATTCACGAGGAATACCTGTGAATGTGCATGTTAGAAAAACTGCCAAGGTGCCCACCAGAGATTGTTTGAGAATCCTACCTGATCCTGCGGCTGTGTTCATCTCTTCTTGCAGCTTTGCCCTTTTGAAGGACTCTGGAACGGGACCCTTGGGGAGAAAACGTCAGCATGGCTACTAAGCCGAAAAATGGCTGATGGAACAAGGGTACCTCTTGGAAATCCACGCAAAAGGCGTTCATGTTCAAGCCGTACATGAAACTCGCAAACGACTCGCTGAAGCGGGCCAGACTCTCGTGCATCAGCTGGAAGTGCATCATGTTGGCCTCGAGGTCGGCCATGGCGTCTGAGAGCTCTGCAAAGGCGGGCTCAAAGGTATTGAGTGGGAACGACTCGCCGCCGCCGTGGACGCTGTCTCTGGCGGATTCGCGAAAGGAGGATCGCGAGGAAGGGCGCAGGGGCGTGGTCGGGCGCATGGGGGTTGTGGGACGAGAGTTGCGTGTGCGCGAGGTGGATCGCTTTCCGTTGGCATCGTAATCTGCCATGATGGGCGGTGGGAATGGGTTGTGCTATGTGCAATACCTTACTGGGGAACTCGGTGAGAAAGAGGTCGTCAGATGCGTCGGTGTCGGTGGCAGCTGTTTGTGTAACGCGGGGTGTCGAAGTAAGGTTGTTGTGGGGTAGGTATGGTGGTGAAATGGAGCTGTGGTCGCTGGTTAATGGAGGTTCAATTGAAAGTCAACATCAACAAATGATTTGGTGCCCGACGTCGGTTGTACCGTGTGTTACAACGCATCTCAAGGCCGGTGGACTGTGTTTCTTGTTTTTAATCCTGGCGGGGTTCAATGGAAACTTCCAACGGCATGGCCCCCGCACCCAGCGCAAACCAAAAACTGCAGCTCAGCACGTGTACGGAGTAGGTGCTGTAACAGTGGCCCATCATCTCTAAAAGACCCCGGCCGACAGCTGGTCATCAGGCGGGATGACGCAAAATTGGGTTTCCTCAGGGCCATCCCTGGTGTTAGAACTTTGGCAGGCTGAACTGAGGTTTCCGTCCATTAGGTTCATCGAGCGCGTCTCGCGTAGCTCGGCCCCGAAGTTCCATTACGGAGTAAGGTACGTCCATTTAGCACTTGGGGAGTTTCCATGTTCGCGTTCGCTCAACTACCTAGGGAGGAGGCACGCACAGGCAATGTACCTGGCGTCCCTGCCTCATCGCATCCGACGGGAGGTCGCGTGGCCATTTCTGATGACTTTGGTGGATCTGCTAAAATAAGGAAGGTACGGAACCCGATCCAATACTCGCACTCGCACTTCCCTCGCGGCCCTAAGCCTCTGAGGTACCTTAACGGATTCGAATACGTCGTATTTCAATTGTGCTCGTTTTCCACAGCGTTTATTACATTCAGTACTCTGCGAACCTGAACGAACCTGACCCGGCCACCACTGTCCCCATTTCACTGCCAAACGTCGCGCCCATTCCACCTAAACCTAAGGTATACAGTCCTTCCCGGTCTTCTTGCTGAGTCTGCACAGCTGTTCCTCTCCCACCACACATCCATCAGCACGATACCTTAGCTCGCCAGTCCAGATCCAAGGTACATTGGGCAAATCCACAGCTAACACCCAGTTACTACAACAAAAGACACAAACGAATAAGGCACCTCAGGTATTCTTGGAAGCTGTGCCAATCCGGAACGCTCGGAAATTGAACATCGCCTGCGTCCACCATCTCCATTGGAAGTTTGGCCAGCATCCTCCAGCGCTTGTCCCGCGCAACGCTGCGCTTTTTGTCCCTGAGCTGTCGTCGTCCTCTTCCAGGCTCCCCCCTCTCGGCCGCGTCTAAGCCTCCCTGAATCCCCGTCGCCCCCGACTTTCCTCTTTACTCAAAGCTCCGTCCGCAACGCTGCCCCTCCGTCGCACATTCACTGCCCACGTAATAGGTCCAGTCTCACTGCTCTATCCGTCATCTTCTCACCTTACTCCGTAAAGTACTTTCCGTTGCTTCAACACTCGTCCCGACTTTGTTCCTCTCGTCTTCTCTCTGCACTGTCACTCCTTGGCTGCCAACCGCATAGACGCCTGTTGGTAAACTTTCCATCAGCCGCGTAACCAAAGTAGGTACCTACCCTAGTCATTCCCCAATCCTCACAACCCCTCCATACCTTAACTGCCCTCCGGCGCATGTCAGCCACCCAGTCTGTCCCTCCCTCCCGTCACTTCAACCTCCGGCGCAAGCCATATTCCGGCCACCCGCGCATCACTCGGCTTGATTCTTTTCACCTTGCCAAATCTCCTCTCCAGTCCGCCGCTATTTGCCAACGCACTATACTTCGGGATGACCCTGCTGACCCCGTCTCAGCACCACCAATATAGTCCAGAGCATTGACTGACGTCGTCGACTGATGCCGGTCAGTTTGAAACCACAAACCTCGGCTTTGCCTCGAATTTTCACGTTTCCACAAAGCTCCCTCCAGTACACTTCGGGGAGCCGCCTTGCACAACTGCCATTGACTTCGCGATTTGGACGGCAACTCCCAGTCAGACCCTGTGTCCGGAAATTCAACTGCCTCTCCAAATCCTCAAATTACAGACGATTCCAACCACTCGGATCACCACAGTCACCGGGCCTCCCCAACCTCAAGAACCCGCGTGTCCTCCTCGAGTCTCGGGTTGACGTCGTCCTCTGTTCTGTCGTCGTTGCTCTTGCCTGCGCATACGGCCTGTTTTACCAGCAAACCATTGGTTTGAACCCTGACCCTCAGCCAGACACCGAAATCTCAGAACTTCACCCATCAGACATCATGGCGACGGACATTCCCCCTGGGAGACAGGGCAACCTCACGCCGGAGCAGGAGGACAAGTTGCGCCAACTGTGGAACCTGATCATGTCCCTGGGAGAGGAGACCAGTACCGCCGCTGCAGACAGCGCGTCTGCTAGCATAGCCCCGAGCGAGACGTCGGCCGCCGGAAAAGGTGACAAGCCCAAGAAGAAGCGCACTTCGCTATTCAGCCGCAAGGACAAGAAAGAGGGCGCCGCGACATCGACCGCTGTTCCAGCTGGCATCAAAGAGGATGGCGATGATAAGTACGGTCAAACTGCCCAGTTCAAAGAGGCTTTGGCCAACCAGAGTCCCGAAGCTTTGCGCGCCACGATATGGTCAATGGTCAAGCATGACCATCCCGATGCCCTTGCCCTACGATTCCTGAGAGCGCGCAAGTGGGACGTTGAGAAGGCTTTCGTCATGATGATCTCCACCATGCACTGGAGATTGACGGAGATGAAGGTTGACGACGAAATCATGAAGAATGGTGAGGCTGGTGCGCTGGAAGCCGCGCAAAATTCCGACCCCAAGATCAAGCAGCTGGGAGAGGACTTCATGACCCAGGCTCGTTCAGGCAAGACTTTCATCCATGGCCTTGATAAGGGAGGACGCCCGATCTGCCAGGTCAGGGTGCGCATGCATAGGCAGGGGGAGCAATGCGAGGAGAGTCTCGAGAAGTATACCGTCTTCTTGATTGAGACAGCTCGTATGGTCCTAGCTCCTCCCGTTGATACTGCGGTAAGTTGATCCGTGTTTTGGCAGTTTGGCTCGTGCTAACGAGACAAAGACAATCGTGTTTGATATGACTGGCTTTTCACTGGCAAACATGGTTAGTCACCCCCGTACAGCGCGGCTTGATTAAATGTCTTCTTACCATTACTTTAGGACTACACCCCTGTGAAATTCATGATCAAGTGCTTCGAGGCAAATTACCCCGAATCTCTCGGTGCCGTTCTGGTGCACAAGGCCCCTTGGGTCTTCCAAGGTTTGTTTACCCCATGGTTGATCTTCAAGTAACACAGCTAAGCAATTATCAGGTATCTGGAAGATTATCAAGGGTTGGCTGGATCCGGTCGTGGCTGCCAAGGTTCACTTCACCAACAATGCCAAGGAAATGTCAGAGTTCATCGAGCCAAGCCACATCCTCAAGGAGCTCGACGGTCAGGAGAACTGGGACTACAAGTACCTGGAGCCAGTCGCTGGAGAGAATGACAAGATGAAGGATACGACAACAAGAGACGCGCTGCTTTCTGGCAGAGAAGAACTCATCCAAGAGTATGAGGAGACAACCATTCAGTGGATCAAAGAGGCCGGAACAGACAAGGAGGCAGCCATCAAGGCACAGCGCGAGGACCTTGCTCGCAAACTCAGGGATGACTACTGGAAGCTCGACCCTTACCTCCGAGCAAAGTGTGTTCTGGATCGGACTGGCGTCATCCAGGACGGTGGCAAGATCGACATGTACTCCAAGGGGGCACCTGCTCCCGTCGCTGCCGCTGCTCCTACGCCGGCTGCAGCCCCCGCCCCTGCGCCAACCAACGGAGCACCCGCGGTCGAGACATCGGCCGATGATGTAGACTAGAGACCGGCTCGACCGGCATCCAATTAGAATCACGATGGACGTATACGCAGGTTATGAGAATTGGTTGGGTGTAAAGGAGGTTGAAAGAGCCAGGGACGTTGAATTACGGGGAACTGATGTCCCTGCTATCGATTTAAGGGCGGGGGTGTCGAAAATACCACAATTGGCTTCTCTACATCTTGGACTTGATATCGTCAAAGAGGGCCTTGAGCTTGTCCATGTCGGTCGCCTGCTGCGGCCAGCCGACGCCGAGACCCTCGGTCTCATTGGGCTTGGGGATCTCCAATGGGTGTTAGTACGAGAGTATGAGGCGTTGATGAGAAATGTTACCATGTGGAAGTGAACCTATGATAATTAGCCATGGTGAATAGGAAGGCGGATGAATAAAGGAGGAACACTCACGTGGTCGACGACTTGGTGGGCGATACGGCCATTGTTTTGAAGAATGTTGTAATCGGTGGCACCGGTAGCGGCGACGAGCTTCTTCACAACAGGCTGCGATAACGTAGGGTCAGAGTGAACTGAACACACACACAGACACACACACACGGGGGGCGCGAGAGGTCGAAGGAGACTTACGAGAACCTCACTGAGCTGATCGTCGGGAATATCAGACAACTTGGCACCGTGGTGCTTGGGAATGACAAGCTGCGGGGGAACAATGTAAGTCTATAATTACAGGACGATTACGGATGCAAGATGGGCAATTCTTACAGCGTGGCCGCGGCTGAGGGGGTTGATGTCGAGGAACGCGAGTGTCTTCTCGCTCTCAAAGAGCTTAAAGCAGGGAATCTCGCCTGTAGGGGAAACATGTCAGTTAGTTTCTGTGGTTGCGGGGGTTCGGAGATGTCTTGGGGTTGGAATCAAGTGAGCGGGAATTGGGGGGGATAACCACAAACCCTTGATGATCTTGCAAAAGATGCACGAAGCCAGGCTGGAGGTCATGATGGCGGTTGTGAGTTTTTGTGTTTGTGAATTGAAAGATTAGACAAGTTGAAAATTGGCCTGTCAATTGCGAGAGGAAAAGGGAAAGGATGATGACACCAAGTCTGAGCAAAGGGAAGGATTGAAGAGAGATGCGGAGGGCATAATGCACCTCAGTGAGGTGAGGGTGGGCGGGGATACGGAAGCTGAGGAAGCTTGTGTGGGGTCCATTCGGCGCGCTACTACTACGACCGGGGACCAGGAGAAAGGCATAGGCTACTTAGCGAGCAAAAAGAACTCAAAAGTTCGGAGTGGGACCTCCTATCGAACTCACCTCTTGCCTTTTACCAGATGTGACCGTTGGATGGCCCAACAGACTCCATTCCACCAATCTTTGGCACACCCTCATCTGGAGTACCCAGGTTCGAATTTTTGTTTTTCGGGTTTTTAAACGTCTGCTGGATGGAACCTACCTGTCGCTTTTCCTTTGCAACGAATTTTGCATTGTGAAGCATCCTTTTTTGCCAAGTAGTAGTTGAACTGACTGAACAGCGCATCAGCTCAGTGGGCGGCGCGCGCGGCACTGGGAAGAGAGCGACCTGTCCAGCAGCAGCACAGCGCAGCGCAGCCTGTGGCGCGGAGTTGCTGAAGGAGCTGCTGCAGTCTGCACGAGTGACCTACCTCGAGACCTGATCCTGGGCACCATCGTCGTCATACCCCTCCTTGCGAAGGTGCTGCGCAACGCCAGGTCCCTTTTTTTCTACCCAAGCCGACGTAACCCCACCTTGGAATGACTGAACAGAAACCCTGGTGCTCTCGGCACCTGCAAGCAAGGCAGCCAAAATAAGGCAAGGCGGGCAGTCAGACCAGAAAAGAGCGTTGTTTCTTCCTCAAGTGACATTCTTCTTACAGTAACTTTCTTGTGATACCCAGCCCCGTCCCGCCCGCCAGACCAGCTCCATCAGATTACACACTGTAAACTTCATCGACCGCAACCTTTGCGCCAGCCCTGTATATCTTCACAACAACATCAACGAAGAAGCCTAGTTCACAAAGGAGGTCCGACTATCCTATCGAAGCAATCCTCTGTTCAGTCACAACAACCCCTCCGTCCCCCAAAGCAACATCATGACCCGATACAAAAGCACCCCCCTCTACGGCGGCGCTCTGGTCAGCGACTTGCCCGACAAGTTCGCCGACGTCAGGTAAGTCTTCTCTCACCCATCTATTCTCTCCTCTCGCCGCTCTCCTACAACCTCCCAAGTAGCTCTGCTTAGTTCCTTGCCACTGATACAGCTTTCCCGTGTAGCAAACTCCGCGAGGTCCCCGACAACCAAGAAGTCTGGATCGACTCGGACGGCTTCACCAGCATAATCTTTGACATCACAGAACGCGTCGGCCCCGCCGGCTCCAGCCCCGAAATCGACGGCCGCGCCCTGACGACGCACCTCGAGGAGCTCGTCGGCGAGGACGTCGACACCGTCAAGGTGTGGAACACCACCGAGACCTCCTTTTCGCGCCTCAGCACCGATATCCCAGCCTACACTCTCATCGCGACGCAGACCCCGCACGTGTCCAAGTCTTCTTCCTCCTCGAGGTCTTCGTCGGCGCCTGACTTTACGGCTATTATTCTTACGCTTGTTCGTCTGGAAAAGGAGTCGACTGATATTTTGGTGACGATTAATGTGCCGCATATCAAGGGCGAGTACGATGAGGCTGATGTTGATTTGGAGCTTGGTAAGCAGGGAAAGTTGATTGGGGATGCGGTTGAGTATGCTGCGCGGATTTGGGAGACGTTCAAGGTGAAGGACTGGTCTCTGTTCCAGGAGGTTTGAGAGAGGAGGAAGACGAGGATAGGGGTTCGATGAAAGAAAGGGGAAGTAGGAAGGGTCATCCCCAGAACGGATGCAAGTGTGAATGATGAGGCAGATACACACCCCACGAAAAGCAGTTGACAGATCTGGGTATTCCCCTTTTCCCGCCAGGGGCGTCAACACGGAGAAGGAGGATGGTGAAAGTTGACGATGATGCGAGATGATAGCCACGCCATCTCTTAGGTTCTTTAGGTTTTACTGGTTGAGTTATCCTATGCCGAGAATTACGATATCAAAAATTTAAAGTGAAGTTTATGATTACCTACATCCAAATGTCTTCCTCCAAGTTCTGATTGTTTCGACCACTGCCCAGGAGGGGTATTAAGAGCTATTGCACTCTACTATTCTTCCATCGATAATTGACTGCTGGGCTGCATAAGGTTCGATAGCTAGGCCAGCAAGCCTCGAGTATCGCACTCGTCCTCGGTATGTCGACAAACATAGACGAGCTGAAGGGATCGAAGTCTGGTGGCCATCTCGCGCAAGAAACAGAAGCCATTCACTTACTATCTCCTTACTAGTGATTGTCAACCTCATTCCCAGACAATCTGTACCGCAGACTGTGACAACGGGTTTGACCCCAATATGTTGTTCACAAGGTGGAAGAGCATTGTATCGTCTCGTATGCCTTGATAATTTACCAAACGTCGACATATACATCATTGTTCCACTCAGAACGTGTGATACCTTATTTACAGTGGAACATCACCCTTTCCTACGCGATGCGAAGCCTCCCCGATCCCGGCGCGTATTATATATCTGCTCAAGAAATGAACAATGTCTTTATCACTGACCGAGCCACAACTCAGACGCATTTTCAACTTTAGACTCGAAGCGTTACTTGTGAGACAGGTAATTACCTATTCTTCGAAGAAACGAGACTCTCGACTAATATTCATCTTGCTATTAGGACTTGGCAAAGGTGAATGAGGATAATTTCATCTTGATCAAAGTTCCACCATCGTTGCTGATGTGTGATCATGATATTTTAGTGGGTATAAACGGAGTAATACGAGGGTTTGTGCTTAGCCTTGAAGCCCTCTACATTCGACGAAGGGTAGAGCACTTGATAGCTATCTTGCCTGCGATAGAAAGACATACCAATGGAAGACAAGCAAACAGAGTGCCGGTTAATGAGTTCGTGTCTTCTTACCCCCTGAACAACACTCTCATGATTATCCCTTTCCCGGCCAGATGTGCCACTCATAAAACCTTGAGGCCCCTCGAGGACTTCCACAATCTCCCTGTAGACCCAGCACCCAGCCAGCGGGAGAGGGTATATATACTCTACTATGCTGACGTCAAGGCGGCTTTCGAATGCTTTCTCCAACATGTGGGCGCAGCAGGGCCTTTCCGATAAGGAGACGGTCATCAACGGGCACCCAGTTTGTGCTGTGCTTGCGGCGCGTAGCTGTGTCAGACATTTCCTCCAAGATGAGGTCTTCCCAATGTAAACTTAACGCATTCCTCGATCCTTCCATGTCAAGTCGTGCATCTCTCAGAGTATATTCTTCCAAGAATACGTAGGGAGTGAAACACATCATATGGAGATGAATATGGGTTTAGGGCACCGTATCCATATCTTTGGACGGTTAAGAGGGAAGTTGACTTGGGTCTGGGTGAAATTGTACCTGGAGTAATACTAGTGAGAAAACCAATTTCAACCGATGCAGATTGTTCACGACGCACTTTTCAGTCAATTTATATAGAACGGCAAATGGGTGTATGAAAGCACTCGGGCAATTACACATGATTTTCGCACAAGTAGCTTGGCTTTGGGTAGGTACTATATGCTTGCTTCTATGTCACTTAACGAACCTAGACGAGTTCACTTTTATCGACAATGGCACTATTATGCTTATGATGAGAGCATTCCCGGCCACTGGGTATAAATTGAGTAAACCCAAGAGGGGCGGTGATTCACTTTGAAGCAAAGAGGGAGAACTACATGGACCCTGCTTAATTTGAACGCCAATCCCCCATGCCCTCCTCTTATAACGTCAAATCCACCAGCTGAGACCCAATCTTGTTCACATCCGCCTCCGAGTCGGGCGTCGCCCGGGCACTGCCACCTCGTTTTGCCCACCGCTCTGCGATAATCTTCATCACCTCCTTCTGTGGACTCCCAGGGTGCTCCTTCTTCAGCACCTTCATCTGCTCTTTGAAGAACTGCTGATACTCGGACGGCTTCCCGGCGGCCCTGGGCGTTGGTTTCGTCTGCTTCAACTGCGCCTTGCAGGAGCCACACCTATGGCGCTCCGGGTTGATGCTCTTGGAGTGGCGCTTGTACTCGAGGCCGCATTCGGTGCACTCCCACACGTACTTGAAATCGATCTCGTACGAGTGCTTCGTCGTCACCTCGATGCCCCGGTCCCCGAACCGCTGGGAACACCTGGCCGCCCAGATCTTGAATTCTTTGCCGTGCGGGTTGCCAGTGATGCCGTTGACCATGAAGTTGGCCAGGTGGCAGAATTCGTGTGCGACAACATTGAGAAGACGGCTTTCGTCGTCAATGACCTTCTCCGCGAGTTCAATGGAAGCGTGATGCTTGTGTATGACTGATTTCTCGGACCCGTCGGCGTGCTTGGTGCGGATAGTTTCGCGCCTCCAATTCGCTCTTCCTGCTGTGGTGTTGAGTTTGGCCGACCATTGGATCTTGACTCCTCCTGTGGACTCGGCCAGAGACTGCAGCTTGCCCTGAGTGATGGTTTCGTCAAGTTCCTGGAGGAAGGCCTGCGCGACGTCGTGTTTCCTCTGCTCGAACGCCTTCTTGCTTTCCTTTCGATTGGCCGTAGCTGTCTTCTGTTCCTTTGCCTTTTTGGGACTTTTCGCCGGACTTCTTTGGGCCGGAGGCAAGATCAGTTTCTTGGGCGAGTGCTCTTCATTCCACTCATCCACAAACTCCTGACTCCAAAACATATCCATACCAGGTCCATGGGGTGTCTTTGGAATACCTGGGAGCTTTTTGGGAGATGCCAGCGACTTGCTGGATGGTCTCGGTGGTGTCAATGGCGGGGTTTTTGAGGGAGCGTCATCTTTTCTAGCCTTGCTCTGCTTCTTTGGTGGTTCGGCTGTGCTGCATCATGGTGTTAGTATGTCATAATGCCACTTACGAGACGGCTCTTACATGTCTAGCCGGCGAAGAGCATCCGCCATATCTTCAGTGAGATCTACGATCGCTGACTGTGGCCGTGTCGATTTCCTCCCAGGCACACTCTCGGTGCTTCGCCCCTTCGGTTTGGTGATCTGTCGAGGTCTGCTTTGACTGGATGGCTTGGGTTTGGGGAAGTCGATTTCTGGTGCAGGCTTCGTGGTTGGCTGGTGCTCCTTCTGTCTCGGTGCGGTTGCCTCTTGACTGCGGCCTGATACTGGACCACGAGCTCTCGAGGCCGTAGAGTCATTGCCAAAGAGTGTCGGGGTACTATCGTCCTCGAACTCTGAGGCGGAGTCCCCAAAGAATTCAGATATGTCGGCCTCGGTAATCTCAGTCTGCTCGTTCGTGCTACCGTCTGATTCGTCGTCCGACTTTGTTGATGAATTCCCCGTTGGCGTTGCGTCCCGACTTCTGACACGCAGCTCCCTCACGCCTACACGGGGCACCTCTTTGGATTTGGCAGGAACATCGAAGAGGTTCTGGCCCTCGTTTCTCGTCGAAAAAGTCCCAAATGGCCTCAACAAGGGGTTGTCTGCCTTTCCACCAAGCTTTCGACGTCGGACTGTCGGCGGCGTAGCCTTCACTGCTGATTTCCCGACACCGGAGTCTTTCAACTTCGATTCATTCCACTGAAGAGCCTCCTCTTCAAGCTGTCTCGACGGTGAAGCATCGTCGTCACTATCAATGCTGGTGGACGTTGTCTGTGTAGGTGCTTTCGTCGGTCGGCGAAATTGTTTACTTCTCTGCAGGACGGCATCTAGGTCGGGGAATTCGTCCTCACTAGACGAGGCAAAGTCGACGTACCCGGCCATGATGGTGAAATATTCGCCGCTTATAGCTGTAAGTCAGATTTCCTCTCCAAGTCTGATTGGCATGGGTGTGGCTTGACATTGCAAGAAAGTATTGCAGAGCCGCCTTGTAGATCGGTGCATGTCTCTGCGTTGCGAGGGGCAACCGTTCGCTGGAAGTGGAATGGCCATTCTGGAAGATTGCCCAATCAAGCTGGTGGAGGACAATAGGCACGTGACTTGGAAGCCATGGCATGCAGACACGTGACAACATTGGATGAGGTGGTGCGTACCGCTTAGATACCTACGGGGGTAAGGTAAAGCAAAATGAGTAACCTGATGAGCTTTTTGCTGGAAAATGAGTATCACTCTGATAATGAAGCTCTGCGTTGAACATGGTATCTTCAACTTGTTCGCTTCTACTAAAGAGCTTTGGCCGTAGTCTCCCATCAAAGCATCAACTGTCAAGGAGCTTTCAGATCACGGTTCGGACCAAGAATGGCCGTTCGAGGCTAGTCCTGAGTTGACAGGCCCCAGGTACCCCTGCAAAGCTGAAGCTTGATGCATTCGAGAAACGATACTGCACATGCACAGCCCTGGACGGAACAACATAATACGTTACAGAGTTGTCCATCAGGACCATTACCAAAAGGGAGACCTGGAGCACACCGACCTTTTGATAGCCAGCCCAGCGTCGCGAGAGATGCCGCCGCGGTGTCTTACAGGCTTGGTAGCCATGAGATCTACCAAGGACAGTGGAAGATGCGACAGGATGTCCTGTAATGCAGCGGTCGATCAGGGACGGGGTGAATGGGTGTGCCAAAACACCGGACCGCTTCTGAGCAGGCAATCGGCACGCACGGAAATTTGATCCCCTTGCCCTAAAGATAAAGTACCGTGTGGCACAGAGGGGGACCCAACCAAATGGAAGCGCGCATTGTTCAGGAAAACAAGATGAGACCCGCACCCGTCAATGGAGGTCGCCCGCCAGCGTCCTGAGACTCCTGTCTTCTTGCCGAAGTCTTCAGGAGTCTAGATGCACGCCGTAATAAGGTATCCGTTGGCAGGCAGAGAAAGGAAACGGGGGGGATGCTGCCCGTGGAGAAGAAGGCCGCGCGGTACGGAGTATGGCATAAGGAGAACGGACTCGAGTCTGAAATTCTGCCCTTACTATACCCTACAGGGTGATTGTTTAACAATCTTATTCCTAATTGCCGTGTCAAGACTCTCCAAGCCAAGAAGGAGCGTCCGGACAGTATCTAACGCCGGCTAGGTATATGCTCAGTACTGACAACAGCGGCATGGTGCTAGCATTGTGAGACAAAGAACAAGAAACAGACGGATTGTGTGGATGTTGCGTCTTATCTGGCCCCTGTCCGCACCGGCGGAACAAAGAAAAACCCCCTGGAACTTTGAGAAGCCCGTTGCTTAAAAGAAATTCTGGCTTTATTTGGACGGGCATCGAACCCGTTGTCCGCTGCGCCACGAAAGCCACCAGCACCGGCGGGCCTTGCTAGAGGGATCTAGCATGAAACCGTAGCCCAACCCAGGCGCTGATGCTGACGCTGATGCTGTTGGCCACTCAACATGCCTGAGATTCCTTAGAGGTTGATAGCTGTAGATACGCAGTAACTGGGGAATGAGATCTGCTCCACGACTGAATTCAAGTTGCTGCGATAATGCCGGGGATTGCTACAACCAGATCGCAGTGGGCTTTTGTATGGCATGCCCATCTCTGCATCGGTTCAAAATGCGTACAGCGCGGCCCATCTGCTTCAGGACGTACGACAAACTGACTGAATATCAATCCCTCAAAGACTATAGACTAGCATGGTCGATTTGTCGTCAGCTAGTCAAAGTGACGTACGTATACACCGTAGGTAGATAAGTAGCAATTTCGGAGGCAGCCCGAAAGCACATCCTGCCGAATCGTTAAAGTCCAACAACTTGTGAGATATTAGGATGCATGGACGGTGGACAAGACCTCTGCCAGTATGGTAGTGATGAAGGAAAAAGGCGAACGACGGACACCCCTCCGATCGAGATCGTTGCGCAAACTCGGAATCCGGCTTTGCAGTGGGTTTTACTCCGTACCGATATTAGCATGGTAGAAAATGGGGATTAGCTGACATTTTGGTGTGTTGCGCTATCGTTCGCAAAGGGAAAAAATCGATTTGCTAGGCATGCCGGAAAATGCCATGGAGGTTCAGCGTGGTATTTTTTTCTTTCTTTCTGTTCGAACCAAGTGGGTTGGGGGACGTGTGTATGACAGCATCATCGTGGACCGTGCGGAACACCAGAGATTGAAGATTCGTATATCCGTACGGAGTAGACCCCTTAGATAGGTATTCGTAAATTCATACGCATTCATCCGCATTAGAAAAGAAATAGTCGGGAAAAGAACGAATAATGAGGAGCGGCGGGCAAGAGGTAGTTGCGAGACCCCGACGCCAAGACAAGCACTGCGCCTTGTTTGAATCTTGTTGTTCGGTGAGTTGTCCAAGTAATACTTTCCCTACCACGATGCGGATAGTGTGCCATAAGGTACTCCGTAGATGATGGTGGTGTTTTTCCAAGACTCTGATTGACTCGTTCTAAAGCCGGTACCTGCATCCGAACAACACATCCACAATCGCGCCCGCGTCCAATTCAGGTTGGGTTTACCACCCATTTCGTTATCGTTAGCGTTGGCGCATCCCCCCCCCCTCTCCGCCCCCCTTCCCAGTCACCAATGTGCACACTTACACTGCAGGCCTCCTTTTCGGCTTCGATTATTAGCCCCGCCAGCCTTCCACGCCCGCTTTCCCACCCACCTTTCGCCCCCACTCTCCCGCCTCCCCTCCAGTCTCCAGAGGCTCCAGGTTTCTGACCCAGGCACAACCAGGCTCCAAATCCTCCGGGACGCCCCAATTTCAATGGATGCACGGATGGTGAGTGCATCGTGATGTTTAGAATCCCCTTCGTACTGTTGCGGTCGCCTCTGTGGGTATTTGAGTGTGTTCACATGTATAAATATTTTCCCTTGCGTCTATTCTATATCCATTCAGAACAAGCAGAACCATAGAGACAAATCCATGGAGTGAGGGCGAAATTCATTCAGCTTACTAGCACTGCCCACAGTACGGATATACGAATACATCTTGACATAGGAGGCCGCTCATGAAATAAACAGTGGACCAGCAAGCGCGGATGGGTCTCCATAGCACTTTGAAGTTTGTGCATCGAAATGGAAACAAATCGACAAATCGTTCATCGTCTTTCCTCTGGGGCAAATTTCGCACTCGGCACAACTGTCGTCATTCCACTGGCACCACCATGCCACCATGGGCCTGTAAGGTAGTATCATACCATCTTATGTACCTCAAGCTCAGGGTACATGCTTTGGAGAGTTCACTCACGTCGCCTTCTTTCTGGGGTGACTGTCAAGCAAGTTTTGAGCACTTTGTGCGACGGAGTACAAATACGGATGCCATGCGTGTGACTGGGCAATTGCCACGGCGAGAATCTAGGGATTTCAACCACTGATCATCTCAAGTTCAACATGGCATTGTCCCATCATCCAATTCAGCCATTTGCTGTCGAGTGTCGACGGTTGTAGATCGTATATCCTAGCGGTGCTGATCTGCTGTCGGGCCGCCTACTAAAGTCACCAAAACGACGCGTCCCTGGCCTGGGAGCATGAAAATCAGTATGCAGACGCGACAACACTCTTATGGCTCTCTACCGTGTATGTACATGGACAGTGCGAAGAGTGAGTATCCGAAGATAGATCAATGGTGGGTTCAGTGGTTCACACTAAGGCAGGATGCAGGTAATGTGTTGGCCGCAGGTACTCGGGATTCGTACGTCTGTCTGCGTGTCTGCGTATTGGACTGCCAAAGTGCTTCCAGTTCGGTCGTGCTGGTGCAGCGGTGGCAAACCCAACGCATCCTTTGTCGGCGTGAGGCCACTTGGCAACCAACAGGCACGACGTGCAGCCAGCATTATTACGAGCTATCGACTCTGGAGGATTGACAAGGCTCGTGTACCAGCGGAGACACGCAACCCTTCTCGTGTTATTCACGATGTAGCCCGGATCAGGTAGCCAGCGACAACTGAGATATACCAGTCACTCTGGGCGGGCGGCCGCAGTGATATTCAACTCACGTCATCAAGCTTTGCCTGTAATACTTGCTGTCGAGCGGCATATCCGATAGCTCACTGACTATAACTCCAACCTGCGATCAATCCGATCTCCGCTGCAAGAGGTCAGACTGTGCTGAAGTCCGCCTCTGTCTCTGCTTGCGAGCTGCAGCTGACAGCTCGCTCAGTCCGAAGGTCAAAGCGAGCAACAGCCTCATCAACTCTACCCGTATGCGAAAGAGATAGAACAGATGCTCCTAGAGCTGTCCTGCATTGCACTGCGTTGAAGTTGTAGTGCCGGAGTCCACAGTAGAACGAGCCCACCGAGGCGCAGCTGCAATTACTGAGACCGGGGGGGGGGGACATCGCTGCCCACCCACGACCATCGGCAAGAGTCTGTGTGTGTTGCTTATCCTTCAGCCTTCCAGAGCCTTGGCTGAGGCCGGATGACGGGGACGACCGTCGTGGCTCGGAAAACGCGCGAGGGTTGCAGACAATGTGGCTGCTGCAAGTATGTGACAGCCGTTATGGGAGACGAGGTGAAGGTGAACGGAAAGTCTACAAGGTCCATGGATTGAAGTGGATATGCTGTCGGAGAAGTTGAAAAGCCATGCTTCTATTGCTTTGGTCTGGTTCGAATCGTCCTCGGAAAGGATGATCTGAGGTTGGGGTCAAGGGGAGCCGGGAGAATGACAAGGTGCGGAGCGAGACGAGTTTGACCGTTGACGGGATCTCGGGAACAGGATGCTCTCGAAGATATCCTAGGATTGCCACCTTACTTCTTATTACTCTCGCTAGCTCGTAGACGATTTCGCGTCCAAACTCGTATTGAACATTTGAAGATCGATACGGCGTTGACGGCAAACCGCGACGGGCCGAGAGGGAGGCAGAATCTCCAGTCCCCTAGGTAGTCCGCCAGACAGGCTTGATGGGCAACATTTTGCTGGCTGAAAAAACCAACTCCCATTTGGGCGAGGCGGCGGTGCGAGAACTGTGTGAAGGACAGGTTTGAGAGGTCAGACGCACCCGCGACGAGACGAACCCTCACCCAAGCGTGCCAGGTTCGGTCGCCCAACCCCCATGGATCTCGGCTGTGATCTGGACAGGACCTTGACACGCTTGAGTCGACCCCTGCCCTGGCTGTTAATTACCTAGCAGCAAGTACCGGAACGCCCGGCCTTGCTCTGGAAGGAAACCCAAGGATTCAGGTACGGAGTAGCGTCCCCTGTTGCGCGGGTCGGTTGCCCCTTTCCCGTGAGAGGCTCAGCCCGTTCTAACTTCTCCCTCTCGTTGAGATATTTGTCCACAACCAATGGAAAGGGAAAGAAGAGTCTCAAAACAGAGGGAAAGAGAGGATTGATAATCCAATGGAGACATGGATGATGGCCGATGGACTGATGGAGCGCCCCCATGAACTTCGAAGGCAGCTACTCCATAGTCCGTACCAGCTGCCAAGGACTGCGGGACAGATAACGATTCTGCGTAGTACAAATACGGATAACGAGATGCGGTTCCTTCAGGCTTCTTTCTAGACTATCATATTTGCTAGGATTGAAAGTGCCAACCCATGGTGACGCGTGAAGTGAGCTTCACTATTCGTTTTGAAAATGGCTGGGTGCCGTATGGCGTACGGATGCAATGTGACTTCAAACCAGTCACTCTGTATCCGTAGTGAAGCCTGCTTACTCGCTGAATGCGTGAAGTTGTCTTTAGATCGGGGATATGGTTGATGACTGAAGGAAAATGTCGATTGAAAAGTGAGGATTGAGAAAAACACACAAAAGTCTGTATCTAGATACATAGAAATGAAGAGACACTCACACCTGGTCTATGAATAGCAGCACCTGTATCTGTACGCGTAGGTAGCTCCAAGGTCGGAGTGAGTGAAGAGTGCCGTGAGAGCACAGTGCTGTGTGAGGTGAGTGGGCGAGTGAGGGGGGTGTTTGACGTTCCTCTGTGGTGGAGCCGTGCCCCCAAAAGCCAATTCGCATCCAATGACATTGGATGCTCATCGTCCCCTTCCTTGGCCCGACAATTCCACTGTGCACACAGCCCCTGTCGGGTGCAGGTGATAGGTCGGAGTGGAGGTTGACGGGAGTTTTCTCGCCTTGAAATTGGCAGTAAGTCTGGCACTGTCACTGCCAGTCAAAACTCAATGACGGTAGCAGTGCAGTTGCTGGCAGGCTAGCATGCGCCGCACGGCTGGTTAGAAAAGCTGGCACCGCTGCAGGCCTGCACTTCACTCTCCTGCTGGGACCAGCCCCCTCCCCTGTCCATCATAATTCTCCACCCTCTCGAGGAACGTACCTTTTGACACAGTGCGATGACATGCAAAGGTACCTAGATACCTCCACTGCTCCAAGTCGTTCCTACCCATCCTTAGCTTGACTGGCCAGGACATCCCACTCTTTCCGCCCACAGACGCGACACGCCGTTTGCCCCGGCTCCTTGCCCAGCTGGACCTTCAACTTGTCTGTTCTTTTCATCTGACCAGTCAACATGCAGGAATGCAGTCGCACAGCCACGCCTTCCTGCCGGAAAACTCAGAAGAGCCTGATACCTCCAAAGAGAACCGCAGCTTGGGAAGTTGCGAGAGACAGTCTACTTACCTACCACTGACCATGGAAGAGACGGGGAAGGAAGAAAAGAAGGCAAGGCAGGAACAAGTTCCGCAATCCCTATTAATGCGTTCCAACTTTCAAGATGCTGCTATCGCCTGCATACGCAGTATGCGCAATATGCCCAGTAGGTACGGAGTACCTTACTTCCTTGGACGAGGTCGATCCTTGACGATAGGTGGGCCACCTTCATCATCACCAAGCCCTGTCTATTCTCCTATTCTTCGACTGGGCGGCATGTCTGAATCTGGTCCAGTTCTGGTGGCGCTTTCGAAAGCACTGCGCCTGCCTGTGAGTGAATCCGTAGTTCATCAATCCGTACTATTCATGCCTGCCTCTGTCTACTGTGCAAGGAGGCAAGATTCCCTGTGTGGACCCATCCCTGTTCTAAATTTCCTGCTTGCTGCAGCCGTTCAAGGACGGGCCGTCTGGGAATGTGAGGGGATGGTCTCTCCTCCTTTTCCTTTTCCAATTTTTTTTTTTTTTTTTTACTTCGCCTTGTTTTTGGTGCATACATAGCTGCCGGCGCGACTTCTTGTGCACTGTATGAATACTGAGAGAGGGACTCAGGAAGTAGAGCAGGAAGGGAAAGGAGACCGGACAGGGTTTGCTTGGTTCTTGTATAATCCCCTCTCTCCTTTTTCCCAGTTGTGCATCCATCTGTGCCTGCCAGCCTCCTGTACCTCCTTGTGTCTGTCGTGCTGTTCGTTAGAAAGTAATCCATAGGTCTGCCCTCTACTGTAGGCTGTGGTTCCCTCCCAGCTAAGGATCTAAAGTAAGGTCGGGTGTCTCTTTGTGTCATCTCCCACTGTGCTGCACCCCCCGTCTTATCCCTTAACCGCCCATCCATCCACCTATCCATCCATCCGCCTCCCCCCTTTTTGAAGCATTGTGGCGTGGGTTGTTACTTGTGTATTCGTAAAGGTACCGTCCTCCTTAGCCTGTCATCTCTTACCTTAGTACCAACAGGCCCGTTGTCACTTCCATACACTCCCTCTACCTCCTGCTCCTCCACCCAACCTCTTCTCTCCCACTGCTTCACCTCGACCTCACCTTCTTACCTCCTTCCACACCACAACAGGTTCGCACCTTCCACACTTCGCGTTCCGTCCACCCCTTTTCTTTCCTCCTTCACCTGCGATTTCTCTACCCTTAATTCATCACGCTCGTTTGTGAGACGGCCTCCCAGGCAGTCGCGGTTTTGAAAACAACAAAAAAAAAGTATTACACATCACCAGTCAATCGCTTCGTCGTCTTCTCCAGAGCCGGCCAAGCTTTTCGATCTACTGCAAGAGGTCGTGCTTTATCCTCCTCTCCCAAGCAGTCCAACGCATCTTGTATCCGGCGCCAACCTTGCCCAACCCCTTTGGTTTACGGTTTTACCACCTCCAAAGGAACAATCACCAAGCCAACTACGCCAGTCGGCCTTGCCGTGCTCCCGCAGCCCCCTTCCTCTACCGCAAGGGTTAACTACCTCACGCCGCCGAGCCACTAGACGGTCTACGACTTTGCAATCCAAATCACTGTCGCTATCTACTCTTGTTGTGCCGGCCACATCAGTTTGGGCTCACCATCGTCAGCCCTCCCACTGATCATACCACAATCATCTCGAGAATCCTCCCTGATGACTTTTGGACGGTCAGTGAACCAACCTCCCTCTCCTCTCCCCAATACCTTTTTGCTCTCTCTTCACAGCCCCGCCTGCCAATGGATGTGGCTTGCAATAGTATCGACCCATCCGTACTGACTCTCATGTTCTGCTAGATAATCAACTTTCAGAATGTCGGGATATCCAGCCGGTGGTGCTGGTGGCGGAGGCCACCAGGACTACGATGACGGCTACGGCCAACAACAGGGTCGCGGCCATGGAGGAAACGGAACTCAGCAGACCGATTCCTACTACCAGGACGACCAGCAGTACTATGATCAGCATGGTGCTTACGACGCCCACGGTGGTCACCCCCAGCAGGGTGGTGATGGCTACTACGATGAGTCGTATGTTCTCCGTTTTCGCCGACTCCAATTGAAGGATTGGGCTAACTGTACTCTCCAGGGGCTACTACAATGCCGACCCGAACAATGCCTACCACCAGGATGGTGGATACTACGACAACAACGAGCAGTACCAGGACGGCTACTATGACAATAACAACAACAACCCCAATGGGTACTACGACCAGGACTACAACCAGGGACATGCTGGTGGGCAACGCCATCAGGGCTCCGAGGAAGACTCCGAGACCTTCAGCGACTTCACCATGAGATCCGACATGGCTCGCGCTGCCGATATGGACTACTACGGCCGCGGCGACGAACGTTACAACAGCTATGATCAGGGCGGTGCTCGTGGATTCAGACCCCCTTCCTCTCAGATCTCTTACGGCGGCAACCGCTCTTCCGGGGCTTCGACACCCAACTACGGCATGGACTACGCCAACATGATGTCGGCTGCTTCTCGCGAGCCGTACCCTGCCTGGAGTGCCGATGCTCAAATTCCCCTGTCCAAGGAGGAGATTGAGGACATTTTCCTCGATCTTTGTGCCAAGTTCGGATTCCAGCGGGACAGCATGCGCAACATGTACGACCACTTCATGATTCTTTTGGACTCAAGAGCTTCCCGCATGACCCCTAATCAGGCTCTGCTGTCTCTCCATGCCGATTACATTGGTGGAGACAACGCCAACTACCGCAAGTGGTACTTCGCCGCCCACTTGGACCTGGATGATGCAGTCGGCTTCGCCAATATGAAGGGCAAGGGGCTACGCCGCAAGGCCAAGAACAAGAAGAAGAAGAAGGGTGAAGCCGAGAACGAGGCCGAGGCTCTGGACGATCTTGAGGGTGACAACTCTCTCGAAGCTGCCGAGTACCGTTGGAAGACTCGCATGAACCGCATGTCTCAGCATGATCGCGTTCGCCAGCTTGCTTTGTACCTGCTCTGCTGGGGTGAAGCCAACCAGGTTCGCTTCATGCCCGAGTGCTTGTGCTTCATCTTTAAGTGTGCCGACGACTACCTCAACACTCCCGCATGCCAGAACCTGGTGGAGCCTGTGGAGGAGTTCACTTTCCTCAACAACGTCATTACACCCATCTACCAGTACTGCAGAGACCAGGGCTACGAAATCTCCGATGGCGTCTACGTGCGACGTGAGCGTGATCACGACAAAGTTATCGGATACGACGACTGCAACCAGCTTTTCTGGTACCCCGAGGGAATCGAGAAGATCGTCCTTGAGGACAAGTCTAAGTTGGTCGACGTTCCTCCTGCCGAGCGCTACCTCAAGTTCAAGGACATCAACTGGAAGAAGTGCTTCTTCAAGACGTACAAGGAGACTCGATCATGGTTCCATTTGCTTGTTAACTTCAACCGCATTTGGATCATTCACTTGACCATGTTCTGGTTCTACACTTCATACAACTCTCCCAGTTTGGTCGTCGGTCCTTCGTACGAGCAACAAGCCAACCAGCAGCCGTCGACGGCCCAGAACTTCTCTATCGTTGGATTCGGTGGCACGATCGCCGCGCTCATTCAGGTTTTGGCTACCCTGGCCGAGTGGGCGTACGTGCCTCGCAAATGGGCTGGCGCGCAGCACCTGACCAAGCGTCTCTTATTCTTGATCTTCATTCTGGTCATCAATGTCGCGCCCTTCGTCTATGTCTTTGTGCTTCCGAACCCCAATGCGCAGATTGCTAAGATCCTCGCCATTGTGCAGTTCATCATTGCAATCCTCACCTTCATCTTCTTCTCGGTTATGCCGCTCGGCGGCCTCTTCGGAAGCTACCTGACCAAGAACTCGCGCAAGTACGTTGCCAGTCAGACATTCACTGCAAGCTACCCACGCTTGAAGGGCAACGACATGGCCATGTCCTACTTCCTATGGGTCGCCGTCTTCGGTGCCAAATTCGGAGAATCCTACGTCTACCTGACCCTGTCCTTCAGGGATCCTATTCGATACCTCACCATCATGCAAATCGATTGTCTTGGCGACAAGATCATTGGAGATGTTCTTTGCAAGAAGCAGCCGTACGTTCTTCTGGCTCTAATGGCCTTCACCGATTTGATTTTCTTCTTCCTTGACACGTACTTGTGGTATGTCTTGGTCAATGCGATTTTCTCCATTGCCCGATCCTTCTACATTGGTTCTTCCATCTGGACTCCTTGGAGAAACATTTTCTCTCGCTTGCCCAAGCGTATCTACTCCAAGATTCTTGCTACTGGCGACATGGAAATCAAGTACAAGCCAAAGGTGCTCATCTCTCAGGTGTGGAACGCCATCGTCATCTCCATGTACAGAGAACATCTATTGGCCATCGACCACGTGCAGAAGCTTCTCTACCACCAGGTTCCTTCTGAGCAAGAGGGTAAGAGAACGTTGAGAGCGCCTACTTTCTTCGTTTCTCAGGAAGATCACTCGTTCAAGACAGAGTTCTTCCCTACCGACAGCGAAGCCGAAAGACGTCTTTCTTTCTTCGCTCAGTCGCTGTCGACTCCCATCCCGGAGCCTGTGCCAGTCGACAACATGCCGACTTTCACCGTTCTCATTCCCCATTACAGCGAAAAGATCCTGCTCTCTCTCCGCGAGATTATTCGTGAGGATGAGCCCTACTCTCGCGTCACATTGCTCGAGTACCTCAAGCAGCTTCATCCGCATGAATGGGACTGCTTCGTCAAGGATACAAAGATTTTGGCTGATGAAACTTCACAATTCAATGGCGACGGTAACACCAACGAGAAGAACGAGAAGGACACCGCCAAGAGCAAGATCGACGATTTGCCCTTCTACTGCATTGGTTTCAAATCTTCCGCCCCCGAGTACACTCTCAGAACCCGTATCTGGGCATCTCTTCGCTTCCAGACCTTGTATCGCACGATTTCTGGCTTCATGAATTATAGTAGAGCTATCAAGCTTTTGTATCGTGTGGAAAACCCAGAGGTTGTCCAAATGTTTGGTGGAAACTCCGACAAGCTCGAGCGTGAGCTCGAGCGCATGGCCCGCCGCAAGTTCAAGCTCTGTGTTTCCATGCAGCGTTACGCCAAGTTCAAGAAAGAAGAAATGGAGAATGCCGAGTTCCTGCTTCGCGCCTACCCCGATCTTCAGATTGCCTACCTCGACGAGGAGCCTCCTCTGGCTGAGGGTGACGAGCCCCGTCTGTACTCTGCCCTCATCGACGGTCACTCGGAGATCATGGAAAACGGCATGCGCAAGCCCAAGTTCCGCATCCAACTTTCCGGTAACCCCATCTTGGGCGACGGCAAATCCGACAACCAGAACCACTCGCTTATCTTCTACCGCGGAGAATACATCCAGCTTATCGACGCCAACCAGGACAACTACCTCGAGGAGTGCCTCAAGATCCGATCTGTGCTCGCAGAATTCGAGGAGATGAAGACTGATAATGTCAGCCCCTATACTCCTGGTGTCAAGAGCAAGATGACCAACCCTGTCGCTATTCTTGGTGCTCGCGAGTACATTTTCTCCGAGAACATTGGTATTCTTGGTGACGTCGCTGCTGGAAAGGAACAGACATTCGGTACCCTTTTCGCCCGTACCCTCGCTCAAATCGGAGGCAAGCTTCATTATGGTCACCCGGATTTCCTCAATGGTATCTTCATGACGACTCGTGGTGGTGTTTCGAAGGCCCAGAAGGGTTTGCATCTCAACGAGGATATTTACGCCGGAATGAACGCCCTCTTGCGAGGTGGCAGAATCAAGCACTGCGAGTACTACCAGTGTGGTAAGGGTCGTGATTTGGGATTCGGCTCAATTCTGAACTTCACCACCAAGATTGGAACTGGTATGGGTGAGCAGATGCTTTCTCGCGAGTACTACTACCTCGGAACTCAGTTGCCTTTGGACCGTTTCCTCTCTTTCTACTACGCCCATCCCGGTTTCCATCTCAACAACATGTTCATTATGTTGTCCGTCCAGATGTTCATGATCTGCTTGCTCAGCTTGGGCGCCCTCCGGAAAGAAACCAAGGCTTGCGACTACAACCGCGACGTTCCTATCACTGATCCTCTCTTCCCGACTGGTTGCCAGAACACCGATGCTCTCATGGATTGGGTGTACCGCTGCATTCTCTCCATTATCTTTGTGTTGCTGTTGGCCTTCGTGCCGCTGGTCGTACAAGAGTTGACTGAGAGAGGTTTCTGGCGTGCCACCAAGCGTCTTGGCAAGCAGTTCTCTTCGCTCTCGCCGTTCTTCGAGGTCTTCGTTTGCCAGATTTACGCAAATTCGGTACAGCAGGATCTCTCGTTTGGCGGTGCCCGGTACATTGGTACTGGTCGTGGCTTTGCGACTGCTCGCATCCCCTTCGGTGTCTTGTACTCCCGTTTTGCCGGTCCTTCAATCTACTTCGGGTCCCGTCTCCTGATGATGCTTCTCTTCGCCACCGTCACTATCTGGCAAGCCGCACTCGTTTACTTCTGGATCTCCCTACTCGCCCTGGTTATCTCGCCCTTCCTGTACAACCCGCATCAGTTCGCTTGGAGTGATTTCTTCATCGACTACCGCGACTTCTTGAGATGGTTGTCCCGTGGTAACTCTCGCTCCCACGCATCCTCCTGGATCGCCTTCTGCCGTCTGTCTCGTACCCGTATTACAGGTTACAAGCGCAAGGCTCTTGGCGACCCATCTGCCAAGATGTCATCCGACGTTTCCCGTGCGGCCATCACCAACATGTTCTGGGGCGAGATTCTTACCCCTCTCCTTCTCGTGGTCGTCACCGTCATTCCGTACCTGTACATCAACGCCCAGACCGGTGTCTCTGCTACCAACAACCCCGATGCCTCATCTTCGGAGATCAAGCGCACCAACTCTCTGATCAGAGTCGGAGTTGTCGCACTGGCCCCTATTGCAGTCAACGCTGGCGCGTTGATGATGTTCTTCTTCATGGCCTGCTTCATGGGTCCCCTCCTGAGCATGTGCTGCAAGAAGTTCGGTAGTGTCCTTGCGGCGATTGCCCACGGCATTGCTGTGGTCATGTTACTTGTCTTCTTCGAGGTCATGTTCCTGCTTGAGTCTTTCGATTTCGCCCGAACTATGCTTGGCATGATCGCTGTGGTCGCAATCCAACGTTTCATCTTCAAACTGATTATCTCGCTCACCTTGACGCGTGAGATGAAGACGGACGCAGCGAACATTGCATTCTGGACCGGCAAGTGGTACTCTATGGGATGGCACACGATCTCCCAGCCCGCCCGTGAATTCCTCTGCAAGATCACGGAGTTGAGCATGTTCGCGGCCGACTTTGTTTTGGGTCACTTCCTCCTCTTCATCATGCTTCCGGTCATTCTTGTTCCCAAGATTGACATGCTGCACTCCATGATGCTCTTCTGGCTTCGTCCTGGGTACGTACTCCTATCACTCTTTCCACAATTCTTTCTTGCACCGTTGCTAACAATCCATGAATAGTCGCCAAATCCGCCCGCCAATCTACTCGATGAAGCAGTCCAAGTTGAGACGCAAGCGTGTGTTCCGCTATGCCATCCTCTACTTCACCATGTTCATTCTCTTCATGGCTCTCATGATCGGCCCTGCCGTCGCTGGTGACATGATCCCTATGAGCATGTTTAAGGCTCTGGACTCGACGGACCTGGCCCTGATCCAACCTACCAGCCTCAACAACGACAACACGCTAGGAGAGACTGAGACTGGTACCGGAGCGCCAGACTACTCGGGAGCCTACCTCACGATGACTTCGTCGTCGGCAAAGGCATCCAAGACCAGCAACTCGGAGAGAGTGCGCCTTTTCTAATTGTACGAGTTGTATCATAGACGCATTCGGGGGTGGTAGAGAGAGAGAGAGAGAGAGAGTTGTCGTTCCACAAGCGGTCTCGGGATGTTTCCAAGGATGAACAGCCCAGACTCCGGCGGCAGGTTTTTAATGTCCATTACCAGGCGTGTATTGTGTCTTTTCCGACTGCTACCTATTCATTTCTCTTTTTGTACGGGCGGGAAAACTTGGCTGGCATGGAATCACGGCTGTGAAAGCCTGCAGACTACATATATCACCAAAGGCCAAGTGTGAGACTACCTTAGACGGGTGTATAATCAAGTCCCATTTTGTTCACTTACATGCTCTACCTATCAAGTCGTAGTGTGCAAAGGTTTGAAGTGACTTGAGCTTGATGACACGGCCACCCCAACCCTTGAACCATGGCATGGGCTGTGCGTAGCTGCGCGGATTAGGTCCAGGTGTTAAGTTCAAGGGGCCTGCTCTGTGGACATCTTAAGGAGGCTAGTCCTCTCACTATGGTGAGAAAAGTAGTTGCGAATGAGAGTAATCCTGCCACCCTTAGAGGAAGGGATGACAGCATTTGTCCTCGGAGAACTTCCATGGGTTGATGTTAAGTGAGATAAGGTGCCGTGAGTGACGGAGGGTGCTGGGCAGAGTGTGTATTATATGAATATGCAATATCGAGTATTGGGCGCTTAGGAGGGACGCATTCAAGTATCCGAAAGCACGGGACATTTCAGGCACTCAGGGGCAGAGAACCCTGTAGGCCAATCAGAACTCACGTGAAAGGTCATGGAAGGATCGATTGCCAGGGGGCGCGCTCGGGGAAAAAACCGCGTCGGAGGTGCTGTCACTTTGGCGCATTTTCACGACCTGAGCGCACTTGTGACTTGGCCGATTTCTTGCCTCTGGTTCCCTCACCAAGGCACCTTGATAATTCCTTGCTACCTCTCCACTGCCCGGAAAGAAAGTCTCCATCATCGTGTGTCTTGCGCGTCTTTAACTGCAGCACCTTGGCTCTGTACCTGTCAATCCAGGGCTCTCTGTACGGATATCTCAAGGTAGCGAGCGCAAAGCACCCGGGCATCCATCGCACCAGGATTGGCCGACGGTCCAACGCACCATCCCGTAATCCTCATTTCCCTCCTACCATCAGGTCCGGACTCTTCGGCCGCGACTACCCTCACAATTTTGCCCACTCTGCAGATACAACACATCAACTTGTCGACTCGTGTCCCGCATCTCTCCGTCTCTCACAGTCAACCACTGCGGTCGAATTGCATTGTCCTTACTCTGCATTTCCGTCAAAGCCATCATGGACGCAGGCGAGGCCCAAACGAAGCTCATCGCCTGGCTGCACGAGGCCTCCGAGGCCTTTCAAAAAGTTCCTGGCTCATCCGTCCTAATTCGTTACATTCAGTCGAGCTACCAGAACGATCCTATCCGTTCAGGCATTGAGCTAGTTCTCTTCATCTTCTTCGTCCGCTACCTCTTGTCGCCCTCCTATTCAACCCAGAAGCAGAATTTCATCAAACTTCGCGACGATGTACATTGACTCCGATCCCCTGCCCTATGCTCTCTTGACTGCGAACTCTGAAGCCCCGAGCCTTTCACTGACACTGCTGGGTAGGAAATCGACGAGTTGGTAGAAGACTGGACCCCGGAGCCGCTTGTGGCTCCTCAAACTGCTCTCGAGGAGATTGAAGCCGAAAGGTTGCCTGTGATTGTTGGGTACGACCGATCCCCCTTTCCCATCAACGATCATTCGCCCGAGACCACTTGACTAATATTGTGCAGACCGACCGGCCCCAAGACCAAGCTCGCAAACGGACGCACTGTCACGAACCTCGCTTCATACAATTTCTATAACTTCAACGCCAACGAACAGATCAAGGACAAGGCCATCCAGACGCTGCGTACCTACGGCGTGGGCCCATGCGGCCCTCCCCAATTCTACGGGACTCAGGACGTGCACATGAAGACTGAAGCAGACATCGCCGCCTATCTTGGTACCGAAGCCTGCATTGTTTATGCCCAAGCCTTCTCTACTATCTCGAGTGTTATCCCCGCCTTCTGCAAGCGCGGAGACATCATTGTCGCTGACCGCGCCGTCAATTACTCCATTCGTAAGGGTATGGAGGCGTCTCGAAGCACCATCAAGTGGTACAACCACGGCGATATGGACGACCTCGAGCGAGTTATCCGGAAAGTGGTTAAGGACCAGAAGGGCAAGAAGTTGACGAGAAGATTCATTGTCTCGGAAGGCTTGTTCGAGATCACGGGAGACAGCGCAGACCTGCCCAGACTTGTGAGTAGCTCGTAATGGCGCTACTTCCGCCACCCGACAGGCGACCAATGTTGGCTGACAATGCATGCAGGTTGAATTGAAGGAAAAGTACAGATTCCGTATCATCCTCGACGAAACTTGGTCTTTTGGCGTCCTCGGCCGAACCGGTCGCGGCCTTACGGAAGCGCAGAACGTCGACCCCTCTCAGGTAGACATGATCGCGGGCTCCCTCGCCGGCCCTCTTTGCGCTGGTGGCGGCTTCTGCGCTGGTGCCAAGGATGTTGTTGAGCACCAGCGTCTCACGGCAGCTTCTTACACCTTCTCGGCTGCACTGCCAGCCATGCTTGCGGTCACGGCCAGCGAGACTCTCAGCGTTTTGCAATCTAACCCGGACATCCTCACCCAGTGTCGTGAGAACACCAAGGCCATGAGGGCGCAGCTGGATCCTCGCAGTGACTGGGTCGTCTGCACCAGCTCGCCTGAGAACCCCATCATGCTGCTGGTGCTTAAGGCCGAGGTTGTCGCTGCACGCAAGCTTACACGAGAGGACCAAGAAAGGCTCCTACAAGACTGTGTTGATGAGGTAAGTCATTGACATATGAGCTTCCAGGAGAAGAAAGGTGCTAACCGTGGCTTGCTCATCAAGGCCCTTGCCAATGGAGTACTCATTACGCGCCTCAAGAGCATGCCCATTGCCAACGACCTGAACCCGAAGGACGACAGTTGGCAGATTCAGCCAGCGCTCAAGGTGTGCCTAACTACAGGCTTGCCAAGGAAGGATATCGAGAAAGCAGGTGTTACCATCCGACACGCCATCACGAAGGTCATGACCCGGAAGTCGAGCTCCAAGTCATCATAGCGTACTCAACTCCCACTCTGCTTGGAATGACTTTACGGCATGCACTATAGTGGAGATAGTGGATGACTTCATGCAGGTGTCGTTTTCATATGTGGCTTGTGTCGAACATAGACGATGCCGGTATCGAGATCACGGCGGCTGGGGACTCGGATACCCTAGAGAGTTTGCGGACTCACTTGTAATGACAAACATATACATACTAATTAATCATAGAGGCTGAAACGGCAGTCATTATTTTCATTTCGGACATCTCCTGTCGTACAGGAATTTGAAACAATCAGGGTGCGGAGCTATGCAAGAGAGGGAGTTCTCAACGCTAGACAAAGACTGGAAAATATTAGACAAAGGGGATATGTGTGATGGTAGCAGTACAAAGGCCGTACCCACCACCCACTTCCCGCTGTCAGCTCGGCCCCGGATCCGGCATCGGGTGGGCGGTCAAATAGCCCCAGCAACTCGGCATTATGCCGCCCTACACCTTTGTTGACGGAGCCCGTAGGTCCAGACCTCTCGGAAAGTTTTCTCTCTTTCCCCTCTCCATTCGGTCAAGGTTGAAAAAAAGCTGAAGGTTTCGCGGCTTCGGGTTCTGTAAGTGTTCCAGACTAGCGGACTTCTCTCTTAGACGTGCTCTACCGTCCGCTTTTTGCACTCTTCCGATACCTTACAAGGGATTTTAGAATAAGCCCCCCGCCTTGTAGTCGGTGGAGTGACGAGTCTTCCTTCAAACACGCGTAAGGGTCTTTCCTACTAGGTACAGATCGGGAGATCCATTGCGGTACCGGGCCCTTGGATCGGGCACCCGTGTGAAGTTGGCGTTCAGAGACTGGCCACCTCTCGATGGCCGGGCACCGCAATTGATTACCTATACGGCGCCGATGAGGGCTCAAGGGAGACGCCTTTGCAGTACCTAGGCTGTGTTGCCGTCGTCGTCTCCCTCGGAGGCTGGATGAAGAAGATAATGGGTGGCTCTAGGGTACAATGTATTCTGATCATACGGCGAGCTCTATAAGATGCCTCAATGTCGTTTCTGTTCATCTTTTCGGCTCCCGAAATCTTGACACATTCATTGAACCGTCTGAGACGACTATCTTAATTACCTCTCATTACTTTCCTTATACTTTTTGAGTAGAAACAACATTCCTTCTGTTGCAGCATCCGGTCCTACCTGGCAATCAAAGAGCAACGCTTCCTACCACTTTACCTACTAGAATTGTCGAGCATTGCGCTCTTGACTGTACTGACTCGGAGCAATCGAACTCAGACCGGCCGAGCTCGACGACGGCATCGAGAACCAGGCACTCAACATTCCCAACGGCTCTACGTTTGTTCGTCATTATCTTCAGATATTGAGAATAACTTGTGACCAACACGCTGCAAATCGTCAACACCTCGAGCTACAAACCCCATTTTCGGAAGTGAGTTAACAAATCTACATAAAATTCTTGTTGACTTTACATTCCTCGGGAGGGGTTCCTCGGCTCCTCGGATACAAGCTGGCTCTTTCCCCCAGTGCAATGTGTTGCTTGTTACAAGTGGAAACCAACATTCCTGCCTCCGGTGGCGCTGTCTCTCCCTTCCGTTCGTTACTCCCTTCCCGTCCCATCTCCTACTGGATTGTTTCCCGTACCTCATCTTACCTCGTTCTTGTTACTCTTGGCTCGAGACAGCAAGCCCCTGCCGAACATTTCTGTAAAATGATTGGGCCGTGAGGAGTCCCAGCCAGGCACCATGGACGTCCCCCTCGTGGGGTGGAGGACTACGTTACTTGACTACACCATGCCCACCCTTTCTGCCTCTTTTCGCACTTCCCGTCTCCCCATCTTCTTGTCTTCGTTCCCTCGTCTTAGACTGTTGCCCGTCGCCGTTGGCTTCGTGTAGTGCAAAGCTGTATCGACAGCGATTCGTTCCTTTCCTGCTGATGTCGATGCTTTCGTTGTAGTCACTCGTTTTCCGACCCTACTATTCTTCTCTCTCGTTCAATCCTATTCCCAAACCTGTTTAACTCACGGTTTTGTCGCTACAGACCCCGACTTTGAACAATCCTGTTCCAGCGAAATTCAACCTCAGTCGAAGCCAAAACCACGGTCGCCTATATCATCACATTCTCTGGTATCATTACTTTGCCTATCTCGGGCCCAATTATCACGCACCACCAAGCTGTTAAAGTCGCAAAACGAAAATGAAGTCAGCCAGTCTTTCGTCGACTCTAGCAGTCGCTGTATTGCTGGGGCTGTCAGCTGCTCATCCCAAAGGTAAGCCAGGCTTGTCCGTTGCCAGGATGTTCAATAGCATGTCTGACATTTTGATATAGGTACTAGAGATGCCAGAGGAGCAATCATCCGTCCTGAGAAGATCCTTGTTACCGATTCTACGCTCAAGGAGGCTACCGAGGCTCCTCAAGTCATTGTTTATGTCGATGAAGAGGGCACCCCTTTGGAAACGACCGTCGAAACGGTCCGCTTCGTGCCCGCGACGCAATCACCCAAGCGCCCCTCGAAGCCTGTAGAGCTCAAAACCCGGTCCGAGGAATTAGCTACCCGCGTAACCTCGTCGCGAGACCTCACCAGCGACATCCTTGGCTCGTCTTCTTCATTGGTCGCCTCGACGACCACTCTTCTCTCCGCTTCTTCAACATCATCCTCTGCGCCCACACCTTCTTCCTCCCTTACTACAAACTCGACTCTTACTTCAAACTCGACTCTTTACGGAATCGCCTATGCGCCTTACACGGCAGCGGGATTGTGTAAAACAGCTACTGAGATCGACGCCGACTTTACGGAGCTCAAGGGAAAGTACTCGGTAGTGCGCACCTACGGTACCGACTGCAATCAGATCGCGAACGCCCTTCCCGCGGCCAAGAAGGCTGGTCTCAAACTCTTCTTGGGCATCTTTGACATCAGCTCGATCTCTACCCAGGTCGCATCCATTATCACGGCAGCCAACGGCGACTGGTCTTTGATCGATACTGTCAGTGTCGGCAACGAATTGGTCAACAATGGCAAGGCCACAGCGCAGCAAATGGTCACAGCCATCACCCAGACGCGCCAGCTTCTCCGCGCTAACGGCTACAACGGCCCCGTCGTCACTGTCGATACCTTTGTGGCGGTCCTTGCCAACCCTGCTCTTTGCGATGCTTCTGACTACTGCGCCATGAACATTCACCCCTTCTTCGACAGCAACACGGCGGCGAAAGATGCTGGCTCGTTCATCACTAACACGGTTGCTCAGGTCCAGGCCAAGCTCTCTGACCGGAGCAAGCGCGTTGTCTGCACGGAGACGGGTTGGCCATGGAAGGGAACTGCCAACGGTGCCGCTGTGCCAGGTCTCAGTGAGCAGAAGTTGGCTGTTGACTCAATCAAGAGGGCATACGCAAGCCATCCAAGTGATGTTATTCTCTTCTCTGCTTTCAACGACCTCTGGAAGCACGCCGAGGCAGCGACCTTCAATGCGGAGCAGTACTGGGGCATTGGAGCTTTGGACTCGGCATCTGGAAAATAAGCAGAAGAACTGCTAGAGGAGGAAGTGAGACGGTCGTTTGTTTCTGCTGGGCTGCGGGCAAGCCAAGGACGAAGCGGATACATATGATTTTTTTGGTTGACATGACGATTATCAAAACATTCATGTTACATATATTACAAAACAAATTCTTTTTGGAATCAGCTACTGCTGCTACGCTGCATCTGTAGGCTATGCGTTCATGTCGCTGTCTTCAAGGTTCTTTCTTCTTCGATGATCTACCATAGTACCTTGCACCAAGCCCAACGATTCTTTTCAAGGTGAATTAAGCACTCGCTGTCAATTAAGACGTGTGGCTCCTCATTAGTGTCCGTGGATATGTATGCGAACGTCATAGCACAATGCTCCTAAGGTAGGTAGGCAGACAACTGGCTGTGTCTGATCCGATGGTTCTCCGTGGCCAAGAATCGGACAACCGGGCCATCCGGCCCCACACGGCCGATAGTACCTCGTCCCTGATGAGGCTAGTCTGACATGTTGTTTCGATGGATGGGAGGGGAGCCCCCCAAAGAAACAAGAGATGAGAAAAGGCCAAATGTGGTTGCGATGGGAGCAAGTGAGAGCAATTCAAGAGAGAGGCGAGCAACTCAATTTACCCAGCCAAGTTCATCGTGATCGATGCTGAGAGCCTATCTGTACACGTATATACTAGAACGAGAAATGGGGTAATTGAAGCGCAGGCACAGGCAGAGGGTGAGCCGAGACAACTAGAAACACGCTATGGTGGAACTTTTCAGCGATGTTTCTCGAACGATTTGTCTTGGGAGGAATGTGGCTGTGGCTGTCTATTTGCAACGGCCAGCGGACTCGAGCGGCCCCCGATCACCCGATTAGTGGCCTTGGTGTGAGGTGAGGTACCTGCGCAGCTACGGCAAGGTTGTTCAAGGGCGCATGGATGGACAGCGTGCCCTAGGCCTAAGATGGTGGAGGTATTACAGAGCGGGATGGGTTTTCGCCGCGGATCCCGGCGCAGAGCCCGCGCAGAGCCCCTCCAACATGTTGACTCCCTGTCCTGACTCCCACTTACACTCAAGTACCGGTATCTGAACCGCGTAGGTGGATGAGTTTGGAAGCACTAAAAGCATCTCAAGCTTTCCTTAGCTGAATTAGAAAGGACACGACTTTTTCTGTGAGAGTGTAAGGCCCACTACTTACCATTGATAGCTTACGTTGAGGTACGCGCCCACTGGAGGTACCGTCTAATACCTTGATGTACGGTCCAGGTGTACCTTTGACGGCCGGATCAACAAGATGCGGTGAGCTTCGGCGAACCAAAGCTGCAGCATCCCTTCCCACGTTCCGATTACCTCAGTTGTTCTTCTCTGCCGCCAGCCACCCCTCCAAAGCACACCACTTTTCCCATTCTTTTATTCCCGGTATCTGCCTTTCTTCTTCAAGAACTCCAATTTCGTTCGTTCCATTGGGGTTACAGGACTTGCTCTAGCCACCCCCCGTCCCAAGCTTCTTTTACTTTTGCAGCTTTGCAACCGACAGCCAAACCCAATTCCAACGACAAAACGTTGAACGCGGTCGCGTCGAAGCCGCAGGCGCAATGGCTACCTCCGCGGGGACAGCATCTGGTGGGAAGCAGCCAAAGAGGACGAGGGAGTACCCGCTCATGTCGCGCCGCGAGATTGAAGATTTAATCGCACAAGGCAGAACTGTCACAATAGTTGACGATTTCGTCGTCAAGTTGGATGGGTGGTTGGCATACCACCCTGGCGGCGACAAGGCTATCCAGCACATGGTCGGTCGGGATGCCACCGACGAGGTCACCGTGTAAGCGCACCCCTGTTCCTCTTCCAACTCCCACCAGATCCTCTCCGTCGCGAGTTGGGAAAAGGCCGAGGAAGAGAACGAGAACGAGAAATTACGTTGACTTATCAATGCCTTGCAATACGGCAGACTGCATTCCCCGGAAGCCAAGGCACAGATGGCTCGGTATCGTATCGGAAGAATCGAGGGCCACTGGAGGAATTTTGTGCCGCCCATCCAGGGAGGCAAATTCAGAGCCATCGAGCAGGGCGGCTCGGAGTTTGACCCTGCCGAAGACGACGACGCACTGCGCTTCTTTGGCGCCTCATCGCCCAGCGATATCAGCTCACGAGAAGCCTCGCCCGTATTTGACACCGCCCAGAACCAAGTCCGCCATAGACACGGTGCCGCGCCGAGCCCAAACTCGGCCCATGGTTCTTCCGCTACGTCAGTAATCGACGATGGCCATGACGACAAGGAGATGAACGGTACTGCCTTCCTCGACTCCGAGACGCGGAAGCAGATCCGTCTCGACCTCGACAAGTACCCTGCCCTGGACGACGAGACGCAGTCGGACATCGTGCGAAAGTACAGGCTGCTCGACAAGCGTATCAAGGCTGAGGGGCTTTACGACTGCGACTATCGTGCCTATGCCATCGAGGTATCACGGTATACACTCCTCTTCGTCGGCATGCTGACGTTTCTGCGATGGGGCTGGTACTTCCCGAGTGCAGCTTGTCTGGGCTGTTTCTGGCACCAGCTCGTCTTTACCGCTCACGATGCCGGGCATATGGGCATCACTCACAACTTTCACGTCGACACGTGTATTGGCATTTTCATTGCCGACTTCATGGGCGGGCTGTCCATTGGATGGTGGAAGCGGAACCACAACGTCCACCACATTGTTACGAATTCTCCCGAGCATGACCCCGATATCGAGCATCTGCCCTTCTTCGCCGTCTCCCACCGTTTCCTCGGTAACTTGACGTCGACCTACTACGAGCGTGTAATGGAGTACGACTTCGCCGCGAAGCTGTTCCTGAAGGCACAGTCGTATCTCTACTATCCCATTATGCTCTTTGGCCGCTTTAACCTGTACAGACTCTCCTGGGACCACCTCATCATGGGCCGCGGTCCAAAGAAGGGTATCGCCTGGTGGCACCGCTGGCTCGAGATGGCCGGCCAGGTCTTCTTCTGGATCTGGTTCGGCTACGGCATCGTGTACAAGTCCATCCCCACCAACTGGGACCGCTTCGTCTTCGTCATCATCAGCCACATGTTCCAGGCCCCGCTGCACGTCCAGATCACGCTCTCCCACTTCGCCATGAGCACCGCGGACCTCGGCCCCCACGAGTCGTTCCCGCAAAAGATGTTAAGGACGACCATGGACGTCGACTGCCCGACCTGGCTCGACTTCTTCCACGGCGGCTTGCAGTTCCAGGTCGTCCACCACATGTACCCGCGCATCCCACGCCACAATCTGCGCAAGACGCAGCGGCTCGTGCAGGACTTTTGCAACGATGTGGGCATTCCATACGCCCTCTACGGCTTTGTCGACGGTAACAAGGACGTGATAGGTCGGCTGGCCGAGGTGTCCAGGCAGGCGGCCATCTTGGCAAAATGCCAAAAGGTCGCGGCGGACCACATCCAGAACGGCGGTCACGGTCACTGATGGAATCCGGTTGGCCGTTTCGGTCTCGCATCTTAATCTCACAAGAGCTGGTCCCCTGTTCGTCATCTGGTTGCATAATGTACTTTTCAACATAATTCTCTTGTGGTGGAGAGAGCAAGCGAATGAGTCTACTCGCGACTGGGGGATTAGGGGGTGAGGTGAGGGGGAGCGTAGAAATGCATACGTGCATACCAACCATGTGGCCTGTGGCGCCCAAGCCAAGATAGGCTACAATAATATCTGGAAAACGAATCGATCTGATATGATATTGAAATCTGTGTGTGTGAAAATGAGGGTGCATGCATATGATGTGACGAACATATGCAACAGACCGCATGATCGGGTTGCCCGATCTGTACATCGTCGCCTGAGTCCCCTTGAGCCGCCGCTCCCTCCCCCGGGGCCTCGAGACGACTTCCGAGGTTCTGGCTGTGCCTTAACCAACCATCGCCCACTTTCATGGTTTGCTTTGTTTCTTTTTCCTCGCCTTTTCTCCTCTGTACGCGGGGAAAGGGGGAGTAGAGGAAAGGGAGAGACAGCAAATTTAATGTTGTCAGCCAACCTTCAACCGGCGTGGGATTCTCTCCTTGCTCCCCGGTTTCCTCATGGACCAATGAACGTTGGAAGTTGGGACGGTGCAACCATAGGCTTGCAGACTACCCTCATATTGGGATACGGAGTAACGGGACGGCTTAGAGGCGCGATCGTAGGGTCTTAACGGGCCATGTCGCAAGACAGAAACATATTGTTTAATCATCTCAACCTTGCCCCCCCTCCTGCATACTTCTCTACCTTACCATGGCACACATGAAAACGCCTCCTTTTCCGATCTGTGATTCACGGTCCGGTCGGATGTCCTGACCCTGAAATATGCACGATCTGTGAATCAATGAGGCTGCTGGCCGTAAGAGATTTTACGCCATATCGGAACACAACCCGGTTCAAGCCACTTTAATAGGGATTCAACAGCTCTCAAGCAAACTAAGAAGAGAGAAGGGGGAAGGCAGAGGATACGGAAAGGCACAGAGGGTCCCAGGAGACAACATAAGAGCTAGGGTGGTCCAATTCCAGAGTACAGAGTACAGAGTACGGTGCAGACACACCACGTAACATTGGAATAAGCAATAACGCCAAGCAGCGGGCACCCGTCTTCTATACCGACCCGGGCGGGAAATCCTGGTCCACCCTCCGATCTCCGTTTCCTTGTACGAGTTTACAGTCCCAGTGCCATGGACAGTGAACATGCTAAGACCAACAGGGCCTTTAACGCGTTGGACTGTCATATCTCCTTGATCAGCGTACGAACCCAGGTCTTTCTCATCTCCGACCATCCTCCTTGAAACCGGCCAATGACCATGAGACGAGAAATGGTGGTACAGAAGCTAAGTATCCATAAAGCAACCCAAACAGTTTCCATGGCAAGTCGATGAGAGGTCCTAAAGAGAAAGCAAAGGGGGACTTGTGCCACAAGTGATAGCAAACGAATATTGAACAGCGGCGGAGGGGAGAGAAGGAGGTGCTCGAAACGCCGGGCTTCGGGGTGACACGGAACGGTCAACTTCGGAGGCCAGCCCGGCTCCCCGTACTCCCGGAAGCACTCGCAAGAGAAGGAAAAGCGTAGACGCAACATGAGGTATGTCTTGTAACGGCCGTTGGCCAAGTAGTGCCTGGGTAGCCGTATTGTAGAGTGGCTATCCCCGGCAATCAAGACGGCCTTTGGAATCATGGGTGCCACATCACCACCTCCTTCGAGACATGAGTATGGGCGGCTTTCTAGATTGGGTGAGAGGCTGGTCTGGATCTGACAGTCTGTTGGGCGCCTGCAGCCACATTTTTGGGCACGGCTGTAGGGGAGGGGGCTGAAAAGCTCCTGGACAGCAAATCCTGAACAGATACTCTTGAACGGGTACTCTTGAACAGCACCTCCTGAGCAGCTCTTGAACAGCTCTTGAACATGAACAGGGGGGCCAAAGGTAGGCAGCTGCCGGTCGAAGCCCAAGGATGCGGTGGTATGCAGTTTCTCGAATGCTTTGTTGACGGACAGTTGAGGCGCAGGTCGTGAAATGTATTTAAGGTATTGCATTTGCCCTGCATCATGCCCGAGACGAACTTGGATTTTCAGTAGTGCTCTCGTTAGCATCTGCAGATCTCACAGTCAACCTTATCTCTGCAACTTCTTTAGGTGTCCTACCACAGCCAATACGTAATCCCTGGCCGCCATCCAGCTTTGAGCAACATGTGAGTCCGTCAACCAGACGAATAGTCGAGGATGAGTTGGCGAAGCTAACGAGCAATTCGAGCGAGTCTTTCCCGACTGAACAACGGGGAAATCAAAAGGAGTCGAGACTTTCTAAACACAGCTCTCAAAGCTTTCGACCATGCCGGACGAAAACCAAAACCAAAAGAAGAAGAAGAAGAAGACACCAATGGATGAGGCAGCATATAAGCGACTCAGAGCGAGCCTAGGCCCGCATGTAAGTGTTTGGAATAGCTACTTGTTCAGCTACAGCTACCCTCACAAAGCCAGCCAGCTTACACAAGGTAGGACCCTGCTGTGAAGCGAGCGAGGGCCGCGCTCGACAAGGCTATTAAGGCTAAAAATGAAGGCTCGTCGAGTAACGCCGAACAAGGAGGCCAGTCAAGTGGTGACGGTCAACAGGAAGGCGATAGTGGCGCTCAAGAGGAAGGCGAGGTTGATGAGTGAGGGGCTTGGTGGTGTCTTTCTTGTGTAGACAGAATGGAGGAGTATCGTAACGTGTAGATACTAAACACAACGTTTCGGATACCATTGGATTCCGTCATTTTATCTATTCTGAGTACTCATCTGCGTGCGTGATATTGCCGTGCCAACTTGTGATTTAAAAGACAGAGATGAGACTGATGGAGGGAGGAAAGAGGCGAGCAGAAAGTTGAGAGCAGGGCAGGGGTAGATGGAAGTTGGCCAGGCCGACCCAAACCACTGGAATTTTTAGGGGAGAATCGTCCAAGGTGACTGGTTGAGATCAACGCCTTGATCTTGGCTTGGGTACCAGGATCAGACAGTTGGTATAGGATGACATTGGTTCACGAGAGGACCGTTTGCCCTCTCGTGCCTCTCGTGCCTCTCGCGGAGTCTACCGTTCTCATAGTACAATGGGGTTCCGAAAGCATGTTGAATACCCAGTTACCTTTGTCGCGGCGTATTACCGTCGAGGTCTGATACCCACGAATGGGTGACAGAAGCCGCTCGGTAGCATTGACTCACTGAAGCAGTAGACATGGTATTCGCCGCCAGCATAAACACCAGAGCAAACAAGGTGGGGCTAACGGAAGCTATAGGAGTGGAAGTCGCTGGGACTCTAGGAGCGAAGGGCAGAAGCGAGAGGCGAGCGACGAGGCGGGGGGGGTTGAAAAAGAAAGAATCAAAATGTTTGTCTCTTGGAGGAGCAGGGAAGAGACGCGATAACAAGGATTGATACTTTGTACCGTGGCCGAGATTACACTCTCTGTTGAATATTGCGGGTTGGAACAAAGCTGCCTCAAAGTTTGTAGAGATTCCTGTCCAGAGATAAAGAAGTTGCCTCGGCGCTTGGATTTCAGTTAGATTCAAGGATCAAAGTCGTGGCGGTATATATCTCTGACCCATTACGATGAGCGATGTCTGCCCACCTTACGGAGTACTTGCTTTGTACTGTAAGGTAGTTACCCCGCTACCTAACTTGTTGTCTCACGTCAACCACGTTCCATTGTCGCAATGGCATCCTGAATCCTAGAAATGGGTACCTTACTCTATTGAGGCGGCAGGATAAGTAGATTCCAACTCCATACTCTGATACCTTGGTTGTCTCCACTATAGTAAGCCACGCTGCGCTCAGTCGCTGGAGATTGCTGTTTCCCCCAAGGTTCGGTGAGCCTGTGATGCTTTGCTGAGGTTCGCGCTTACCTCAAGGCACCCAGGAGGGGCTTTATTCCGATGCAGCTTCCTGCGACTCATGTATTTGTACTTGACATAAATTACCCTGATGTGTGAAAGGCAATGGCTGGCAGTATCGAGAGTAACTGTTCTGAGGCGCGGAAACAAGATCTGGAAGTAGATTCGGTAAAACCCTTGGCACCTTGCCTGAGGTGCAGGCGCTTTGGGTTCAAGGAAACGGAAAAAGGTACATCCCATGAGTACTTACGTTACTGTGGTATTCATATTGTGTAGGATGCCAGAGGGTGCCAGTGGGTGCCCTGTCGTGCGGCGTGCCTGTTTTCTTACCTTACCGTGCCTGGGGCTTGAGGTGGGTTCCATCCAATTGTTCATCCTTCAGGTCGCCAGTGACGCCACATACCTCCGCCTGCCGCCTGCACCCGCCTCTTTCTTTGACGTCCCACGGTCCCAAAGCCTGCTTCTTGCTTGTCTCGGCTGCTTCTATTTGCTCTTAACCCGGCTGCAGCCTCACTTCAGCGCGCCTATCGCGACATCACACTGCAACGCGGCACCTTGGGAGATCTCGTCATCCTCTCCATCTGCAACTCCTAACTTGTTTAGTTTTCTTCAGTGACGGCTTCCGAGTTCCAAGTCCCCGACACTTGCCACTAAACATATCGATCCTGCCACTGTGACCCGAAAGTGAACCCAGCTCACTCCAGGACCTTACTGCTTGCATCTCGATTGGCTCCTGTCATCTTATCCGTATCCTTCTCCACCATTTCAACCCAACGCGGACTACCGACAGTTGTACCTACCTGACCTCACTTGGACTGTCACCGACTCATCTCACACAAGGTCCTGCGCCAACGTTCCGGGACATGATCCCGTCGTTGCTGTCTCGACCTCGCCACCAAACATGGAAGTCAGCATCCAGAGAGCTTTAAACGATAAGCTCTATGACAAGCGCAAGGTTGGCGCACTCGAGTACGCCTTACCATCCCCAGCACTCCCCTTATTCTCATTCACTTCATCTCATCTCATCTCATCTCATGCTCTTCACTCGTGGCTGACTCTTTGCATTTCAAACTCGCTCTAGGCTCGAACGAGTCATCCGAGAGCTAGTCGTTACTAGAGACTACCCAAGAGTCCAAGCAATCCTCGAGCAACTCTGCAATGAGTTCGCCTATGCGGTGCATCAACCCCATGCTCGAAATGGAGGCTTGATAGGCCTGGCCGCAGCTGCCATCGCCCTCGGTCACGTATGTGCCAACATGCACCTTTCATGAAATGGCTGTGATCACTATTCTTGGCCTGGACCTTTGTGGCTGATTTGACATCATAGGAACTACCCCGCTATCTCGAGAAGATCGTTCCGCCAGTGCTAGCATGCTTCACTGATCAAGATGCGAGAGTCAGATACTATGCCTGTGAGGCCATGTACAATATTGCCAAGGTCGCCAAGGGGGAGATCTTGATATACTTTAATGACATCTTCGACGCCCTCTGCAAGGTTAGTACACTCGACGTCAAAGACAAAAATACACCACCCCAGCGTCCCCCTTCGCCCGGAGTTCTGACCTGACTATATACACAGCTGGGAGCCGACTCTGAGTTATCCGTCAAAAACGGTGCCGAACTGCTCGACCGACTGATCAAAGACATTGTCTCTGAATCGGCTGCGTCGTACGTGTCCGTCCTTGAGGGAGAGTTGGATCAGCAGGAGCTTAGCGATAAGGATGAACTTGAAGAACGCGCTGCCCCTCCTACCGCCTTTTCCTTACGCCGATTCATCCCACTCCTCCAGGAGCGCATCTGGGTCATCAACCCTTTTACCCGCCAATTCTTAGTTGGCTGGATTACATTGCTCGACTCTATTCCTGACTTGGAACTCGTCACATTTCTTCCCGACTTCCTCGGTGGCTTGCTCAGGTTTCTGAGTGACCCCAATAGAGATGTTCACGTTGCAACTAGAGCCTGCCTCGACAAGTTTCTCAGCGAGATTAAGAGGATATCTAGGATCAAGAAGGGCATCGCTGAGAGCAAAAAGTCGCGCGAAGGCGGAAAACGAAAACGCGAAGAGTCGGTAGATTCGGGGAGTCTCCAAATCGGCCCGGAAGAGGGTGATGAGGTTGACTCACAATCCGACGACGATGATAGCAGCGGCGAGGAAGACTGGGTACCAGGACAAGATGTCCAAATCAACTACCGAAAAATTCTCGAGATACTAACCGCCACTCTGGACTCTCCCCTTGGTAAGGCTTGCATTTCACTCCGCCCTAGAGCCTAGTGCGAACTACAGCTGACTCTTTGTGTGATAGAGGAGGACTCTCTCTTGGAGTCGCTGCGATGGATAGTCGAGTTCTTGGATATTTGCCCCGAAGAGGTACTACCTTTCACTCCAAAGGTCCTGGCTCACATGCTACCTGCTATGGCCAGTGGTGTTGAATCCATACGCCAAGCTGCCGCACGCGTCAATGCCGGCCTGATGGACTATGTCGTCTCCCTCTCTGACGAGCCTGAGATAGGTGGCGCCTCTCAGTCCATGTCACGCATCCCATTATCTGGCGAACGACAGGAGGGGCCATCTAGTGCACGAGCTTCCCTTTCTAGTTCGCGGGACCTCGAAATGCGGAGCCCAACCCCAGCCCAGGGGCACAATCGTTCTCTCTCGACGCCGGTTGCACCGTTAACAAATAACCATCCCCAAGTAGATTTGGACTACGCCGCAGCCGTGAATGCTTTGACACTGTTGTTCCTCAATGACCACGAGGCAACTCGTGTTGCGGCCTTGACGTGGTTGATAATGCTTCATAGGAAGGCCCCTAGGAAAGTTCTCGCCTTTAATGACGGAACTTTCCCTGCCTTGCTTAAGACGCTCTCTGATCCAGCTGAAACTGTTGTCACGAAAGATCTACAGCTGCTGTCACAGATCTCTCGCAACAGCGAAGACGATTACTTTTCAAATTTCATGGTCAACTTATTGCAGCTGTTTGCTACTGACAGAAAACTGCTTGAGACACGAGGAAACCTGATCATCCGCCAGCTTTGCGTGAGCCTGAGCGCAGAGAGGATCTACCGTACACTCGCAGACTGTATCGAAAAGGAGGAAGATGTCGAGTTTGCTAGCATAATGGTGCAGAATCTGAACAACAACCTAATTACTGCTCCGGAGCTGTCGGAACTGCGCAAGCGACTTCGGAATTTGGAATCGAAGGCAAGATTCCCGGTTCTCCTATTTCGATTACTTTGCTGACGAACGATATACAGGACGGACAAACTTTCTTTGTCGCGCTGTTCCGCTCGTGGTGCCACAACGCCGTCGCAACCTTTTCCCTCTGCCTGTTGGCCCAGGCTTACGAGCAGGCGTATAACCTTCTGCAAATTTTGTGAGTCTCGAGTTCGTCGCAGATTTATTACGATCACTGTGGGCTAATGAGACGGTGACAGCGCCGAGCTGGAGATGACGGTGAACATTCTTATCCAGATTGACAAGCTGGTGCAGTTGATAGAATCTCCTGTATTCACTTGTAAGTTTGCAATGGCCCACGTTGTCACTCCAGCTAACGGCCAAAAGACCTCCGACTGCAGCTTCTTGAGCCTGAGAAATTTCCTCACTTGTACAAATGCCTGTACGGCCTTTTGATGCTCCTCCCCCAATCCTCGGCTTTTGCCGCCCTAAAGAATCGCTTGAACGCAGTCAGTTCAATCGGGTACCTCCACATTGCCCCCAAAGTGTAAGTGCCACCAGGCCGTACCTCTCCCTGAGAACACAGGCAACTTCAAGGCGTGATTGTATGACAACTGCTGACTCTAACCCCATAGCAATCCACCCTCTACGGCAAGCTCAAGCTACGACAGGCCGAATAGGCTCAAGAGTAGAGAGGATAGCATCATTCGATGGAACGAGCTACTGGAGAAGTTCCGCACTGTCCAGGAAAGGGCTCGCCGAGCCCAGAGACACTCTGGCGACGTTGAGGAAGGCCGAGGCAGCCTTGGTGTCGCGGATTTGCGGCTTGGAGAAGGCCTCGACTCAAAGGGAGCAAAAGAGGCGCGCAATACCAGCGGGCCACCTGTTCCTGTCAAAGACCCTCCTCCACCTGCACCAGCAGCGGTCAAGAGATCAGGTTTGGGTATGCGGCAGATTAGGAACCTGGGAGGTGCAGTCAGGGGAAAGCGACCTGGCTAATGGCCGGTGCAGACGGCTTGTGGCCTTTAGCGAATCATTGTGCAAATACCCCCAACATACGCAAGCGCGAGCTTGCAAGTGTCTGTATTGTAGACGAAATAACATAATCATCAACGGCCTTTGCGGGGACTTTCGCGTTCAACGAGCCCTTCGAATATGGCATCGCGGTGCTGTGCTACGGCCCGTACTTCTGCGCGAAGATGCTCTAACTCAGCCCGGGCTGTCCTAACATCATCGGGGAGAGCCGAGAACTGGCCGACTTCGGCATCCAGACCCTTCTTTTGGGCAAGGAGGTCAAGAAAGTCGGCCTCATCTTGAGCAACCTTTTCGATGGTAGGATGGGAGGCAGCTGGAGATTGGTTGAGAGTAGCCATGCGGTCCTTGAGTTCGGGGATGCGCGCGGCCATGGCCTTGATCCTCCTCTGCATGTCCAAATTCTGCCGGGCCAGGTCAGCGACGGGCTTGTAGTCGTCACTTTTCAAGGTGCGCAGCATCTCGTTAGCCATGGCAGCCTCTCGCTCAATGTGCTTTTGGAGAATGTGCACCCGAACGCGCATCTGTTCTAGCTCCGAGGCTTCGGCATGCAGAGCAATCATAGAACGGCCAATACTCTCGGCATCCGGGTGGGCTACGGAGAGTTGACATGACAAGGTAGCCAGTGAATTCAGCGCGGTGCGTCCTTCACGCGTAAGGTGATCCTGGACGGTGCCGAGGATCCTCTCCCGGACGGTGGCCGAGGTCGGGAGATCTGACTGGGTTTCGGAGCGGTCTTGGGCGATGCTCAGCTCCTGGAGGGCGGCGGCCTCGGCTCGAGTGACTAGTTCACGCTCTTCATCCGCGGCTTCGTTGGTATTAGCCAGGGCGAGGAGGGCTTTGAGGGTTTCGGGACTGCGCTCGAAAGGCGGGACGGAGCGGCCCTGATATTTTGAGGTGAGCCAGCTATCAACATAGCTCCAGTCTTTGGCGGTAGAGGCGGCGATGCGGGCTATCGAGGGTGAGAAGATGGCGGTTGTGGGTGGAAGATGAGCCATGTTGCGGTGCGGTGAGGTTCAGCTGTCTCTCTCATGTAGAGACACTGATGTAAAGGTACTCCTCTTTGGTATGGGCGGTGGATTTACCGGACTAGTAACCACAACTATCTTTGTCGTTGTTGCTTGTTATGATTATCGAGGAATTTGAGGTGCATTGGTTGCTTTGTCTCGCGACTGATTGGCGCCGGGTAGGTTCAGAGGAAGCAATGCAAGTGAGATGCAGGGTACGTACTCTGTAAGGCACAAAGCTCTGCCTAATCAGGCAAAGTGCAGCCAACACCCCTGCAAAAAGACGCCAAGTGGGCCCGATCTCCGTTGTGTCTACTTCTGGAATCTGGACACTTCAGCGCGTCTCCCAAGTGAGAGTCCCCGTCGCATTCATTGACGGAATATTGAGTTTGCGACTCGATCATCCAGGGGTGGCAACTCCATTGTAGAGCGCTTTCCGGTTTGCCTGTTTGCTGTGCATTGTCTACGGAAGAGCCTCAAGAAAAAAAAAAATAGGATTCGTGTTCTCTTCTAGAACTTGGTATTATCTTGCCATGGTTAGCCAATTGCCCAAGACAATTCTGGCTGTAAGAATAGCCGATGGGTGTTTGTGTACTTGTAAACATTGTATAACATCTTCGGAATAAGGACACGAAGGAGGCTTGTCACTGTCAGCCCGTTAAGGAGTACTTGCCCCACAACCTTAGCTTGATGTGGTCATATGTAGCTTTCATCCCATCCGTATTACTTGGCTTCTTTTGAGGACAACTTTTCCAATTTCCTCACTCTCTTTATACCCCCCCCTTCATTCCTCCCCCACTCTCTTCTTGAGCCTGGGTCGTTTTCTCTCTCCTTTCCTTCGAAATCTGTCCACTTACTCCTACACTCACACTTGGCTCCGAGCAACTGATTTCTCTTCACTCGTTCTTCGCAATCACCTGGCGCCAGCCATGTACGTCCGCCTTTGCGCCCTGGCTTTCGCAGCCAGTTTGCTCTCGACGCCTGCTCTCGCCATATCTGCCGACCAGATACCCTCCGATACCCCCGTGTCGTCCCTCCTGACCACCGCTCAAGCTCACCTGTCGAAGGGCCAGACTTCCGATGCACTTGTCTACTACGATGCCGCCGTCGCCCGCGACCCCTCCAACTACTTGACGCTATTCAAGCGCGCGACAACCTACCTCTCCCTCGGCCGTACGAGCCAGGCAACCGAAGACTTCAACAAGGTCCTGTCACTCAAGCCCGGCTTCGAGGGTGCCCACGTACAGCTGGCCAAGATCAAGTCCAAGATTGCAGACTGGGACGGCGCAAGAGAGCAGTACAAACTGGCCAAAAAGGACCCCGCCTCTGCTGAGCTCGCTGCCCTCGACGAGGCCCAGGGCGCTGCCCACCTCGCTGCGGCAGCCGAGAAGAGCGGCGACTGGGAAGCCTGCGTGGGACATGCCGGCCAGGCCATCATGACCGCCAACCGGGCCATTTCCCTGCGTGAGATGAGGTCGCGCTGCCGTTTCCAGCGGGGTGAGGTCGAGGAGGGCATGAGCGATCTGCACCACGTACTGCAGATGAGGCCGGGAGACACGACGCCGCACATCAAGATCGCCGCCATCACCTTTTACGGACTCGGTGATCTCCAGAACGGTATGGCCCAGACGCGGAAGTGCCTGCACTCCGACCCCGATTCGAAGCCCTGTAGGAAGCTCCTGAAGCAACAAAAGGCCATTGAGAAGACCCTGAACAGGGTCAATAAGGCTTTCGAGAAGAACCAACCCATGACCGGTGTCAAGCTACTCATCGACTCTGCCGACGACACCGGATTGATCACTGACATCAAGAACCAAGTCGAGGAACTGCGCGCCGACAGCACTATTCCCCCTGGCGCCCAGTCATCGCTTTACATCCAGGTGGCAGAAATGGCGTGCCAGGGCTACTACGACGTAAGTACAACGTACATTGGAAGAAACTGCATTTGGATTGGCTAACAACCGTCGTAGATGAACGGCAAGAAAGCCAAACAATACTGCGAGGAGGCCTTCGCCCTCAACGACCAATCGTTCTACGGCTTGCTGTACCGCGCCAAGGTCATGATGGAGGGAGAAGAGTTCGAGGCGGCCATCAGGTCCTTCGAGGAGGCTAGCAAGATCCGTCCAGACAAGAACGACGTCGTCCAACCCCTCATGCAAAAGGCCCAGATCGCACTGAAGCGGAGCAAGACAAAGGACTACTACAAGGTGCTCGGTGTATCCCACGACGCCGACGACCGCCAGATCAAGCAGGCCTACCGCAAGCTCTCCAAGGTCCACCACCCCGACAAGGCCGCCAAGCAAGGACTCTCCAAAGAGGCTGCGGAGAAGAAGATGGCATCCATCAACGAGGCGTACGAGATCCTCAGCAGCCCCGAGCTCCGTGAACGCTTCGACCGCGGCGACGACCCGAACAACCAGGAGCAGCAGGGCAGCCCGTTCCAGGGTAACCCCTTCGGTGGCGGGCACCCGTTCATGTACCAGCAGGGCGGCGGCGGCGGCGGCGGCCAGCAATTCCACTTCAAGTTTGGTGGAGGAGGCGGCGGTGGCGGCTTCCCCTTCTAAAGAGGATGGGGGTTGTGACGCATTGGGACAGACTCGAAGAGAGCGCAGCATCTGAATCAAGGAGTTTAATAGGTCAAAGCCTGGAGTTTCACGGGGCCTCACTCGACGGCCAATATTACATTTTATCGTCATTCGTAGTTTGAGACGGGGCAAACGGCTCCGAGCTAGGAGGCAAGAAGCCAGTCAATCGCAAGCTTCTCTCCTGGAGTCGATACCATAGTCTGTGGTGTCAGAAATAAACACAATGTGCCAATAAACACGTTCAAGTTGGCAACGAGACTTGGTGATACTTCTTTGCTTCGCGCCGAAAACCAAAACGTATACGCTTGCTGTCAGTATCCTGGCTGTTCGGGCTTGAACCCAGTACGAATCCTCTCCCCTCATGAGAGCAAGTTGGACACTTGACGAATACTAAGACGGCAGTCCATTGCTATTCGATTTTTATTGCTATTCTCGTTGGCCCCTTTACAAACAGTGATTCAGATGATCAGACTGGGGTTTCGGGAGTTGCAGTGTTGGTCCATTGCTGGCATTGCTCCCACAGGGACACAGATGAAGACGTGTCAATGACTTAACTTAGCACATGTAGAGAAGAGTGAGGGACGGCATGTCAGATTAGTTTCTATAAATCCGTCCGTGAGCATACCAACTCCAGGCAAGTCCGTCATTTTCTGACGCCAACATGTTGAGTATCCTTTCAAACGTTGCATTTTGCCAAACCACCGGATCCCCAGCACCAAATAGACCCCGCTCGGAAGACTGCGAGCATCATTCCTCACGTCACTACCTAGCAGAGGAAGAGTATTACTCGCCGGAATTGCTGGTATCGTGCCTATCGTGCCCCCCAAGTATAAAAAGACCAAATCGGGGGTCCGAGTTCCCCATAGGTCTCGACCCTGCTTTCTAAATTTACACGACCGCTCTAATCGGTGATCGAATCGTCAATGACAGTTTCTTCTATATGCACAGCGGCGTACCGTCTCAAGGGTTCGGGTTGTCGTTCTTTTTGATGAAGTAGGCCCTGCGAGGTTGTTGTTAGCGCACTGATTTTGTAGTGGGGGAATCAGGGGCAACTTACTTGCACGCCTCGTAGGCAGACCAGCAAATGGCTGTGCTAGGCATGGTGGTAACCACGCGGGGGCGCACACCCTTGAAGAAACCGCGGAAGCCCTCACGCTCGTATAGTAACCGGCATCCAGCCATGAATCCGTTCACATTTCTCAATGCCGGATCGGTGGCAGTTCCTCGGGTCTGAAGCATGGTCTTGATGACATCCATGGGCGTAGTCAAAGCGGCAGCGAAACCACCGGCGACACCACCAGCCAAGCAATGTGTTGTGGGATCGTATCCCTTGTCAGGGTTCATGGCCGTCGATATGGATTCGTACGCCAAGAATTGGAGGGCAGTGAAGGGCACCGTCATGGACAGCGTAGTTGGGTAAGAAACGTAGAAAGCCGCCAGTCCCTCGGTCTTGTAGACATACTTGGCGCAATCGGTCATGGAACGGTACATCTTAGCCGACCCCTGGATCTGCATGCGCTGCTTGATGACTAGAATTGACTCGACGTTAGTTACTGGGAATACCTAATGGGCGGACGAGGCGATGTTGGGACCACGTACCATCGAAAGGATTCATCAGCGCATCGCTGGCAATCGTAGCGCAAGCACCACTGGTCGCAGCAGCCAGAGGATGGTGAACACCGGCTTGGTTGCCACCCATAACATGCTTGACGGCCTCATATGTGGCGAAATATACAGCATGAGCGGGACCTGATAGTGTGAGCAAATGCAAGGCCTTCTTCGAAATGACAGCAGTAATGCTGGGAGGCCACTCACCGGCACCGGCAACGACACTGGACATGCCTCTCCACAAGCTGAGGACGCCCTCGCGACTAGCTATGCGGTATGTACCTTGAATCACACCATTATAGACGGCCGAGGGATTGGGGTTCAGGACCTGCATGCGGGTCTGCAAAGCTCGGGGTTAGCGGATGATGATTTGCGATATGCATTCATTGAAGGGAGCGGCATCGTACCTTGATAGCGTCAATCGGATACATGACAGTATGCTCCTGCAAATGGAATCATCAGCTTCCGGGACCTTGTGGATACCAAACGTGAAAGCGGGCAGCTCGTTCGGGGCCGAGACCGCAAGCAAAGAATATAGCGTACCGCTATGCCCGCAAACGCCCCGGCAGCCATGTTCTGCACGAGGGAAAAGTTGGGCGGTAGAGATTCATAGCTAGCAGAGCAAAGAGTCAGCGAGAGGGTACGATATGGTGTGCGTCATCGTCAAGAAGAGTCGATTGCGAAGGGTGGCGGCGGAAGATGTGGACGTGATAAATGTGTAGATGGGGGCATTGCGCACTCGTATTCCTCGGCGGGCTCTGCATTAGGCTGGGCCATTGCGGCCACAGCAGATGCTTCGCCGTAGGGCTTGGGCTGAAGAGCCGCCAGATTGACAGCTGGAGGGGGATCGAGGGGGTCGGCGATGGCGACCACGGATGTGGCGGGAGGAGCTCTCGTTGAGGGAGAGGCGGAAATGATCGCGTTGGCCGTCGGTGTCGATGGCTTTTCTGGTTTTTTTTGTCTTCTTTCCTCTCTACTCGCGATTATCTCTCGTAGGCCTAGGGAAACCTATGGCTCTGGACGTAGATTCGGAAAGAGGCCGTGGAGGATCGGTTCGGCCAGAAAAGTCGACGATATTCGGGCAACGGCGTGCAATGGCAAGTGCGAGTGCAATGGGAGCTATCTAGAAGAAGCGACCTTGAGCTCACGACGCCGTGCGTTGAGAGTTGCGATGCACGGTTGATATGCAGGTGGCAGTTGCGAGAGTTGAGGTTGGAGGAACGGCGGAGGTAAGGAAGACCAAACCAAGTCGTAACTAGCGGGAAAGGAAAAAAAAAAAAAAAAAAAAAAAAAAAAAGGCCAATTGGAGCTAGCAGAGTCAGGTAAAGCACAGGCAGTGGAGGCTGGGGCTAAGAGTGAAGGTCCAGTGAAGGTCCAGTGAAGGTACATTTACTGTGGATGAAGTCGGGGCCGAGAACTAAGGTGGAAGAGAGGGGACGAGACACCTAGCTACCTATCCGTAGGTTCCCAGGTATCCGTAATAGGTCGAGAATGGAAAGAAATCACATCCATGGATGGCCCTAAACCGAGGTAGACACGTAATTTGTAAAGAAGGCATTTGCTTGACAAGATATGCTCTCTACCTACCTTCCAATATCCGCACTTTAGGTAACTACATGACCTTACCTTCTGAGGTAGATGGTAGAGGTACCATAGGTAAGCCTGAGGTAGTCGCAGTTTTCCAGAGCTGCCCGGGAAGGTACTTGGGTCATTGAAGTCTCTCCTTCCAGCGGGTTTAATGCCAGCTGAGCCGGTTTTTCAGGGGTTCCCAGGCGAGCTACCTAACGGCCCGGTCTACCCAAGCACCTAAGGTACCTAAGATATCTTCCTACGCCAACGGACTTTAATATATGGTCTCAATATCTTGGTCACTTTTGCCTTTTGCCCTTTGCCCTTGGAACATTGAATATCTGTCTCTGGATATGTGTTGGCATGTTCAAGTCGCTAAGATGCAAAGAGGAATGTCACCCTTCAAGTTGCTCGTAATGCAAGGTGAGTGTTTATCTAATCTTGAAATGGCAGAGCATGACAAGACAGGAAGCCAACATGTTCCTCAAAATAGAGTAGAGACCGTATTGATGTCCAAACATGCTCGTATATCTCAGCAGCATGACCAGGCAGAAATAGGTCGGAGGGAAAAAGGGAGTGCAAGGAAGAGCTTCTGAACGAAAACTTTTTTTGTCCGTGTTCCATTCTGTCAACGTGTCCCAGTTCAACAGTAAACTGGACAGTCCAGATTCCAGAGTCCAACCTCGGGTCTCGTCTTGTGCGGCCTCGGAGATCAGCAGCCCGCTTTTCCCCCAAGACCCAGCTTCGGCTTGCCAGCAGCCAGTAGGCAGTTGATGGGATTTTTTCCCAGCTTTCTTGTCCTGCTTTTGACCAATGTCATGACCTCTCCTCTCCCGCGTCCTAGTCTGCCTATCGAGGCTATCATTGCATCTGGTATTCTGGTAAATCTGGTCGATGGCGGAGTGGGTCATCCTAGCAAGATCTGTGTGGATTTCTTCCCCTGACTTTTGTTATCAATCTCATCTCTGTCTGCTGACCCCTTCGCCACAGCATTTCCGTACACCGCACCGAATGTCGCGGCCGCAGTGCACTGTAAGTCGTCGTGTGGCCAGTGTTTTGTATCGTTTCTAACCTTTCCCTGACCGTGCAGATGCCAGAAACACAGTTCATGACGCTGACTTTACATCCGATGTGACCACATCCACCCTAGAAGTCCCATTTCGACACCTCAGACTTTGTATCGGCGCATCATCCGACCCTTTTGTCCATCTCAGATCTCAGGGCCCCCGGATTTGGCCTGAGATGATAGACAGCCCAACTGCGTTGAGGACAAGGCCAGCACCCAAGATGAGAATTGGATTACCATGTTCCTTTTCGGTTTTTTTTTTTTTCCTTTTTCGGTTTATCCGCACCTTAACACGCTTAGCTAAGCCAGCCAAGGGTTCGGCCGAACCCCCGGATTCAACGCGTGCTTTCAATGGGCCCGCGTGGCCGTTGTCTCCAGTGTTCCGACCCTCTCTATAAGCGCTCTCCGGCGAGTGGCTAAGGAAAAGGGTGACCTCAACACGAGACCTTGAAGCTGCCTTAGCTACCTGAGAGATATGTGGCAGGATGGCAGGGTCCCTAAGCAGGGTCTCAAAAGACGTGAGCACCACTGCAAAAGCGATCCAATCCAGTCAAACGGTAATACCCGCACAGTCTGACAAGCCCGACCCCCGCCGGCACTCACTCTCTCATCGTCTTTCTAGAAGGACAGAAAGAAGCCTCTAACCCTTGGGGGAGGCTGCGTTCACTTCCAAGGGCAATGGCCCATCAATTCGCGTCCTCGCTTCGACGACGCTTCCTCAAGGCTCATGTAGCCTCCGGCCTCGGTTCTGGAATAATATCGCACCCCCTTTGGCGGGTCGCTTCTTCTGCCCCTGCCAATGAAATGGGTAATATGGTGGACGTACGGATACGAGTACAGACAGAGAGGACAGGACACCCCCCCTCTCTTTCTGTCTATCCCTTCCCAAAGCATGGCATATGGTTTACATTATCGTCAGGTATGATACTTAACATGTTGGGCTTGCGCGGGTTTAGTATTTGCAAAGGCTGCAGTTGGTAAGGCAAAGGGAAACGATGCGGAAGAGAGCGCCACAAACAACAAAAGGTCGTCTCGTCTCCTGCAATTCGCAATAGCATAATACCACCAATATGGGGGACGATCAAGGCTCTCAGATTCGTTAATCTCGGTTGCCAGCATCCTTTCTCGACACGGCACTCGGGCCTCCATTGCTTGCATCTAATCTCATCTTATCAATCTCCAGCCCTAGAACGCCCATCCAGACTCCAGTATTGGCATCCGCCACTGAGCGGACTTCACCATCTCCGGCCACATCCACCTTGTCACGCTCCGGACAAAAAAACTTTTTTTCTTTCCTCCCTGACACTGTGCTCCGTATTGCCTTGTCAGTGTCACTGTCTGAGCTGCTAGCTTGCTACTCGGCGAGTACTTGCACAGCTACCCAGGGGCTCGAATCAACTCGCATTGACTTGGTTTGACTCTGTTGCAATCCCCTTATAGTAATGGCGAATGTGTGCTTGCGTGGCACGCCTATACTTGCGTACTTGTCCTCGTCCGCGGATCGCTTCGCCTAAAGGCACTCATACGGTGCTATGGAACCCCGGATACGGGCTGCTCGGAGATACGACATCTCCCTTTCCCCGTCCGGTCCGGCGTACGCCCCGTCGGCTGGACCATGAGAGTGACAGCTCTCAAGGTTCGCGCTGGTGATTCAAATCTGTCTATTCCAATTCTATATTGATAGTTCGTGTGCATACTACTGGGCTTCTTGAGCCGGGTATCCTCCTTCGCATTCCTTGCCAACTATGGCGGACCCACGTCGAGGACTGAAAATGTTCAAAGCCATAAAATTCATGTTCCCATGACCCCTTTACCCAGCTTCACTCTCCGGATTCTACTTTACTGGTCAACAAACCCATAACATTGTCTACGGATGTGGGGTTACAGCATTAGAGCCCTCCTCCGCCTTGGGGATTGCTGCGGTGGGCCTGCTGGAATTGGTAAATCAGCCCCAATACCCCGGCGTCTTGCTCGCCTGTATCAGCCATGCTATTTTCTCGACTCAACCCTTTGGGCGGCGACGTCTCCCATACAGACTCGCCTAGAGGTCCCGAGCCTCCATAGATCTCGTCTTCGAATGGTCCTTGAGAATGCAGTTTGCCGTCTATACCCAGGCCGTCTTCAGACTCTTCAATGATACCTTCGCCTTGGTATCCCCCACGGCCCGCTCGGCTCCGATGCGTACTTCGGACGCCGAACCCTGTCGCAGCCGGTTGGTGGTGTGGGTCGAGGAGCATCGATGCCATCGGCGACGGAGCCGTCATCGAAGGCCCAAACCTCGGCGTTCGGGTTTGTTGTCCAACTCCACCACCAGGAGGAGCCCGACTCCGTGACAGGTCATGCCGACCCATCCTGGAGTTTTGCATGTCGGCCGCCAGTGTTGGCGAGTTCAGCCCGGGGAACGCTGGTGGAGGATGGAAAGGATGGCGACTTCCCGGCGGTAGATGGCCCGGGATGCCCGTTTTCGGGTTAATCACATAGTTGTCCAAGAAGCCGTAGTAAGATGCCGCCATCTTGTTATGCTTCGTGGAATAATAGTCTTCTCGAACATCGCCAGGGCCGGATGGTTGCTTAGCCTTGCCCATGCCCTTCTTGAAGTCGAACTCAGCAAACGAGCAGATGTAGCCAACTCCATCCACGTGGATTGTGAATTCCCGGAAGAAGTCGATTATCTGATCGCTGCATTTCGGTGCCGAGAAGATGAGCACCAGCGAGGCTGTAAGTATACCAATGATCTCCTCCATCAGAATCACCAGCTTGAGCTTGTACAGCTCCGAGAATTCACGCTTTACATCGGCTGTGTGAAGACGGTCTTTCCAGTGGTCTGGCATGTAGCGCGTGTATTCAATGACATAGAGCAGGGCGTGCTCTGGATTGAACACGGTTGTCTCTTCAGATATCATGCCCCTGGCAGCCGCCCATATGGCTGCGAACAAGCCAATATAGAACAGTGCTGACCGCTCAGATGTGATCTCGAACCCAAGGAAGAGTTGTGGATCGAGGAATGAGGCGACAGCAAGAACCGAAGTAAGAGCTCCTGCGACGAAGGTTACCGTTCTAGCAAATTGTTCCGTCATTTTTTTCGGGAACTGGTCAATATATCGACTCGCAAACGGATAAGACATATTGATACGCTCTTGGAAGAGATGCGGGACCTCATTGAACTCGCGAAACTTCCACTCAGCAAGAGGCGTGTATCTTCTGTGGCTGAACGTTGAAGGGTCTTTCTGGTATTCCTGATGCCCAATATATTAGCTTCTCTGATGTGATCTTTGTGAAGTCACAATAAAAAGACACTTACATTGTAGTACGTGAATGCATGCACCACAATGAGATAAGCGACCACAAAAGGCCCTATCAACAAGTTGATGACCCCGGCGAAGACAAGCCTCGACTTCAACTTGAGACTCAAAAGACCTCGGCGATCGGCTTTGAGGAACTCTTGATGAACCTGATTGTTGGAGTCGAAAACATAAGTCAAGATTGCGAAATGCAAGTTCCATTCCAGACTTCGGGAAAAGAACTGGTGTTGTCGCAAGAAGGGTATCGGGAGCGTAAGGTCGAGAATGTCCTTATTCATCATGGCTATCAAGTAGTTCTCTCTCCGCATGAGACGGTTGGCAATGTCTGCAGCATCCAGCCTCTCCTTAGACTGATTGCGCATCCACTCTCGCGCAGATGGTCGTACGTTGATGGCTGTTTTGGGATTCGCGTCCCGCAAGGCCATGACGCGGGCAACGATATCTTGCCAGGATACAGTCTGCATATCCTCCTCCGGTATCTCTAGTAGATATATGTAGAAGTTGCGCATGTGGTTCAAACGTCGAAGGTCTATGGTGAACTGTACTGTCTTCCATATAAAGTAGAATACGTAGAGCCACAATCCTGTATTCCACATGAACGACATCTTTCTGGTGCACTGAGGAATCGTAACTTCTTTCAATGAGTTGCTGTTGGGGATTTTCGTGTACTCAACACATTGAGTAAGAAAGGTCAGAAATACGGCGAAGAAGGCGGACTCTCTAGAAGTATATGGTCAGCATCTTTCACATGTACTGTCAACGTCCAGCAGACCAAAGGTCTCGACTTACACTAGGTGTAATGCCCGCGCGCACACGATACACCAGAAACCGCTCCCTCGGTAGTAGTAGTAGACATCCTGAACGAAGAAGTCGAGGTTCGAGACATTAACCCATCTCCAAAGAGCCTTTTCTTTTTCGTTATTAGATCCAAGGCCTCTGGAATATCGCTTCGCGTGAGGCCTGATTGGCTTGACGGGATCTGCTGGATGAAGTCTTTGCTGAGCTTGTGTTGCTTCCCATTGGGCATGTGTTCGTCGGCTAGAAGGACCGGGTATTGCGTTTTGCCTTGACGGAGTAGCTGGCTTCCTCCGCCCAGATCCTTTAGACTGCGCTACCGCTTCATGTGGTTCAACCAGCAGAGAAGCCGGGACGTCATTATCTCCGTCGTCATCCTGTCCCAGCCATCGTGGACTCGGCTCTTGTCGGATTCCGCCACGGTGATTTCCGCGACCGGTCTGCCCCGCTACGACTCCTGCAGTTGTTTTGAGCAGGTTGGCATTGCTGTCGAGAGTCGCTTGACTGTCTTCTACGGTGAGGCCTGGCATGTGGTCCAGGTCGTAGTCTTGGAACTGCTCTTGCAGATTCTCCTCGTCCACATCCAGACCTGCGTGTTCTTCGATATCCAGGTCGCCGTCCGGATCTCCTCTGAGCTCTTTGTAAAAAGACCTTGACCCTCGAGACAGCGGGCCGAGTTGAGGGAAGATGTTGGAAGCCATGTGGAGGAAAAGGTAATCGGAATACGGGGAAGGCTGATCGGTCGTCAAGGCCTATGATCGTCGCTCATGGCGACGCGTAGGGGCCTTGTTTGGAGAAGGAAGGAACGAGTGCAGCTTGCGCGACAAGAAGCAGTCTGATTTGGAGGTCAGAGTCGGTTGGGTATCGCGTTTCTAGAGGAGTACTAGGTCAGCTAGGGAGAACGACGAGGTTTAAACGGCAAGGCGATTTGAAGGTGGCTCTGTGGCTGTCACTTGATATGAGGTTTGGCGGTCATGTGGCCATCTCGGGTGGTTGCAGGTGACAGAGGCTCTGGGAAGTGTTGGGGGTGAAGGACTTCATACTCACAAGCCCATGCGGAGTGACTCCTGGTCAGCGCAGGTAAGTAAGTTTGACACGGTGGAACAAGGAAGCTAGCTACTGCATAAGGAAGCTTTTAGTCTGATGTTGAAACAGTAAAAGACGATTACAGTCACAAAGTCTGCATACCAGTTGAGGAAGGTAAGGTAGGAAGAAGGATAAGAAGACGGCACGTTGTTCAGAGAAAGATGCCTTGCTCGAATGGGTAAACCCGTTGTGTCGGACACTCGCACCACGCTAAGATAAGTCAAGAACGGACAATTTGACCTGAGCGGCACGAGTAGCAGAAATACTCAAAAGAAACCAAAGCTGTAAGATAGTGTCTAGCAAAGGTCAGGACAGGCCATGGAGGGATCAGTAAGGTAAGTACCTTTCGCTTTGGCTTCCCAGTTGCAACTATTAGTCTCCCTCCAGCAGATAGGCAGCTAGCTGTATGTGGTGCGCATACGGAGAACATCCAGGTGACGGCATGGCTCAGACGTGCTGAGTGGGGGCCGTAGACACAGGCAGCAGGCGGTCAATGTCATTTTTGCCGTTCTTATTCCCGACCGCCTTCTCTGGGGGTTGGACGTCATAAGGTGCCTTATCGACGCTCTTATCTCAAGGTATCTAAGGTACCCGAAGGTCTGTGAGTGTTAGGTGACCAACCATACGGAGTACCTAGCTAGGTATCTGTACTCCGTACTCCGTACCATCCAGAGGATTGCACCAGGCCTCCTTCCATACCCATCCGACCCTTGCTTACGTACTTCAGCGATATTGCGCTTCGCACCAGCCCTGTGTACCTACTGGAAGTACAGAGTATCTTACGTAACTCAAGGTAGGGATAGCTCGTAGTCATCTATCCTCACGTCTAAGTCCATACTCACAAGTGCCAGTCAAACCCAGGAGGGCAGGTCAACTCCTTCACAGGTATCTAGCCAGATAG